ACACTTTTCCGGACATGGGTCCCTATACTCAAATGTTTTCTACTGTTGCACTGAATAACCCCTAGAAGTTTGATCCCATAGTTCTGAAACACCCTGTATATATCTTTATTGATGCTTTGGTCTTTAGGCTTAAAAAGATTTTTTTAAATTAACTTACCACATTTACACTTCCATTCATATTATTCTCCTCGCTTTTCTCCCTTTCTGTCAAGTTCTCAATTTCTCTCATTCAATTTACTGCTTCTTTTTTGCTACTTTCTATCTTACACACAATATCTTTGACTTTTAATCTGTACGATTATGTAATTTTTATATATACATATAATAAAATACAATATGTTCATATATGTGTATATATTTTATAATTACTATAGATTTTTACTATATTGCCAGGTTGGAAGATCGATGTTCTGGAATGATAAAGAAGAATCATTATTTAGTCTAGGTGATGGCTTGAGTCTAAAGGTCGGCGCATTCCAATCTGCGGTACTTGGATGGAAAGCTCATTTGAATGTGGACGGTAAGTATCATCATCATTGCATCACTCAATTATTTGCTATTGCAAAATGAAATAGTAGATTTTTTTATTGATCCATTATTAATTTTTTTAATAACAATAGAACTTTCTAAAAAAGGTTTAAAAAATCGGCGTCAAATACACGCGCACAAATACTGTGTCTTCTCTTTATTTTATTATTTTGTTTTTATTTTATTTAAATTCAAAATTCAAACACAACCAAAAAATAGTATTAAAAACAGTATTGTTGTGCATTATTACAATTATGACGCATATCTCTACAAAATTGCTTTTTACAAATTCTGTTAAAAAAAAAATTGATATATAATAAAACAATAGCGCCAAATGAGAAATCGTACATAGTAGTTACACAATAATAATAATAAAGCATTCATCGGTGTAAGATGGACTTTGTTGCGTAACAAATCGCAAACTTATATAGAAATTTATGTGGAACCGTACTTTTATGGATTTAGCTTCTAAAATATAATTCGATGGTGTGAAATGGACCTTGCTTTGCGTGAAAAGTCCAAAATTCATATGCAAATGTTTTCAAAATAAAAAATATTTAATGAAAAAAAAAAAAAAAAAAAATTTGGCGCGGCTATCCCTCAACTGTAATGAACTAAAGTTATTTAAAGTTTTTTATTTGTACATCAATCTTATTCAATAGCTACTCAGTAGCTTTTAAATCTATCTAACGTATTAATCTATGTACTTATAAAATAAAATATGAAAAAATTAAAAAGTAAAATAAAAAAACAAGGTAAGAACGTTACGAATTTATTTCTTTTATGTAATCTTTCTCTTGTTCTTTTTTCTAGTTGCTAACAAAGCATTCCCCACATGCCAAAATGTTGTGAACTTAATGGACAAGATATTATATGAGAGAAATCCAACTAGATTAGAAAGATGTTTGGAAAACGTTTCAAAATTCTTGACAAATTTAAAAGTGGTTTACACTTTACCAAACACTGCAAAACGGACATATCGCGTAAATGGATTAGGTCCAGCAGCTACCCATCATAAGTTCGACTTTAATGGATCAGAGATAACGATAGAAGACTATTTCAGACAAGTTAAAAGGTGTCGCTTGCATTATCCCGATCTACCATGTCTTTCGGTAGGCAACAAGAAAGATAGTCAGATATTTTTACCTGCTGAGGTACGTACGTAACCTATTCTATATTTATTAGTACTTAAAAAAGCAAAAAGTTTTCTATTTTTAACACGTTAAGTTCGGAGCCGATTTTGCTTTTCGTTCAGGCGACGCGGAGGCGACCACTCGACGAGAATAGTTTTTTTGGTTTAATAAACTTCATTAAAATTACAACATTTTTATTTATTTGAACCTTCATACTGTTGGTTCCACGGACCGATGCTGCCCTAACGAAAAGTTCACTGTCAATCCCCAGGAACTGACATCGCGCTTAACGTGTTACTCTTAAATATCGATTTTTTTAGCATTGTGAGATATATATTACTTGAAATTTTCCTCTACTTTTTATTGCACTTAACAAAAAAATAAATAAAATAATAAAATGACACAACTTTTTGCTGCACAATTAATCGAAAATACTTTTTCTAAAATATTTCAGATATTATAAGTATTATACAAAGAAAAAGTAATTAATACTTTAATTAACAAATAGTTTATCGTTAATATGCGTAAAAGTACATACTATTTTGAATTACATATTATCTCTTCGCGCGTGGACTGACTTCTAAAAATACCTACTAGGTGGATTAAGTCTGTGAAAATATGTGATTTATGTTACATATTACATGATATCTATACTTTTTCTACACACATTATTAATATATGTTAATTAGTAAAATAAAATGTTTCTTGCAAATAATATATTCTTTCTGCTATATTAGCAACTAAATATTTTTATATTAAATCGCAAATAGTTTTCTTTACTAGTAAACATACATATAGTTTGCTACAAATAAGTAGTAAATAATGCTCAATTATACGTTCATTTAATTATTTACAGTTATGTAAGATTGCGCCTGGTCAGATCATTCACAGAAAGTTGAACGAAACACAAACTACTCAAATGATAAAACAAGCAGCGACAAGTGCGCCGATGCGTCAAAAAAGCATCCAAACTACGGTAAAGTATAAATTTTGCGTTAATGATGTATATCGTTAATTATTCTATAGAAAAAAAAGAAACTATTTTTTAAATATATTTTTTTAATATAGTACTTGAGATGTATTATATGTCATTGTATTATATTTTACTAGTTCAAAAAACTTGAGTTGAACAAAAGTGATGTTATGAACAAGGAATTTCACTTAACCGTTGATACCAATATGAAAGAAGTAGACGCCAGAATCTTATCTCCACCAGTGTTATTATACAATGAGTCGCAAAAATCGATAGTAAAGAGAGGAGCATGGAATTTACAACAATTTTGTCAAGCCCAGAATTTAGTCAATGGCTCGTGGACTGTATTGAATTTGTGCATCGGTAAAGACAGAGATGGCAGCATAATGCTAAAAGATGTAGAGATTCTCAATTTTGTAGATATGTTGAAAAGAACAGGTTAAGTATATATACTAAATTAAAATATTAACATAAAAAGGTTTAGACATTACTAAAATTGTGTAGATATTACTAAAACATAAAACAAAATTGTTATTTAATCTTTTTATTCCAAAAACGAAAGAGGAATGAATAGTAAAGAGAGTTATGAAGTATTGCTACATATATATAGTCAAGTCTATATTTTTATCATCTGTCCTCCCGGAATATCTTACAACTTTTGTCTAAAACGTTTTTCCATATTTAAAGCCGTTTCCGAGATCTAAGGGTTGGATCAGATTTTAGAGACACTGTATACAGTGTGTTCCACCTAACTTGAGCATCCTAAATATCTCGCTTATTTGTTATGATAGGAGGATGCCGAAAAGGGTCATTATTCAGCTCAAGGAGACAAATACTGTAATAAACAGGAAATTTTTTTCAAGGTCATATTTTTTAAGATTTCAAGGTCATTGTCATTTTTTTTTTTTTTTTTTTTTTAATCTGAAAGTACATAGTTTTATTCTCGTGATATGATAGGTAAGGTCAAAACGAATCCAAAAATTCTTGTTTATTACAGTATTTGTCTCCTCGAACTGAATAATGACCCTTTTTGGCATCCTCCTATCATAAAAAATGAGCGAGATATTTAGGATGCTCAAGTTAGGTTGGACACCCTGTATATAATGCTAATTCGTTCAAATATAAATTTAGATCGTGATTAAAGTGAATCTTGTTAAATTGTATGAACTATATAAATTATATAATTGTATTATTAATTGTTGTATGTGTTTAGCTCCTGAAGTTGGTATGACAATTGGAGATCCACTAAAGCCATTTGGACAAATGCACCATGACAAAATAGATGATATAACACGTTTCTGTAACTTAAAAAAAAATTTAGCTCTGATAATGGTTGTCATACCAGATCGCACTGATGAAACGTATGGTGAGTGTAATGTTTTGTTTACTCTTTTTTTTATTCTGAATGTAAATCAATTTAAATTATTTTTATAATTACAGGCAGAGTAAAACAAATCACAGAATTAAGAGTAGGTGTATTGACACAATGCATAAAAGTTCGGACTGTTAAAAAAGCTAACGGTTCAACAATAAAAAACATTCTTTTAAAAATAAATTCGAAACTAAATGGTATTAATCATACGTTTAACAAAATGTAAGTAATTACTGTATTTTTGCTTTTACATATGTATATACACACACACACACACACTCTCTCTCTCTCTCACTCATTCACTCACTTTTTGTCAATTCTAAAAATAACTCAAAATTTTTTACATACAAGACTCTGTTTTCAAAGAAAAATAATGGTACTTATCTACAAAATGAATAACTAATTCATAAATGAATATAATTGATGTAAACAGAAAACTGAAAACCACTTGAAATAAACCATCTATTTTATTAGAAAATTTAATAAAACAAAATGTTTTTTTAATCAATTTAGGCCTTCATGTCTCGAGAATGCTAATTGCATGCTCGTTGGTGCCGACGTAACTCATCCTTCTCCTGATTCTGTTAATATACCTTCTATAGCAGCGGTAAGTATAATTAGTAACACATCTTGAACTTTCTGTAATGAAATCAACGTTATATCTCTACTAATGAGAAATTTTATATAAATTTAGGTTGCTTCTAGTCATGATAAGAAAGCTTTTCAGTATAACATCGAGCTCAGACTTCAGGAACCAAAAACGGAAATAATTAGAGATCTTGAAGATATAATAAGATCGCAAATTAGGATTTATCATAAGAGAATGGGAACTTTTCCTAAAAGAATTATTTATTATCGGTATGTACCAACTGCAATATTAATATTGTATATATATTGAATATACTCTTATTTTCGAAATGTACATGAAAATGAGAAAAACTTTATTTTTTATATACTCATACAAAAATATTTTTAAGGCTTTTCGATATTTCTCCTGCCATCTTAGATTGATGACATCAGAGAAAAATATGCAAAGTTTCGTGCACTTTGTGTAAAAATAAAAGATTATTTCTATATAAATGCACGTGAAATCAATAGAATACCCTTGTATTATAAAATTTATTATTTTTGAAAAAAATGTTTCATAGAAAAGTTGTAGGGTTTTATAAGGCGCGCATTACATGGCAATGTTATTATAATCTTGAATAGCGTTAGATGTCACGTAAAGATCACTATTAATTTCTTAAATGGAATCTTCTACTTTTCATTATAAAACGACTCTAGTTTTAAATGCACAAAGTAAAAGCAATGCTCGTGTTTTCTATTAGTTCTCGTGACGACTGACTTGCTATAATCAAATCAAACTTCAAATATTCGAGGAGCTTTAAGAAGACTAAAATATAAATTTCTCAATATTTTTTTGTTATACATTTTTACAAATAAAATATTTATATCTTTTATTCACAATGCAATTTATAATAATATAGCAATTGTTTTTTGTTTTACTTTTTAATATTTAGAGATGGAGTAAGCGAAGGACAACTTGCTCAGGTTATGCATAGCGAATTAACTGCTATTAAACGTGCAGCACAAGCACACAAAATAAAAGTAGAAGTTACTTGTTTAGTTGTTCAAAAGAGACATCATATACGTCTTTTCCCTACAAGAGATGAAGATTCAGAAGACAAAAACAAGAACGTTAAAGCGGGTACAATCGTTGACACTGGAATTACTCATCCTAATCACATTGATTTTTATCTCGTCTCGCACGCAAGTATTCAGGTAAATCTTGTTTACATAAATATATTTATTTACGTAAACTTATATTTTAATATAAGAAAAAAAGTAATAAATATGTACAGTGAATATAAAAAATATTGGCACACTCACATTTTTTTAAATACTTTTATATAGTGATATATTAATATAAAATATGTCCATTAATGTCTTATGACATACGGAAGCAGTGTAGTTTTTAAGAACTCTCAATATTGTAATTGAAGCACATTTAAAAAAACGAAAGTTTTATACTCAAAAAAGTATTAGCATACTTGCGTTTTACATAGGAAATACCTAATTCTCTTGAAGTTTTTAATACAAAACAAGTTTTTAATATCTTGCACTCTGTAGAAAATTATCTCACGACACATTGATATGCATTCGAGCATTCATAATTTCTTTGATAAATGCTAAATTTCCAATATTCCATTATAAGACATACAACCCCAAATCATTATGCGCATTATTATTAAATGTGAGTGTGCCAATATTTTTTTTGGAAGCTACTGTACATCATCAAATAAACAATAAAAATGTTAATATTAATAGTTTTAATATTAAAATAGGGTACAGCAAGACCTACTAAATACAGATGCATATGTAACGACTCTAATTTTGATGAAAATCAAATCGAAGAATTAACGTATTATCTTTGTCATATGTATGCACGCTGTACAAGAGCAGTTAGCTATCCTGCGCCGACTTATTATGCTCATTTAGCAGCATATCGTGGAAGAGCATTGATACAAGGGTAAACAATAAATTATCTTATCTTCAAATAATATAATTTCAAGTTGTGTCTAAACATTTGTTGAAACTTGGAGACATACTTAGGAAGATTCTCAAAAGATTCTCACTAAGAAGACAAGCATACAGATGTACGTGTAATTTTTTTATTTTGCAGAGTTGATATTCGCTTGGATAATTTAGCAGCGGAACAGAAAAAGATTCAGTTGAAAATGACGGAATTACCAATGTATTTCGTTTAAAACTGTAGATCTCTATTTCTTCTTAAAAAACTATACTAACGTATATGAATCGCTTGCTATTAAATGTCTATATCATAATTAGTGTTTTCTTCATCAATGACTTATAATAGATCGATTGCATTAAAAGCGCACTGATCTTCAATCAGTTAATAAAAATGATTTTTAATCAGTTAATTCAATTTGATAATTTTTCTTTTAGAATAAAAACGGAGAAAACAGAAATTTCTGCGAAATTTATATTCAAAATTGAATAGATAGGTTTTATTTTTATCTTTCAACTAATAATACTATTCATTGTCAGTAGTACAAATTTCATCTTCAAATATAAATATAAATTCAAGTTGCCTACACATTTGTTGAAACTTAGAAATTGGTATATTAGTAATTTTATCTATATAACTTTTATAGTTTTTTCTTTTTGTTTTTATGTTTCAATATAAAATCTTGGTTTTTTTTGCATGCAAAATTTCTAGCCATCGTAGAAAATTTCTTGTAAGTGAGTAATTGAATTATATAATGCAATATTAATGCAATCGAACAATCTTTCTGTTTTTCTTATCTTTTGCATTTATAATCGTACGAAAATACAGTGAACTCCGAATTACTATACGTGAAAGACTTCACATACGAGGGTTTATAGACGAGATGTTGTCACTTTTATCACGTTTTACAGATTATCGTTTTATAATTCCATATTAGACGGGAGTGTACTGTATATACAGAATATAGAGAATAAATATGCAAAAAGATACATGTTGCCTGGTAACAGTATATATGTTAGAGTTTTCTATAATTACATTAATACGTATATAATTATACATATTTGTTTTGTTTCTAAAAAATATATAGAATATAGAATTAGAGGTGGCTTATATTTACGTATTACATAATTTGTATAACGAATACAATGTCCAATAGCTGTCTTACAGTGGATAAGTAGAAGAGTTGAGGGATTTTTTTATATAAATAAAAAAATCCTTTACCGTTTTGCAAGATTTGCAATAATTAAGAATTTATTAATGAAGATCCGTTAATGAGTGTGCAAAACAATAGTCCAACTTTTCACGCGTTTACGATTGCGCGCGGCAATTCAATGGGAGGAATTAATATAACAGTTTATAATATACATGTTACAAAAAATAAACTGCTGACAATAATTAAACGCGACAGAATGGAAACACTTTTACGTTTTTTTAAATCAAGATAAATACTTTTACTATTGAGATGTCAATAATGATTTTTTTGTGATTATATATTTATGGAAAGAATACAAAAAAGAAAAAAAATTAAAAGTTAAATATTGTTGCAAATAAAATAATGCACTAATGGTTTTTTTTGTGTTAGCTTCTAATTTCAACATACAAAGAATATTTAAATATTATAATATTGTAATAAATAAACTTCAATTTTTTTCTGGTTTTTTGGTCGGATTTTTTCCGAAAATAAATAAATAAACAATCATTCTCTAAAATTGACATTTTTTAAAATCAAAATAAATAATTTTTTCTAACGTAAAGATAATGACTATTATTTATTTAATTTTTAATTATATGAAGAATATCAAATCCAAAAAGTTTAATTGTGTTTTATTACAATATTTAAGTATTCTTTACTTGTTAAAAAATTAGAATGTAAAAAAAGAAAAAATAGAAACTATAGTGTGTTATTATTTGTAACGAAATAAAACTTCTACTTTTTTCTTTTTTTGGGGGAATTTTTCTCGATATGTAAGAATTCTAATGTCGAGATGTTGATAATGATTTTTTAAATATATTTAAAGAACTTATTAGTTTTATTTTAGAGTAAACACAAATTACTTGGAACAACTGTACCGAACTCTTCATTTGATTAGGCGAGAGAAAAAACGTGATATGTATTATGTACAGTAGTTCTTCGCTAATATTTGTATGCTCGGTCCTGCGACGTGAAGAATATCGAGGGAGGTATTGTTCCGAGAATTGCCGGTTGTTATCTCTGATTGCTCGACCGCATTGTAGGCAAAAGCGAGAACTGTTGAGTGTGAGTGAAATACATAACGCGGAGTCATAACGCTTCGGCGAAGCACTTCCAGTAATTGATGGGGATGACTTTGCGAACAATACCGAGGGAAAATTTGCGAACATTACCGAGGAACTACTGTATATATATATATATATATATATAATGTTTTTTTAAATATTTATTTGAAAAATTATTATTGACATCTCGACATTAGAATTATTTATTTTGATTTAAAAAAATGTAAGAGCCAGTCTTTTGCGTTTATTCATTATTAGCCGTTTATTTTTATGTAATATATACATATATATATTTATATATTTATTATATATATATTTATTTATTATATGCTATTATATTAACTTCTTCCATTGAGTTGCCGCGCGCGAAACACTGGACTGTTTTTGCATGCAAGTCGTTAATTATTGCGAATCTTGCAAAATGATAAAGGATCTTTCGATTCAGTACAATCTCTTTTATCTGCTTGCAAGCGGTGATACGGTCATTAAAGTTATATAACAGGATACGTTTTAACATTATTATATACAAAAAAAACATGCTATATTTCCTTTTGGTATTACATATTATACTTTTGTAAGCGATTATTATGTTCACAATAAAGATTGCGTTTCAATAAAAGTTTCAAACCATACGTATATTGTTATTATTACATATCTTCAGTAGCTTGTATGTATATACATTCGCCTCAACTGATTTGTTTACTGCAGAGTGTAACAAAAGAATCAATCAAAATCATTTTTCTTCTGCTTAAAGAAGTAAAAACAATAAAAAAACCCTTATTGATTTACAGTGAAACAAGAGCGTCGTCTGCATATCTGAAAGAAAAATTATTATTTTTAAGAAATTTATAGATTGAGTTAAAAAGTGCACTAAAAGCACTATTACGCATTTACTTAGTAAGTCGTCCAGTCTCCATTACTGACTAAGAGAATTATATCTTGGTCGAGAATTTGCTTACATTGTTTTGGCATATTATTGCGATAACGATCGCCAAATAAATCGTACATAATGACACAACTGCTTTAAAGTGAACACACGCTTTCCTTGAAGCTTTCTCTTAATAATGGACCGCACATTTTCAATTGGATTTGCATCAGGCGACTGCGCAGGCCAATTCAATGTCTGAATATTATTTTCGGCTTTCTATACAGTGCACAAACGGCTGCGGTGTTTCGGGTCATTGTCCTCTTGCAGTATCCACGATTCATTATCCGATCCAAACCACTTTTCAGCAGACTTTAATGTCTACAATGCACGTCGATAGAGCTTGAGCATCTTTTCAGCATTTCAATTGTGAGTAAACAAGTATAAAGTACCAAAATCGTGAAGCCCTCAAACATGGACCTTAACTAGATGTTTAAAGGTGCGCTGCAAAGGTGATTTTCCCGGAAGAGATCATGTGTATTTGGCAGGAGTGCAAATTTTCATGTGCAAAAATGCGATTCAGTAAATATCACATTACTCTAATCATGATTCAAATTTTGCATAGCCAATAAGCGTCGCTTTTCGATGCTGAGGTTTGAGGAAAGATTTCAACATTGTACTGTGCCAAGAGATGTTCTCACTCCCTTTTTGGCCAATAACTTTTGTCCTTGTCGCAATGTTAACAGAGACTTTTGCTGAAACAACTTGAAAATGACTTTATCTTCTTTTTTCGACGTTTCTCGCGTTTTTCCTCTCTTGAGAAAATCGTCAACATTGTTTCGTTTTTTTTGTTTTTGTTTTTNTTTTTTTTTTTTTTTTTTTTTTTTTTTTTTTTTTTTTTTTTTTTTTTTATATATATATCTTAGGTTTGTTTTATTTTCTGCACTGGCTGCATTAGTTCACAGTCTATCTGTTTTTTATATCTGTTTCCATATTAGAAGGAAAAAGATAGACTGTAAATGAATGCAGCCATTGCAGGAAAATAAAACAAATCTCATATCACCCATTTCCGTACAAAGTCTTCTGACTTATATTTAGCAGCAGCTTTATAAATCATTTTAGGTCCTTTACTGTGAGTACACAGTAAAGAGAACACAGTCTCGAAATGCTTAGCACTCATTTTGGGAATCGCGTATCTTATCACAATAAAAAGTAATACTGGCGTTTCTAGCACAAAATGTAATAGTCTCCCCTTCCCTTTAACGAATATTACAGTTGTACATCCTCCTAGTGGTTTTCTCTTAAAGCAGTTTAGCCGCCACTCTTGTGTTACAGACTGTACTTTAGAGTAAACAAATTACTCGGAACAACTGTACAGAAATTTTTATTTTATTTGGCGAGAAAAAACCATAGACTTATATAATAGACGGAACATTTATATGACGAAGTTGAGAACAACATTAAAGGACAGAGATAGTGCTGGAGTAGTTGTCTCTCTCTCTTACAATAAGATGGTAAGGGACCAATCATCTCACAAGTCTATGCTATCACCTTTCACTATCACTTTCTCTCAACTGACTCTCGAACTCTATCTTCGTTGCTCTCGGCCTGCCGCGGCCACCAATCAACTCACTGCTAGAAAAGAAGAGAATTACTCCACGACTATTTCTGTCTCTTTTAACGAAGCTTCAGCTCCTCTTACACGAATGTTCTATTATATATAAGTCTATGGAAAAAACATGATATGTATGTATATGGCTTTTGCTCCTCACGTGCAGGGGCGTGCGCCATAGAAGCAAAGAAGAAGAAGATATGTGTGTATATATGTATATGTATATATATAGTATATACATATACATAATGCTTTTTTTATAAAAATAAAATAATAAAAAACATTTTAATACAACAATTTAATGATAATTAAATCTTTAATATAATAGTCCTATGATGTGAAACTACAATTCTTTATAATGTAGAGTTGCAACTGCGTTTTATTTGCATTACAATGCATTTGCGAAGGTTGTCACGGTTTATTACTAAATTACAGTAGCTTTTTCTACATATCACTGTGATAAAAACGTGCTGCATTTTTTCTTACGTTATACTGAATATATGATTCTTTGAAAATAATTTTTAGATATATCAGAAAAACCAGTCAACAGATCGTTTATCAGTGCTTATCAGCCGATGAAATCAGTCTTGGTATAAGTAGGCTGTAAAATTATCAAATAACAATCATAATATGTAACAAAAGAGGAAAGAAATTCAAAAAAAGTAAAAGAAAAACAACCGTTAACACGTACTCTAGGTATATATTTCTATTTTTGTTTTATTCTTAAAAGTGAACATTAATCCCAACTATTTAAAGTGCCTTTGAAATAATTTATGTCGCAGTGTAATCATATCTTTTTCTCTTCGTCTTCGATGTTTATGTATTGTATACACGTATAATAGCTCCTTCTTTTCTCGTCAAAGCGAATTATTGAAAGCTATATATATATATCAGTTACATCATTTACATCTACAGTTGGAGTGATACACGCGTGACGAACACAGCTCTAACCTTTGAAAGAACATAATCAAGATTTTTTTTATATATATGACCATTTCTATTGCGAAGTTGGAATACTTATAAAGTGTAACAAAATATGACAACAGATTTTCAAGTATGTACATATTTTTCTACTAGTAAAAACAAACCTAAGTAGTGTTTTATAATATATATCAGAAATAAAAAAACTATGCTATATACATATGTAACTTTTAAATAAATATCACATTTTATCATTACACGAAACTTAAAGATTAGATTTCTATATTTGTTTTATTGGAAAATAAATAAGAGCTTTCTGAAGAATATAACAAATAAAAATCAAATTTGTAATTACATATCTCTAATCGTTCAAAAAATTTTTGTGTAATTTTTCAAATTTAACTATATATAATATGAAACACACGACAATTAAATTCTAATAAAATAGACACATTTTATATATTTTTTGATATTGACAAAAACTATATACAATAGACTTGCTATAGATCCGCCAAGTTATAAGCTGCTTGGCAGCGCCTTTTTACGTCCTTATCTCTACTAACACACACACACACACACACACATCCGAGCAATCTTCACGTGATACACCTTGGATAACGCTAATGCTGGTAGTACTTTCAAGGACATAACTTTCCAAGTTCTCATCGAACAAATGGCTTATAACTAATTTTTCGAAAACGCCTCGATGTCAGCTATAAGAATATGCGATGAAAAATAGAGGCTTCCATTTAAAAAAATCAATGTGACTTTGATCTGAACTTGACGACATTATCCAAGGTCAAACTGTTAACATCAGTAATTACATCACTTTATACTCTGCAACTTTTGTCTCAAACATTTTTTTTAATATTAAAACGTTTCGAGAAATTCAGCTGGTCCGGTACACATGTGACACCCTGTATATGTATGTATGTGCGAACATTTTCGGAAGAGAAAAACAATACAAAAAAATATTCAAATAAAACAAGTTCCTATAACTTTTTGCCGTTTTCTAATACATACATGTGTGTATATATATGTATATAAAAATATATACACATAAGTAGCAATTTGCGGATATATTGCAAAAACATCTGCTGATATAATATACATAAATCATTTAATCAATAAAAAGCGCACATGTTTAAACAAACATACTTTCTCTATAATAGTGTCTCATTAAAAATGCGACTATAAATACATGTGCTTAAATAATCTTATTCCGAAAACGCACGAGAAGCCGAGTCTATTTTAACGGATTGGCGATGTTCGGAATGTCCGGCGTCTCTGCGACAAGTCTGGAGCACTTTAGTCTGGGAAAACTATAATAACTATAGTAAAGTACATAGTCTATGTTTTTGCCTTCCTCTCGATCAGACAGAATAGATTCTGATTTTACAATATCGCTGCGATCGTAACGTATCACATTTGTCGCAACGTCGCACAACGTACAGTTCTTGATCCTTAACCTTTCTCTCCTCTTTTTTATCTCTTTCACTCATTCTTTCTCTTTCTTCTAACCTGGGTCACTTGGATCCACGTGTGCTGTCGAACGCTGCTGAACGCGATGCCAAATACACGATCATTAGTAAGTCTCGTTTTAATGAAGCGATTTCATGAGTGTCGTGCAGTCATGCGAGTTATCATGAATGATACAATGATTCATTTGTTCTTTGCTCTAGAGTGTTGTCTTTTTTGGTTAATTATAATGTGTAATATACTTGATGCATCAGGTTATATATAAAATGCTCTGCCCAGTTAACTGACATATAAATAGATTATTGGAACCCAATAGTCACTAAAAAGTCAAGTCTATGTATGAAATTACATTTCAAAAGCTATGAAAACTTTGCATTTTGCATCTAAAATAATTTTAGTAAACTTAAAATTAAACTAAAACTTCTATGCAGTTCAAAATTTTTTTGCACTGTGGATTTTAGTCGTAGTCGTAGTCAAGTTTGTAAAAAAATGTTAACATGATTAAATTAAGCTATAAAAATGTAAATATTTTACTTTTGATTTATGCAAAATGTATTAATAAATATAAAAAAGAGTAATTGTATACATGGTTTAATATATCTTTTATAGTTTACATATATTGTCATTATGTATGTATTACATATGCATTATGTTAGTATGTATATACATACATATATATGTTTGTATTAATTTAAAAAAAAAAAGAAATAGGATTTATATCACAATTATTTCAACACATTAACTGTTATTAATAATCATGGTATTAATATTAATATAAGTTATGAGAAAGGTTTATAAAATCTAAAAATATTAACTAACTGAGGTATAAAAATGTACGTGTATAAGTATATAAACTACTTCAATATTTTTATAGGTAGTGCCGGTTTTGGCTGCAGCAGGAACAATAATTGTAGTAGGAATAGCATATAAAATATTTAAATCTTGGAGTGAGAAAAAGAAAACTTCTCCAGTACTCTTGGCCAATCCAGTAGTTAAATATAGCCTGCCTTTAATTCAAAAAGATATAATAAGTCATGATACAAGAAGATTTAGGTTTGGATTACCAACGCCAAACCATGTTCTTGGTCTACCTATTGGTCAGCATGTACATTTAACAGTAAAAATTGGAGAAGAAGTTGTAATACGTTCATACACACCTGTTTCAAGTGATGACGATCATGGCTATGTAGATCTTGTCATAAAAGTAAATAAAGTGTATTAATTACATTGTGAAAGTGATATATAATATAATATACAATAAGACAAATATATTTTAATTACAACTAATGTTTAGGTATATTTTAAAAATGTACATCCAAAATTCCCCGAAGGTGGAAAAATGTCTCAATATTTGGAAAACATGAAAATAGGAGATACCATTGATTTCAGAGGCCCCTCTGGTAGATTGATTTATAAAGGAAATGGTAAGATCTTAATAAAACTTCTTAGGAAAGAACCACCTGTGGAGTATAATGTTACAAAGGTAAGCACATCTGTTTATTAAATAAGATGATTGTTGCATATTATAACTCTTGTTCTTATTAATGTTATATAAAAGAAAAATAACTCTTTATCACATATAAAATAATAGTTCATATATGTGTTTTAGATTGTTATGCTTGCTGGTGGCACGGGTATCACTCCGATGTTGCAGTTAATTCGCGCGATAATAAAAGATCCTACAGACGAAACTGAGACTTCTTTATTGTTTGCCAATCAGACGGAAAAAGACATTTTGCTTAGAGATGAATTGGATGAAATTGCCAAGGAGCATCCGAATAAATTAAAACTTTGGTATACACTAGATACGAGTAATGAGAAATGGCCTTATAGCACGGGATATATCAGCGCTGATATGATAAAAAAACACATGTTTCCACCATCATCAGATACTATCGTATTGATGTGTGGTCCTCCTCCAATGATCAATTTTGCTTGTACTCCAAACCTAGATAAACTTGGCTATGATACTAAATTACGATTCGCGTATTAATTGTAATTTGTATCATTAAAATCATAAATAATTATACGTCTACTAATTGAATCTTTTCTTTTTTTTAATGTTTCTCCTGCGCACGCTTCTGGTATGTTTTTTTTTAGATGTGTGTGTAGATATATAGAGTGAAACAATAACTTTGTTCATCCGGAATATCTCTGTTATTCTTAGAGATATGAAAATAGTGTAATATCAAAAATTGTGTGGTATCAAAAGGCCGTAATATATTAATAATCATTTTTCTGTGAGTAGATGCTCTTCGGAGATTTCACTTTCAATTTTTTAAATGGTGTGCTATATTTTTTTATTTCTAATGCAATAGTATGTTTCGAGGATTTTAATGATCTACAATACATGTGTATGTATTGTATATGTAAAGGATATGTTTCATTTAGCCAATTTTCTCAAAAGTTATTGAGAAAAGGATGATATAAAAAACTGATTTAAATAAAAATGAAACGGTTTCGGAGAGTACGTATCTTGGTAACGTTGTTTTTCTTCCTAAGTGAAGACAAAAAAAATATACAAAAGTCACCTTTTGGGGAGCGCGCCATCAGCGCTGTTGCATCATTCTATCTTCATTATTCATTAGATGTAAAAACGAAGATAGAATGACGCAACAGCGCTGATAACGTGTTCCCCAAACGCAGTCTAAGGAAATAGAAAAAGCAAAAAAAAGAAAATAAAATGGTTATAATTGGTCGCGCTGGTTCTGTGCATTCCGTTTCGCTATAGATTTCCGCTCAATTAGACGCCGTTCTAAGACAGCCCGATGCATACTTATATTCACGGATTTTTATTAAGATCTCGGTAATTATTGCGAATCTCGCAAAATGGTATAGGATTTTTCGACTCAGTTTTACTCCTACTTGTCTATAAGAGATTGTACATCAATTGTCGGACACCCTGTATATGTATATAATTTATATACATGATATGAATAATTGTATTACATATATTTTTTAATATTTTTTAATTGTATTACATATATTTTTGTTCATTAGGATTTAAAATTTTTACAAGACAGAAAGCGATATTAAAACATACTATTTAGTTTACATTAACGCTTTGTATAAAAAATAGGAAGAAGAAGAAATATAAATAGATAAAAACATGACACAACATGACTACAGTATATTTTGCTTTTTATGTATGACAATTAGTACATCAATCTTTCATCGATTACAGCATTGTCAAAAAAACAAAATATTGAAATATTTTCTTACTTTTAATTTAATAATTAACTCTAATTTGAAGAAGAGTCGTTTATATGTTGTATATAAAAGATTTGTAAGAAATTGCAAAGTAGAGATAAAGCTTTTTATTAAAAAAAAAAAAAAAGAAAAGAAAAAACACATTAACAACGTCCTCTATCTTGTACGCGTTTCCTAGGAGCAGCACGCAAAATATCATCTACACGTAATATCATTTCTGCTGCTTCGGCTGCACTTACAAGAACTTGTCTCTTTACTACCCAAGATTCGGTGATTCCCAATCGCTTCATGCAACCGATTTTGCCCAGTTCCATGTCTGTAAAGTCCCCAAAAAATGTACTTTATAAATGTAACTTTTTATATGAAACTAAACACACACGCACACTGAATTCAATAAGAGAAAAGAATCAAACTAAACAAAAACTCGTCGATTTCGCGCATCCTCTACCAAAAAGCCTCTCACTCTACAGTAATTGGCTGGCTGCCAGCGGATGTCCCGCGCGCAACGCTATCTCTACTTTGCCCGTTTTTCTTTATTTATGAGCAGATTGATTCTCTCATTGAACTCAGTGTATATAATAATAATATAAAATAGATAGAAATTCTTGCCTAATCCCATGGTGTGAGCATTAGAATTATGTGCGGCTCTCAGTTCGCTAATTAATTGCGCCGAATCATAGCCGGCGTTATCGGCAATGACAGTTGGCAATTGCTGTAATGCTCGGGCAAAAGCTTCCATTGCAACCGCTTCTTTGCCCGGTGTAGCTGCAGCCGCTCGCATAACGGCGCAAGCCATGAGCATTTCGCTGCATCCACCACCGTAAACTATTTTTGACTCGCGCACTGTAGCGGCTAAGACGCAGAGAGCGTCATGTAGCGATCTCTCAGCTTCGTCAATAATCTGTTGGGTTGCGCCGCGTATAACAACAGTGCAAGCTTCACCTAGTGGAACTCCAGAAAATCTCAAAAGTGTATCTTCTCCTATCATGACCTATATAGAAATATAAAACAATTTATATAAAAAAAAATCTGTTTTATATTTTATCTGAGATTTAATAATCAAGTAATTTGTACATATATATCAAAACTGCAAAAATTATTGTAAATTTACCTGCTCGATAAGGTCACATCTTCCGAGTTTGACTAACTCCGGATTATCGAAAGTACTTATTATTTCACCGCCAGTAACAAGTGCTAATCTCTCAATACCATCGAAGTCTGCATGTTCAATAGCCATTACACCAGCGTCAGCAAATAGTTGCTCGGGATAATTGTAAATTAGTTGCCTATTAATAAAAACGTTGCATCCATGCTTTAAGATCTTGTCAACTTTATTCTGAAAGTCCAAAAAATTAATTTACTTTTACATTTATAGATATAAACATGTGAATTTTGAGAATGAGTATTTTTTCCATACTTTCATTTTTTCTTTTTCTGCGGCTTCTAACTCTGCTATTTTTGCCATCGAATCAACGCGAACTCTAGAGCCAAAAACCTATAAACAACAATATAGAGTTAACAATTAATAGAATTTTTAAGGCTCTGAAGTTTTTAAACAATAAGTGTATGTAAATACGGTCAATCAGAGCTATTTAGCTGGATGTTTTTTGCGTATACACATATATATACGTGTTTACGTGTAAATCTTTACACGTTACAGTATAGAGTTAGACGAAATACATATATTATATAATATAGCATAAATAACATATACCTTAATTTTGTCTGTATCCATAGTTGTATTGGCAATGAGAATGCGCGCATTGGTAACTTTTTGTGGTTGATGAACACCGGGCTTCTTATCTAACAAGAAACCTTCATCCAAAAATGAATCAGCGAGTGTTGCACCGCGTTTTTTTATGACTTGTATTGCAGACAAATTTCCAGAACCTTTAAGACGCAACACTGCATCAACTGCGAGTTTACTAAAGTGTTCCTTATGTTGAGACAAGATCTTTGAGCTCAATGTTGTCCTTGCGATATTTAATAAGTCTTCTCGAAAACGTTCGGGATCTGCGGAGTTGTCCGTAGCTACATTTGCCAGAGCTTCTACAGCTACATTTGCAGCACTTCTCCAACCACTAATTATAGTTTGTGGATGAATCTTTTGGTTTTCTATCAATTTCTCAGCTTCTCGTAACAATTCAGATGCTACAAAGACAAAACAAAGATAAAAAAATTATTTTGAAGATTAAATACTTATAAAAAAATTTAAACAAATATTGATATTATATGTACCCAGAACTGTAACAGAAGTAGTGCCATCTCCTACTTCATCATCCTGGACACGTGACATGTCTACCAAAATTTTAGCAGCAGGATTATCTACTCCAATACTTTTTAGAATTGTAGCACCATCATTAGTCACTTGTACTTGTCCTGCAGATCTGCCTTGTGCTATGAGAATTTTGTCCATTCCTTTAGGACCAAGAGTAGATTTTACCAGATCTCCAATGGCTATAACTCCAACAAATAAACTTAGCCTTGCAATTTCAGCTTTCTCTTCTCCAGCTTCATTCTTCAAAATCCGTACTGGATTCAAAGAAACCTTCAAGAAACGAATCCAGTAAAAAATTTTAACAAAAAAATCACAAGTTTTATAAAAGTACAATTCCACAAGAATTTTTGACTTTGCATAGAAGATAAAAAATCAAAGTAAAATTGTATGTTTATAAAATTTTACTTTCAATGTCTATCATGCTACAAAGTTAAAACTTAATAAATCTAGCGTGAATAAACTACAACGCATGCGCAGATCAATACATTTTGTCGACATGATAACTTCCTAACCTGAAAAAACAACACATGTAAAGCTTAATTACTCACTTTTCGAGATAAAGTGATCTCTTGTTCTTATTAATTAAGTTCTTTCATTTTAAACAAAAACTAATAGAATGAACATAATCGAAATTGGAGATAGATAAATAGTAAACTTTTATCTATTATTCTATAACATGTAATTGTTAAGTGGGGTTATATTAATTGAGAAATATCAAAAAAGTAGATCTTACGTCAACTCGCTTAACCTGGCAATTACAATTGTCATGCAATTATTCATTATTTTTATTCCAATGATTACGTACAACTCAGTTGTACATTTTAAGAGACCGGTTCGAGCGAAATAATCATTTAATTTAATTACGACATGAAATATTATACACAAAAATCAAATCCAACTTACCATTATGAAGTAAACCGAAGAACTTTTTCGAAAACACTCAAATACTATGGAATAAGAGCAATATTCAATGCCAAATCGATGACGAATGTTCGAGAAACTCAGCAAGACTCATGTATGTAATACTTCTATATTGCTAGTAGAGTGTCGACCCCAAACCCAAGCTCCAAGCAGTGTTCACAGTTTTGGCTCTCTCACTCTCACAGCATGCTAAAGCGGTGGAGGGGATGCGCACAACAGCAGCGAGGTCTAACCGCATGAACTCGCTGCTGTTATGCGCATCCCTTCCACCGCTTCAGCATGCTGTAAAAGGCTGCCTACAATGGATGTAGCCAAGCCAAGCCAGCAGTGATGAAAGATCGAGCCCGTAGCAACGAAAGCATCGAGCGGTGGGGGCACGCACACAAGCAAGAATCGTCGTCCTTGACTTGTGTGCGTGTTCCTACCGCTTCGATGTTCTCGTTGCTGCGATCTTTCATCATTGGCCGTCAGAGGAAAAATACTTCCCATCACGCCGCACATATGGTGCACTCCTCTGTTATATACATATGTATATATATATACAGGGTATCCGACAATTACTTTAAAATCTCTCGTAGGAGTAAAACTGAGTCGAAAGAAAGAAAGAAAGAAAAAATCAAGTTCGGCTTGATTTATTCAATAATTACTCCTTTATTACATGTAATAGAAAAAACTGGTTCAGAACTTTTCGACTCAGTTTTACTCCTTCTACTTGGCTACGAGAGATTTTTAAGTAATTGTCGGACATTCTGTATGTGTGTGTGTGTGTGTACATATGTGCTTTCACAAAATTACAAGAGATCATATAATGTGTGTATATAATGGCAGTATCTTTATTAAAATAAAAATAGGATTACCTTCAGCGATTTTTACATGTTTCAAAGATAAGTAATTTGAAATAGTTTTCATTGTCTAGTACTTAAATTATACACATGTATATGCGTACACACTCATGCATACACATATTAATATATTATAGTTTATATGTCAAAGAAAGATCTGCATAAGCAGATTATCTAGCATAAGCCTGCATAACTCAGTAATTGACTGGAATACACCAACAGCATCCAGAATAGTATTTTGACGTGTCAGTACTGAAGCGAGTTGTGCACGCCTAATATTTATGATTTTGTATTATAAAAAAGTGTATATTTGTATGCGTACTGTATATATATGTACAAGATATCTTAATTTTACCCTTTGTTTCACATAATTTATCTTGAAAACCAATAGTTGTTTTAAAAACTGTTGTTTGCATGTGAAAGTTTGTTTAGCTTCAAAACAAGTATCTTATCATCATCTTTTATTTGTGCCATGTTAAAAAAATTTAAACGAAATATTTGTCCCTAAGTACGAAATCCTATATTTATTGTGTGAAAGATTCCGATGAACAAAGAGAGAAATTGAAAAAGATTTTTATCGTTAACAGTTTCTGAGAAAACAAATTGCAAAACTTTACATGGATCATCCTGTATACATAATAATATCAGGTGCGTTAATTGTGTAAGAAATTATTTTAAAGACATATATATAGTATTGATATGTGAGACTGAGATATAAAACTGAAAAAGTTTCTTCACAATTTTAACAAATATGTTAAAATCTTTTTTAATGATTAGTTCTGATTGTTTTTTATCTATAATCAATCAGTACTTGATTGACGTTAAATGATTCAGAAAAAGTAGAAGTTCGATGTAGAAAAATAATACATATCAGAAATAAACATCCATCTAAAAGTTACTTATGAGACTAAAAGTTTGCTGTAAAACGGATAATTATGATAAAAATAATCATTAAATTACAAGGAATGTAATAAATATACACATACAAAGTGACTTTTTTTCATTTCGAGCATTTGTTATCGATAACTGGAAATAAAGCGTATCTTTGAAAATTTTCAAATGACGGAAATGCATGATCATAAAGAATTGTATTGTACTAATCATAAAAAAGCGTATTGACTTATAGATTCATATTTTTAGTATTTCTTAACATATTTTATGCTAACGCTATAAAATATTTCAAAATGGTATCATCTAAATATTAGTTCTTTGTAAAAAATATAAAATAAAAATAGAATTTTTTAAACACTCAAGAACGCTTCAACTTGTTTTGATAACGTGGAATGAGTAAAAATAAGCGATTGTTATATCTAAGCGAGGCACGTAAGCGATTCTATGGCACGATAAGAGATAAAATGTTTGCGAAAAGACAGCTCGAATAAAACAAGTTCACTAAAAATCCTGTTATTCGCAATATATTTTCTAGGTTTTTTTTCTTTAGTTTAACGTGTGAATATTTTTTACTTTAGAGAAGTGAAAGAATTACTTTCTTTAGATAGAAACAAAGAGAATATGCAAAAAATGGAATTAACAGTATGTGTAGTACAACCTTCATGTTTTTTCTTTCTACATTGCATATACACTAGATACTATTTGTTCCACTGCATCAGTATAAGTTCAAGTTTTTTTTATCGTGCTGTCATTGTACAAAAATGCTAGTTCTCTCTTATAGTACTACATAATCTTTTGTCTTATTAATAAGAATCATATAATGTCTGTATCTATATTTCATGGCATTTAAAGCTTTCGATTCTTTTGATATTCATTATATAGAAATAGATTTGCCTAACGATTTATTCGATTTTATGAGGTAGGTCATTCTGTTTCGCCATCGGAATAATATTCTATCTTTGTAGATGTACGAGGCTTTCTCGAGTATCTTAATCCTAACGTACTTACAATTTCTTCGATATGTGACAATACCTAAAACATAAAATGCTATTATATAATTGACAGTTATAAGAAAGCGAATTTTGATTCAGTATTATTATTATTACTTACATAATCTAGTTGTTCTTTTGTATGTGCAGCGGAAAGACAAAATCTAATTCTACCTTCCATTAATGGCGTAGCTGGAAATCCAACGCCAACAGTTGCAATATTACGTGTTGTCAGAGTGCGGATCACTGCACTGTGTTGAATAACATATCACAAAAATACATATAATTTTTTATTATAGACATATATGTGTTATATCGGTGTGAGAGAGATCTGATTCCATACACATATACACACGGTTTAAAAACTATTTCATCTACTTACCCAATCTTTGAAAATAAATAGACTAACATAGGTACAACAGGCGAATCCTCGTTTCCATAGGTTATAACACCAATTTGATTGAGTCGGCGTCTGAAGTACCTTGTATTTCTAGCTAATTGTTTAATACGTTTTTTACCAGTATCGGTGCCATCTTCTCCTAGAATAATTCGCATTGATGTGATAATTTGTTGTGTAACTGGCGGAGACATCGATACTGCGTACGTGTGCGCGTGGCCGTATATTCTAATATGATTTATTAATGCCTGAAACAAATATATCCGATAAAGAACTTGTAAAAAGCTGGTAGAATAGATGCTAGAACATCGATCATTGAAATACTACTTTTGTTCCGGCTATATATCCACCCGCCGAGCCGAAGCTTTTTGTGAATGTTCCCATAAGTATATCAACTTCGCGCGGATCAATGTCGTAATAATCGCAAATTCCTCTTCCACGTTTTCCCATAGAGCCTGTGCTGTGTGCTTCATCCATGTAAAGATATGCCTACATGCCAAATTTAACATTTACTAGTCGTAACAAAATCAACACAATAATTGAACACACATTATTCTTACTTTATATTTCTTTTTTAACTCTATTATTTCTGGCAAATGAACAATGGAGCCTTCCATAGAATAAACACCCTCAACAACGATAACTATTTTCTTCCAAGCTTCACCAGTCTTTGGCTGTCCAAAAACAATAGCCTTTTTCAAACATTCCTCCAGGTGTTTAACATCTATGATATATAAATCTCGTCACTTTTCCGCGTAACAAAAAGATCATTGTGTGCATTACGAACAGGCAGTTACGTACTATTATGTTTAAAAATTCGTATCACTGCATCAGATAATCGTAATCCAAGAATCAGTGAAGCGTGATTCTTTTCGTCACTGAGAACCAGACAACCTTTGCTGACCAAAGAAGGTAGATTTAAAGCATTTGTTGCAAATCCCATTCCAAATACTATTGCATCATCTACTCCCAAAAATCTTGCCGTCAATTTTTCTAGTTCAATATGTATCGGCATAGTTCCTTAAATATAATAAAGATAATTCTTTCCATTTCTTAATTTAATAAATTTTTCATACGAATTAAAGCAAAGTTAAAGAAGAAAATATTACGAGAATAAAGAGTCTCAGAGTTATTTACCTAATTCAAGACGCGTACTGCAACTGGCACAGCCAAATTCCCTGAGTGTTTTGATGCTCTCGTCAGCACACTTACTAGTCGACTCAGCAAACCCTAAATAATTGTAAGAGCCCAAATTTATACATTGCGTTTCAGTTCCAGTAAATCTGTCAAGATTAAAAATTTGGGATTTCACTCTATCAATATGTAGCACCATATGTATTATACACATATGTATGTATTTATTCAAACTTACTGAAACGTCCATCCGTAATCACGAGTAACTTGATCCTTTAATGTAACTGTTGCTCCAGGAACGGAGCATATCGGTCTGTTCCAACAATCTTTGACTCTTCTATAGACATATCTGAGATAGAACTTCTCGAAATTGTCATAAAGCGGAGCATATCCCTGAAAAGATACACTGAGAATGTAAAACAGCATTAAAATAAAAAGGATAAAGAATTATATCTTCTACTATTGATAATCTTGTTTTTTTGTAAAATATAAATAAATAATATTTAATGTCATACCTCCCTGTTTTTCTCAGTGGCTACCTTCGGAACAAAAAATAGCTGATTGATAAATCCCAGAAACATAAGAATGTAAAAACCTAGATGTGTGAACGCCGCTGTGATTATTGAAACTTTTTCGAAAGATTCTTTTGACAGCGATGATTTTTGTACTTTTCTTGATGTTGAATCGTAGGAACACTACAATTAATGTGGGAATTAGATTCCATACAAAGCACTTTTTATCAACATATATATAAAAGCAATGCGAGAGAATATCAAGTTTATTTTTTTATTTGTGATGGAATTTTAAAATATAAAATCTTACAAGAGAACATATATAATGTTAAAACTTTGTAAGATAATTAAATAAAGTTTCTTCGAAATTTTTATTTAATACTGATGAAAAACATCATGTGTACTGCAAATAACGTTCGATAAATTCGAAATACATCGCGTAAATATGTAGAATTTGGAAATATTCGAAAAAACGAGAAAGGAAAAGAAAGAGAGAGACACAGATTACAGATCTTAAATAACATTGAAATAATATTTTAATGTGTGGTTTTATACGTATTACAAAGATGTGATTTTCAAGACTACATATATATATATTTGTTTTAATATACACGAGTACGTGTAAAATACGCTGTAGCATATAATACAAAGGCGACACATTTTCTGCTGACTGTTTGAAACTGTTACGTTCGGCCTTTCTTGGCGAGAATGTCGGAACATGTTACAAATGGTGCTTGTTAAACGTAATCAGTTTTTTTCTTCTCTTCTCATTGATTCTTTACATCAATTATTATACACGTGTAAATAGAAAAATTTACTACTTGAGCAAAATCTATCTGAGAACATCTAAGTACTTTTTTGTTGAAAAACAAAATTGTTACATGTTTTTATAATTCGAATTACTTAGTAAACGAGACGAAACGGCTTTTTATCAGTTTCTTTAACGCTGGAAATATGATATATTTAATATAAAAGCGGATATCTTAATCTCTGAAGTTGACTGAGACTGTGATAACAAATTCTGCGAGTAGATTATCTCATCGACCAAGTATCTCACGGACAAGCAAACGGAAACGTCAAATTCGCATTTAAGTACTACCGCACTCGGAGAACAAGCAATGAGCCTATTTTTCAGTTATATTAAAAAATAAGCATATTATTTATTTATCAAATGTACATATTTTAGTATGCGGTTGTCTCTTTCTTTCTCTCCATAGTTTTTTTTTTTTTTTGTTATTATACAATTTAGAAAACATTTTGAAAAAATGATCAACTTGATCAATCCAACTTGCATGGTGTGATAATGTTTCGCGTTTTCGTTCGTTGCGTTTCCACAAAGAAACTATCGTCATCTGTTAAAGTTTAATTATGTTTACATTTTACATCAATTGTATTTTTTCTTAGAGCGCGCATTTTGAAGCGTAAGTTTGAACGACAGTTCAGGGTAGTTATGCGGTGAAAAAAACGAGACTGTGAGAATAAGAGCTCAACAATGGTGACATGGTAACAACAACATCTATGTCACATCATGTGAGTCAAGTAATGGACCAAGTGACGATAGAATAAGTACACAGAGTAACGCGCGATCGAGAAAACGAGAATTGCTGAGCAGCAAACTTTTTTGACATTTTTTATTTTCCGTTAGTTTTAATAAAAGAGACAAAGCGAATCGTTACTTACATGTCCATTGCCCGTCAGGATATAACCGTTAGTTCTACAAACATTCTCAGCGCTGTGAGGAACCAAGCCGTTTTGCAGCGATGACGACGACGACGACAGCGACGGCAGCATCTTCTTCTCGGTATTCGGTGCTTTTTCGTCGCACGTGCCCATCGAGCGCAACCTCGTGGTCGTCATCGCCATCATCGGCTCGATCATCTAAGCGCTCTACGGTCCGGTTATACTAACGGGTAACTTTTGTGTTCACACACGTTGTTCAATTCGATTTGTAAAGCTAGACGTGTGATACGAAACAGGATGTTGTCACGACACTCCGACGCGTATCCGGACGTACTCGTCGTTATCACTCACCACTGGGTTACTTTGTAGCCTGTGTTCGCGTTTACATCACCACCACCGCATGTTCCGCCGTAGTGTGTTGCTTTAAGTCACACAGCGCCTGCGCGCGCCATACCTGATAAGCTTTTGGCGTTGTGTGACGCCCCGCAATGACGTAAGAACCGCATAGAAACTGTATAATGTGAAAAAATAAACTGCACATTCTTGGTCAAGTACTTGCGAGAGAATTTGGGAAACAGAAGAAAAATATCTTCTCTTTCTTTCTTTCCCTTTGAGAGAGATTTCCGCATTTCCACATACCCATTAGTTTTGTTAGAAAGAGAGAGATAAGTCTCTTCTACAGCTGTTTCAAAATTCACTGCCAGTACTGAAGAAGATCTACAGGTCACGTAGTACACAGGCATAAGTTATAGATTTTCATTAGTGGCGGTGAGTTTGGAAACAGAACGAATGTAGCATTTCTTCTAATGATTGGTACGAGTTTTCCTACTAGAAAGATCGAGCACGTAAGAGTCTAGAATTTAGGACGGGACTTCGGCCTTTTGCGCGGTGCGTCGTTCTCATGTGCTACATTCAGTCGTTTCTTCATCTTATTCCTGGTCTTTTTGTCGTTGAACAACTACAACTGAAAATGTATCTTAACCTCACAGCGTACATGTACCCACAATATGTACTTGTTTTATTGACAACAACACACACAGAAACAAAGAAATACATAACTGCAATGTGGTTACGTAAGGAATGAAAAAATGCGAGAATATAGAAACAAATGGTATAGACAATAGCTGAAATTTTTCTTTTTTAACAGGACTATGAAAAAAAGTGGGTAAGAAACGGTTGTTAAACAGTGTGTCTCTATAATTGTGTAACAAATCAATGCGTGCGAAATGACACATCCACGAGCGATTTGAGCCGGCCGGCCGGCCGGCTGGCTGACATGACAGGTCGACCGGTAAGAATCGGGCGAGTAGAGTAGGGGGGTACAGTACGCGACTGTGCGGCGATTGGTCCGTGTTGCTCGATGCGATGGAAGAGGGCGATTCCTTCGCGATGGAGAACGAATTCGCAATTCCCGTCTATTGTGTCGGATATCGCGTATATACACGTTAATATTTCTTCCGTTACTCTGTTAGAAGAAAAAAACATCTGCGAGAATATTTCTTTCATTGCTAACCTGCCGTTGCAGCCGTCGGTGACGACGACGACGACGACGACGACGACGACGGCGGCGGCGGCGGCTGAGGCAAGGGCGGTGGTTGTGGCGGCAACACATGAAAAGAGAGCAGTTGACATTTTGGAGTGATCAAGTCGACGAGAAAGTGGGTAGATTATCGAGCGAGAGAGAAAGATAGTGCGGAGACGCGCCGTTAACCGAGCAGCATCGGGAGAGGCAAGGTCGTGCGGTACTGAGATGTACTGAGAAAATCGCCGCGGCAGCGAAGACAACGTCAGCAGGTGGGAGTAACACCCTAGCGTACACCTAGCTTTGTATAAGAGTAGGGAGCGTCGCGCCATTCCGCGCAACCGACATCGAGAGCAGGATCAAACGCAGACGATAGGTTCTTAAGTTTGGTGTGAGTCGTCGTGTTAAACATCGAATATAGTTAGTGTATCAACACGGAGATGGATTCGCGGATCGAGGATGTTTCCTTCACGAGAGACCACGATTCCGTCGACGATTTCGAGCATCTCTGCCACGACGGTACGTCGGATTATCATCCGGAACGGCATCGACTGATCGATACGTCATGTGTTGACGATCTGCTGCACATTGGTGACTCCCTTCAGCAGGCAACGGATTCCGTTCTACCGAAAGCCCTCGTCGCCGATAACGAGACAAAGCCTGTGCCCGCGACGCCACCACCTTCTGCGGATTTTGACGAGACACAGGATCCGTTCGAGCAACCGATGCGTTCGGCCGATCCCAAGTTAGCCAGTATGACGTTTGTCGAGACTGAGCGCTCGGCTCATCACACCGCTCACGACGATCACGCTTTTCAGCAGCCGTCACCGATCTCGATTCCCGCTCACACCGACCTGCTGCTCCCTTCGTCGGCAAAGAAAATCACCGGAGATAGCGCGAACGAAAGTCAATCAACTGATGAACGCGTTTCAACCACCGACAACGAAGCCGTTCCGACCAGCAGCGCTAATGTCGACGAGTTTCGAGACATTAGATCGTTCACGGACAAATCGGATCTCCTCGGAGATGAGCCTTCGAACCGAGGAGCTAAGAATATTATGGACGACGACTCGTGGAATCTAGTTGAGCAAACGGATACGAAACGAGAAGGGCCAAAGGAAGCGCCGACGAAGCCGCTACCTCCATTGCCTAAGGATGCTGAGTTACCCGAGAAAAGCGTCGACGAGGTACTGTCCAGCGATACTCTGCTCTCGGAAGTTGTCAAACCGTCACCACCATCGTTCCAGCATACTGCCGATTCCGAAAGTGTTAAATGGCGTCAGAAACCCAAGGAGACCGATTACGTTTGCTCTCGCCCGCTCGCCAAAAAGAAACAAGAAATCGAAATAGCACCCAAAGAAATATTCAGAGACATGGGATTGGGTGAGTGTAATTTTTTTTTTTTTCAAACACATCTATGTCCTTGTACAAAACTGAGATGATAAATATGGTTTTAGAAAAATATTCACGTCAAACACACACACATTACGAAATATTTTATTATAATATCACAAATAAAACAATTTTACGAAACATATTTAAAAGTTGATACTTCGAATAATAATCTATTCGAAGAATCATGTAATTAAATAAGTAAATGATAAGTTCGAAAAATCTAAGAAAATCGAATATACAACAGCAACGTTATTTTCATAAATAAAATCACAATTTATGCAGAATTTCGTACGATTAGTTACTATGTATGCTGCTTTATCTGTGAACGCAAAAAGCCTTGACGAGAAAATGTTAATTAATTTAGTAGAAATGTACGAACTTGACCATGCTTGAAAGCGCTTCCGCTTGGTTACAGAACGCCGTGATACTTTGTCTAACTTTCGTTGTATATACGTACATCTTTTTCTTAAAATTACGTCATTGTTTCTTTATACAAGTCTGCACGATTGAAGAATGCGAGTTCCACAGGTGTGTCCTAACGCGTTCTCAGATGATACACAATGATTGTTAACTATCTATCATATAGATAGCATGTAAATCCGGTTTTAGAAAGTAAGCTAAAGACACGGTATATGCTAGAGAAAAAAAGTTAATAAGAAAATTACAGGCTTTCACTTGCAACGCAAGACTTTTGTTTTGCGGTTGAAGTTTAACACAAAAACACGTATATGCAACGCAGGTTAGAAAAAATTGTTGACAAATGTTAAGCTAAAAGTAGTAAAAAAAAAAAAAACAAAAAAACAATTGTGTGCAAGAACAGTTTTACAATTTCTAGTCATTTTTCTTGCATCTTTAATATCTTTGTTCCTCTTTTCACTAATGCATTAATCACGGAACATTTAGTCATCGATAACTATACTTATGTGGCTCAGCTCTACAACGCATACACTTACACAAGTTTACATTCCACGCACTGTTTTGAATGAGTATTTTTACATATGATTCATATTCGCGAATATTCTTCTATCTTCCGTGTTTCTTATATGACAAAAATCTTAAAAAACACGATATAAATTGACACGAAAATATATTTTATAATATTTACACGGTATAGAGGACATGTATGTTTTGTTTTTCATACATATCGCGTTTCACACAACATACAAAATATACGTATTTTTTCATTTATTTACTTATTTATAATAGATTATATGTTCGCTATGACTTCTATATTTTTTCTCACGACCTCATCTACATCGGTTGACTACTTCAACACGAACTCCTTATTTCTGCAAAATTGATAACTTTCTAAATACGAAGGTTCTTAGTATCAAGTGTGTACACGTGTATCTATGTTTCTTGAAAACGATTAACATTCAACCGTTTTAGTATTTTAAAACGTTTAAAAAATTCTGAAGGACGTGTTAAAAAAGAAACCGTCGAATGACAATAAAATAAAACGCGTTTTAGATGATTCAAAGTTAATTTCTCACTTTAAATCATCTCTTTAACCGATCGGAATGGTTTTATAAAACTATTGTAAAGAAATATTTTATAATTGTCGATAATTTTTGCGTCTCCGCGAAAAAAAATATCATGTCAGTCTTACACATGAGTCATGGATTCGTCGCTATAAAACGTAGGTATTGATCGGTGCAGCTGTTTCTCTGCACTTCTCTGCGGTACGTGCACGGTGCAATACATGCTCATAACCCAATTGCGCCGCGCACCGTATCGCGTTCAGACATTGCAATTTTCTTTTAATTATTTGAAAGTTTTTAAGAAAATATCTTAACATACACATACAGTATATGCGTGTCGCGCCAAACATTTTTTCAAGATGATGATACACGTTACCTGAAAAGAGTTTTACTTTTGAACTCAAATTCATTCGATGAATTACGCGTCGTAGGGCAAAAACTATCATCTTAAAATCCCATTTGAGAGACACTTTCTTCTTTGATTGTATGATTTGTTTTAGAAAGAAGATTTTTGTATGATCTGTTTTATCGAGATATAACATGACGGGAATTCATCAACAACTGGTTATTATCGAGTGGGCGCCAAAAGATGGAGTTGGAAGAAATGTACCATTGCACGCATTTTATTAAAATCACTGAAACAGCTGATGTTGCGACTTGGTTGAACAAGAAAAAGTCAAATAGGGTTTTCAAATGGAGTGAGTTTAATCGCTCTTGGAGTCTTAATTAATTTGTGCGCTCTTGAAAATGAACATTAAAGCATTAAAGAGCTTTATCTACAACTGGGAATCTCTAATGCGTGCGAGAGGGTTAAAACTGCGAAGTTTGTTAGGGTTCTGCGTGGGCGCCGTATTGTCTGCTGAACTTAGCATCGCCCCTACTTCACTATTCGCGATTATAAATAAATGTTAATGTACATAGATGAATGACGAGCTCTTTCTTACACAACGTTGATTTAAAACTACGCTACATTATACGCTCCGTAAAAAATATCGGTTTCGTCTTCCGATCTTACGGTCGGCATAACGTCGAATCTACGACGTAGATCATTCGATATAATGCAAAACATCAGACACTCCATATAAACTGTCATTAATTAATTGGTAGAGCGTGCTATGTATATGGACCGTTGCGCTTAATCGCAATATCATCAGCAAATAACCGAACAGATCGTTTCGTACTCCATAAACAAATATTGTCAACAAATATATTTAAATTCAATTCTTTGAGATGCTACTACTATGCTTGACCTTTTGATCAAGTACTTGATGAATATTGCGAAACAACGCTAAAAGATTGCCAAATGTCTTCGTATAATAGATAACATTGTTCCGAAACGATCAAATTCTTGTAGCTCACAAGTGGTAAAGTCAGATATAGTTCGTCTGGCGCGAGAGGTTCCGAGCAATATGGCGATGAGTTTGAGAGTGGGAGGAACAGGAGGATTCTCACCAGGGAGGGGACTCGGAAAACCTTCGGTGGGTCGATAACAAGCCTCAGTTCAGTTCTCATCTCGCCGTGCACATATTACGAGTTGTTGGCAGGTTCTGTTTCTCAGAGATATCGAATATTTCTCGTCGTGTTTTGGCCGCGGACGGAAATTTTGTTACATCTCTCTTCACGCGGAGATTTAGTGTCGCTTACGAGAACGGCAAACAGGTAGCAACCTTGTCGTCATTGCCACCACTGCGTCGTCATCCAAGTGCGTCACTTGGGGCGCGCGCGCGCTTTGCAACAAAATACGCCATTATTTCGCGTTTGTCAGGCGCGTACAGGATATACGTACAGACGAGATATATTCTGGTTCGACGACAACACAGTAATTCGCACAACTTAAACAAATAGTGAGGAAAGTGAATCTCGGACGAAGCAAGTAAGTGTGCGAGTAAGGATGGCGGACCCCGTGCTAGCGACGTGCCCCGCTAAGGATATCGATGAGAGTAACCAGCAGGTCTGCAAGCGACCGACGGCTAATCAGTGCAGTTTGTGCGTCTGGACTATTCTCGACCCTCGTACGTTTACTCAACACTACTTTTCAATCGTATTTTTGTTTTGTTTTTGTTTTTTTTTTGTTTTTTTACCTTTCTCGATGCATCTTCTCCATCTCTCAATTGATTTTATTCCCGCACACATTTCGTACTACTTCGTTTTGTCTTTCACATATATCTTCAAATAGAGGAGAAATGAGATGTCACGTACTCCTCTCTGTTAGACTTGAAATAAACACGATGTAAACATTTCCACGAACTAAGTTTTTTTACGAAGCAATATTTTTTCCGACATCTCGAAGTTATTACGAGTGGATTCCGGACGATCTCAATATATCTTCTCGGTTAGTCTCTTCTCTATGTTAGTGACCTGGGTTTCTGTCCTGCGCAGGTGCCTCTTGTTCGGAGAATCGTCGATCGAAATTAAGTTATCGATCGTTACCTCCAACTTAATAACATTTATCTAAGTAAATCTTTTTAATTTTTTCTTTTTCCTTTTCTCTTCATAAAAATAATCAGAAATCTTAATTTTTTAATAATATCTCTTACTTGTAAAATGATATTTGGAGTGAATATATGTAAAGCGCAAGATTTACACTTTTGTATAATGTCACGCCACCGAACTGTCATTCTCATATAAGTTATCAAATGGCCTGTGAAGGTCAGTGACGTTGCCGGTACTGACATAAAGTTGACGTGTGACATTTTTAGTGTAAAAAACTCCAGCTTTATAAAATAACTTACAAAAATAGACGATCTTAAAAAATTTTGCAAACATCTCTTTTTTATAATAAGTAATAAATAATTATACTTGATACTTGTCAGCTTTGATGTGTTGTACAAATTATTATTTATTTTTAATGACAAAACAAAAAATTCACAATATATATACATATATATTATATATATCACGTATTACAACCTTGAATTACATAACGCCACGCGATCTAACCGTGACTGACACAATCGAGTCTCGAACTTTATTCCAAAGATACATCAACTCAAAGATATGATAGCGACAAGTGATTGTCAGAAGAGTACTTTTTTTTTTTTTTGCATAATCAAGCCGCTTTTATGAATATTGACTTGGAAATAATATGTGTCGTATATTTTTATGGAATAAAAATATATTTTGCTCAATTACTTAACCGTACAATAAATATCGCGTACGTACATTTTTTTCATATAAATCGTACTTGAAACATACTTAAAAAAACTCTTTCGTTATTATCGGTTCGATCGGTTTAATCTTGAAAAAAACAGTTCGACTCTAAAGTTAAATAATACAATATGACAGCACGAGTTATATCGTGCAGGTGCGATCGATCGCCTTGGTTGACTTTCTGCAATTTACGCGTGAAAAGAATATAGTTACCTTAACATTATCACAGTCTATCTCGTGAGAAATAATTTTATATAAAAGTGTGAGGCATTGTGTGACATTGATGGAAACTGCGACAACATTTTTCGCGTTATCGGCGCCGTTCTCACAAACAAATCTTTATTAATTTATTGTTTGTAGTACTTTCTCTTTCACACACAAATGGAGGGCTGAAGGGGAAGAGAACATTGCAAAAATAACTGAAGTAAATCTGTGAACACATTATTGAGAGAAAACATTCTGTACAACACGGTAACGTTATTAAAAATTTGCATTTTTTGTTTGAAACAAGTACGTACTATATACTTTGTGGTCACTTTTAAAAACGACGCAATATTGCAATATTTTTCCACATCGGCAATCTCTCTCTTGCGTTCCTATCGATTTTATATGCAATTTATTAATAGAAGCGCAATCTGAAAAATAAACTTAAGGAGGAATATATAGCACACAGTGTGGAATGTCAACGTTACATTTCTCAATATATTTCCCATTAATATGCTCGCAACTGTGTCCTGTAATAGACCATAAACTAACATGCTTTCTGATTGTATTGTTTACAGATGCGTGGTTTAATCCTGAAGAGCTAAATCCAAAAGGTAAGAAAAACTGAAGATAATTATCTGACACACAACTCATTAATACAGGTATATATCTTCCCAATGAATTAATGAGACATATATTGTGCTACTTTATTATTATACATCATAGATTTTCTGGGCTTTCCTAGTATTGGACCTATTGTTGATAAGAAGAAAGACAATAAGAAATGACGCTACGTTTTTTATACTTTTGAACGTGTACGTTAGTTTTTTTTATTCTTTTTTATTTTTGACGCGCGGTAGAGAGTCGCGTGTGTTCGGTCACTCATTGTTTAATACGAAGATCGTTCTTCAAAGTGGTTCATAGTGCAATAATTCGGCACGCGATTTTGCATCGATGGCAGTTCTGTCCGTTTACCCCTCCTCGGACGTTACTAAATATAACGTCCAGCCAGCTTCTCATTATTGGTCCAGTGCCAGTTTTCCGAAGACCCTCCGAGGTTTCCGACGGCAGTTCCGTCGTTACGAAGTCGTCGTGCGGCATTGCTCGTCGATTTCCCTATCGGCTTCCTGGAGAGTGATTACTTTCTTCCAAAGCGATTAATCGGTTCGATTCAAGACAAGAGTCAGATCGACTTTTCCGTGTGCCCGATTGTCAATAGAACGCGACCAAATGATTGTAGGGAAAATGGCCATCTCGAGGGAGGAACGTGAGTAACAGCACGTCGTGAGAGCGACGATAATTTGGCACATGTGTTGCACGACACCCGCCGAAATCGAGGCTGCGTGCAATAAGAAAAACTTGAAAGCAATAAATATAAAAGTGAAAAGTAATAAGATGTGATGGAGAGTAGCCAAAATTTGGACGTGACGTAATAAATGGCAAGGAACGATTAATCCATGGAAGTTGGACGTAGTTGAAAGATGAAAAAAACTTTGTTTGCTAATAGACTGTCTTCTTCCTGGTGTGACTAATATAGTCTCTATATACGTGTGTTTGTGTGTGTTTACCTAGATTAGATTATCTTTTCTCGTATCGTTTTTGCATTTCAGGATTAATTTGTGTCCATCTTTATTCCAAACGCAAACATCGCGGAATCGCGACCGAGTATGTCCTATTTAAAACGCTGAATGAAAAGTTGGAGAACCACTGCATTTTCTTGCGTTACGTATATTTTTCGTCTAATTTTGTGCTTCGACGAGACGCTTTGACACAAACCTGGCCATCGGGCCATGTAGGAACAATTACTTATCTATGTATTACAAGTCAAACGACTAATAGACCAGACAAAAGTTACCTTGAAAAGAATCCAACCATAGATAGCTAGCTAGCATCATTGATATTTCACATTGGTGAGATATTTCAGTATTGTGATATTTTTGTTTTCTCGCGCGCGTGTGCGAAAAGAACAAGATCGAATCATTTTAACTTTTTCAGCGTAAGTAGTTGTCAAAAAAGAATGGTCAAAATTTAATAATTCTTTGCACTCGAAAGTTTTTTGCTAAAGAATTGATGCAATTTTTACAATTAACAAACATAAATCATACGTAAATTAACGAATAAAACTATTTTACTTCAATATTTCATGTGTTTTTACATTTATATGCAAAACCTAATTGAGTATCAAGTTTTGTCATTTTACCGAACCAAGAGGTGATTGAGAGTCACCTCTCAAGTGCAAAGGAATAATTAATATAATATGCATTGATTTATTGATTCATTGATTGTGATTCATTGATTCATTAATTCATTCATTTATTCACTGTCAGTAAAAGAGACAAAACAGATCCATCTTTGAAGTTACGCAAGTTTATTTTTATTTTTATCACGGGAAAAAAGCGGGGAAAAAAAGATTCATAATGTTGATGAGCATGGGCCCGAGAATTCGAGTTACGTCACTGTTACATTCGCTAGCTTTCTCTCTTTCTGTCTCATTTCCCTCTCTCTCTCTCCTCATTTCTTCTCTTTCTCGCCCCTCCTTTCTCAATGTAAGTTTCTGCTGCCTGCGGTAAAATCAGTCGCCACGGAATATTCGCGCGTGTGTTGCTATCCATTCGCAAATATACTTTTCACTTATAACCGGATAATATATCCGCGTATAATATAAGAATGGTACGAAGGAATATTCAAAAGAGACAGGTTCTCCCGGAACGCGATCCTGGTAAGTTTCGCAGATATATTCTCCCGCATTTCTCTGTCTTTTCCTCTGTTTTTTTTATCTTTACTATTCGAAAGAAACTAATTTTTGTTAATGACTGTTCTCTCGAGAACATATGGTTGGTCATAACACGTGGTTGGACACGTCTACAATAATCGCGACCGCTTTAATCAAAATTAGGTATATTTTGTTCGATTATTTAACAGTTTGTACAACTTTATTATTACAAATATCTTTATTTATCACATATATCTTTATTTATCACATATACGTGTAAATGTTTTAAAAACACACAAATTCAAATAAATGTTTTAAAAAATGTTTAGAAGTGATGCAGACAAATTACATGAAATTGTAGCTGGAAACATAACAGTACAGGATATATAATGACCAAGTAATTAGTAGCATTTTTTTGAGTTTATAGTGATTAAAAGTTCTTGAGTACGTTCTGTAAAAATTTTTTTTGAGAAAATGCAATTACATGATATTCGATGCTTTGGCGGTGCGTTGCAAAAATTCTTGTGCATGTTTCCGAGTTGGAGCCACGTGTAATTTTCATATAGTAACGGTTTCATGGACAATTCGGATAATTATCATAATAACGGTTTTATGGACAATTCGGTTTCCTTCATCAGAAACCATCAAGATACAGTTATTATCGATTAATAATCTCAACAGTTCCTTGTGTCGCTAGGTAGGTCGTTACGTTACCGTATGCGTGCACAAGAGCAAACGATATAGTCAATGTATCCATAGTTGTACTCACGTAGTCAGTACTGTTATTTATTAAACTCCGCTTATTCGACGTTACATGTATGTAAAACAATATGACTTACACTGAACACATGATTTGCGGCTTACTGTTTTTTTTTTTTTTTTTTTTTTTTATACATTTCTTTTATTATTGAGTTCATTTAAAGAAAATATTTCTCATAGATATTAAATATTCTATTTTTTTTTCTACAACCAAAAGAAAAGTTTTAATATTTGAACTAATTCTCCATGGTAATCTTTAAGTTTTTTTGTTTTTAACTTTTATATAATGAATTTTCTTTTTTTTAATAACATTATTTTTATCTGTTTACAGTTGCGGCTTTGATATACTGGCGTGATCCAAAAAAATCAGGGATCGTGTTCGGTACAATATTAGGCGTACTCTTGTCGTTGGCCTATTTCAGTCTGATTAGTGTGCTTGCTTATCTGTCGCTCCTTGTCCTTACTGGCACCGTTCTGTTCCGCGTCTACAAAACTGTTCTTCAAGCAGTTCAAAAAACTTCGGACGGACATCCATTTAAGTAAGTATAAAATCTGGCTTTAGAGAGTTTCTTACAAAAACGAACCAGTTACGTTTTATTTGCGAAAATCGTCAATATTATATACACGGCCGATTGGTTCATCCATCCAAGTATGGACCGCGCTCACTTGATCACTTCACAGTGATCTGACGAGAAGGAAAGATAAACCATTAGATGGATTACAGAGATATCCTTGATCTGGACCTGGCATTACCAGCTGAAAAAGTTCACGAAGTCGCAGATGTCGCGGTTGCACATATCAACGCCGCCGTTAGTGAATTGCGCAGGCTGTTCCTCGTCGAAGACTTGGTCGATTCTCTCAAATTTGGCGTCTTATTGTGGTGTCTTACATATGTCGGTTCTTGGTTCAATGGCATGACTCTTATCATAATTGGTAAATATTTTTCTCACATCGTGTTTCGTTGCCTATTGTCCGAATGTGAACACGATGATTCGATTCAAATTTGTCTGGTTTGTTTCAGGAGTAGTCGCCCTTTTCACGTTGCCGAAGATTTACGAAACGAACAAGGAACAGATCGATCAGAATCTGGCCTTGGTGCAGGCAAAGATTAACGAAGTTACCGCCAAGTAAGTTTGAATACAACAGTTTTCTCTCTAAAATCTAAAATTAACAAGAAACAGAGCTCATTGGAAATACAGTGGTTTCTCTTGCGGTTTAAAATCTTGAAACAAATACTAAAGAACTGCTGCACATACAGAATATTATTCATATTCGACAAAGTTGAGAGTCGAAAAACTGAAAATGTACTTGTTGAATCCGGTTGTGTAACATTTCTCAAAAGATAATTACACGGTTGTTTTAGAGTGAAGGCAGCGATTCCTCTCGGCAAGAAAGCCGAGCCAACGAAGGAGGAGTAAACACGAAGAATTTGTGCGTAACGATAGTCCAGTCAGGACAGCAGAAATAGAAAAATGATTAAGTTAGAAATGAACGAGAGAGAAAACATGAAATATGAGAGAGGAATTCGGAAGTGCGTGCGAGTAGAAGAACATACGACCGAAAGAGGTCCATTATGCAATTGGGATTGGGAATCAGCAATCGCCGTGATGACTGAATAGTTAATACGCGCGCGTTGGTGTCTCTTTTAGAGTTTTGCCGTCGTAATCTTCTGATAAATATAGTAATATTTTCCCAAGGCACAACGTAATCGGCGAAACTAAACTGTTCACGTGTATCAGTATTTTGATACGCGAGAGCAATTCTTAGTAACGATATAAGATCGCGAAAGAAATAGAGAACGAACGAGCGAGCGAGCGAGCGAAAGAGAGAGAAAGAGAAAGAGAAAGAAGAGAGATGGAATACAAAGAAAAGTAAATGAGACACAAGATGCGAAATAAAAAAAGCTTAACGATTCATTAATCATTATCGAAAAGTATATTTTATCCAGTGCAATGTGCACGAAGCTACTTCAAAGATCAACTTAATTTCTCTCCCTTTCCTCTTTCATCTATTCTCCGAGACTAATGTGTTTTATTGTTATTATAAACTTCTCGTGTTTTTACCTACTCGATAATGTCCTTTGTTCCTCTTTGCAAAATGAGAAGAAATGAAAGAGAATGAAAGAAAGTATGTGTACATGTGTATGTATGTAGTATGCACGTACGTATGTATGTATGTATATGAATGTGTGAGACAGAATAAAGCTGATCCGTCGTAGTCCCGTTTTCGAAGTATCGTATTTGGATCATTGTTTACGAATCGGATGTGATACTAAAGTAATCACTTCGGCGATACGTGATCAAAAATTTGGGAGAGAACCGAGGATAATGGAGAAGATCGTGATAGCGCGCGCGACTGTAAAGATTAACGAACGAATAGAAGAGATAAATAAACGCAAGATACTCGATGTATAAATCGTTTATCCGTCAGTTTAATAGATTTTAAAATAATTGTCCTATTTACACAGCGATCTCTCCACTTTCTCGATATTTGAGTTGTTGTTGCGTTTGGAAAAGTCAAATAAAAGTTAAATAATGAGTTAAATCGGGCAGAAACGTATATTGTATCTGTCTCTCAATGACGTTGATGTTTGCATAACATTATTACTAATGCATCATTGTAATTATACCGTTGTAATTTTATACGCGCATATGTGCATGTATATCCCATGTATATCCCATGCTTCTAACAACATCTGTTTGTATATCTATACATGCACACAATGCGCGCGTATGCCACATACGTGAAAAAAAAGAGTCATTAAATAATATGATCCTAAACGATAACGAGGTACGGAACANNNTGGNAAANNACAAAGAGANNNAANAAAGACCACNTATTCAAAAAAAAAAAAAAAAAAAAAANAAAAAAAAAANAAATTATATATATATAAACAAATTATTTTATATCATAAATAATCCTCTAATTATATAAAATCAGATTATCAGGTTGCACAATCGAGTAACGAAATTTAGTGTGTCCACACTGTTTACACTATATATATTTTATTATAAAGTATTTTATAAATTTTTGTATGTTAAAGTTTTTTCTTAAGATATTTTGTTTTTTCCTTGAACACAAATGTCCTTTAAACGATCGTGACTTATTATATGAAAAGTAATTATTTCTAATTTAATGTAACATGATATGCGATCTTCGCCATGTTTGTAATTCACGATGTTTCTAACTCGTTCTACTCGCTGTGATGCTTACAGTGATAGAACAGATTATCGTGAAGTTGCGAATGTCAAGTGGAACGTACCTTTTATACAGAGTGGTGCACAAACATAGGGCTATGATTTTGTACGCATGTATACATAAGGCTGCGCGGCATCCCCACATTCCGACGCTCGAATTCGAGCCCTGTTTACGGGTGCCATTTTTCGTATCTATAAAGTATCAATTACATATTCATTACATTTATCAGCGCTGTAACCTCGTTGATTATTATGTTGGCAAGATACCAAAATTGTGCCACATTACACTCCATTGTTATGTCGGGCGTGTAAAAAAGTGAACCTTTCCCACTAACACTGGTCTCCCAGAGATATTTCAGTAGAAAATTCGTCTTGTCTCGCTCATACTTTTTATATATAACTGCTTCGTTTTTCGCGGCCAGCTGAAAAATAGATTTATAGAAGAGTTAAACAAGTTCGGCATCAATCCCGAAAAAAAAAGTATAAATTATAGCCCTAAATCTGTGCACTATTATATAACATAATATATCTATATCTATATAGTTATCGAGAATATACGTTTTTATTGGGAGTGATGGCAAAATGTTAAGAACGTGAGTGTAACATCGCTTTTTGTCGTTTTCATTATTACATCAGCATCTGCACGATTAATTTATAAATAAATAATACTAAACATATATGATAATTGCTAGTTTCCTTGTGTATACTTCTGTCATATCGATGAAATGTATATGGTGGTCAAGGATGGAGGTCATTGTCAGTATAAAGAGATAACGTGAGTATATAAAAATTATATATGTTATTTGAGGAATGTAAAAATTTTCAGTTGTTTGTTACAATTACAGAATAGTTTTTTTTCTGAAGTTTGGTTTTTTGTGTATCACATTTTTGTATTTTATTTTCAAAAGGTTTTAAAATTAACAAACGAAAGTTTGTTTTTATAATGAATAAGAAATATAGCGAGGACCGTCCGCTGGTTCATTTTACACGTAAAATCATTTATATAATATTTAAAACAAAGATTACTTCAATTAAACTTTGCTTAAAGTATTCAGAATTCGAAGAACAAGCTTATAGTAAAATAAAACCAATAGCAAAGCGGTTTTATTCACTACTGGATTATTGGTGTGTAATTCACGTGTATAAAACGTGAATATCAGAAAATTCACAATCAGAGTAGCTTATTAACCCTCTGAGAGTCGTTACAGCATTATTTATCATCATATCATATACGCATATCGTAAGATGTCGCCACATGTAGAGAGAGACAGAGGAGAGGAAGAGAGAGAAAGAGCTACAGCTATCTTTTTTTAGAATATACTTGTATAACATTTGACAAATACATAAATGAGATATTACTGATATGAGCATAACCAAAGTGACACGTCACTATGTTGAATGTCTAAATTGGGAGTCGAAAGAATGAAAATGATAGAGAAGTGTTGGATTGAGATAGTAAAAGCCGCAATAAATAAAACAACAAAGAAACACAGTTCAAAGTTTCGCGAATGTAACAAGTATACTAGCTGGTGCGCATGTGTCACCTTGGCAAGGTGACTGCTGCCTTCTCAACCAACAACGCGTATCATTCGCCTTCGGCGGGTCTCGACGTTGTGATCGGTGTCGTATCATCGCTGGATTTTGTTCTGTGCTGGTAGAGCTGTTCAAGCCATTAAATAAGTTATTATGTCAATGGTAAATAGCGATCATGAAAAAAGAAAGCAGATCTCGGTGCGTGGCATCGTCGACGTGGAAAATGTCGGGAATTTTAAAAAGACCTTTAATAGACACCTTCATTACACCCTGGTGAAAGATCGTAACGTCGCCACGACCCGCGATTACTATTTTGCCCTAGCCCATAGTGTCAAGGACAATCTCGTGTCACGATGGATACGCACCCAACAGTACTACTACGAGAAAGATCCAAAGGTAATTTTTTTCTACTCATTTTTTTCTATTTTTATTATTCTTTTTAATCACCACCGATTGATATATTCCGATAATCATTTTACATTTTACTGCCATACGATATTATATGTTTTTATGTGTGTGTTTACTTATAATAAGGAAAATGAAATTTGGCATAAATAGAATTTTACATATATACATATGTGTGTGTGTGTGTGTATATATATATATACACTATTTTTTCTATTACCATCTGTATTATTAGTGTACTATCATACATATTAATCCGCATTCTGATGTGTAGTAAAATATACAAAAAATGTAATTTAATTAGCTTTTTTCTAAAAAAATTAAAATTTATAAGCCTTATATATAACTTAAAATCTAAAATAAAAAATTTAAAGATATTATATGTATGCAGATTGTGAACAAATTTGTTATTATTTTCTTCATTTTGCTTATTTCGAAAATATTTATAAAAATTTATTAATTGCATTATACAACTCAAGAAATTAATAAAACGATTGTATAGTTCATTAGACAATGAACTCCAAAGATAAATAAAGGACAATTATATTGGGCAATCTGACTATATGATTTATCAACAATAAATGTTACATGATCTTCTGACCCACGTACATGTATCAGAAAATTTTTGTAGAACTGTAGATAATAATGCGATATGTATATATCCTTACACAATATAACGATTATGCAATATGTACAATATCTTTACACAATATATCATTGAGCAACTATATAATAATAAAAATTATGTTATACATATGTACATATAACATATACGTATTATTTAAATTAAAGATATTATATGTAATTATTATTTACTCTAAATATATAAAAAAATTTTAAGATAAAATATAAATACTTACACACATAAGAGATATAAGATAAAGAGAGAGAACATAAAGAAATAAAAGTCGCCGAAAACTTACAAACCAACAAACCAAAATGATATTACATTTTATTTCGAGACACATTTCTGAGCATTACATCATTTCTACTTTGTTTATGCGTAAGATATGTATGTATGTATTTCGACATATCTCTTGTTGAACAAGATGTATCTTATTGTATGTATGTGAATGTGTAAACAATCATTATTATTTTTATAAAAAGAGCATTTCGTGTAATCAAAAACGATAGCGCAAGTATGTTTCAAGTTCGTAAAACGAAGTTTTGTATTTGTGCGGAAAAAAAAAAAAATTAATTCATCAACGTGACGTTAAACACGAGGAAGATACCCTAATAATAAAATCTGTCAAAAACAGATATTGTCGATAAAAAGGCAGCAATTTGCGTGCAATTGGCAGTAATTTACGGTTTTGCATACAACAGCCAGATTGCTGTCAATCTGCCGCGACATTGTGTTTATTTTTTTTTTTTTCTAAGTATAGTTTTAATTAATAATTGTTAATCTCTCTATTTTTAAATTAACTGTTAATTTTTCTATTTTTTCAGAGGGTGTATTACTTGTCTTTGGAATATTATATGGGAAGATCGCTGCAAAATACGATGATTAATTTGGGGATACAAGGAGCATGTGACGAAGCTATGTATCAGGCAAGTTACATTAATACTTCGATAAAGTAACTTTTTGAAGTGTGGAATATAATGAAAAATGTGGGTATTGATTTTCTGTATGCTGAAAGAGCATATTTTACTTTTTTGTTCGAATAAATAAACTAATGAATTTAAATTTATATTCTTTTATATCAACTCTCGATAAGCGCATTAAATCTCTGATTGTTGTTTTTATTTTTCTCTCTTCTTGCAGATGGGTTTGGATATAGAAGAACTGGAAGAACTTGAAGAAGATGCCGGACTCGGTAATGGAGGATTAGGTCGTCTGGCTGCCTGCTTCTTGGACAGTATGGCTACGTTAGGTCTAGCCGCATATGGGTATGGCATACGTTACGAGTACGGTATTTTTGCACAAAAGATCAAGAATGGTGAACAAGTGGAGGAGCCAGACGATTGGCTCAGATATGGCAATCCTTGGGAGAAAGCTCGGCCAGAATTTATGTTGCCGGTGAACTTTTACGGTCATGTAATTGATACTCCCGAGGGCAAGAAGTGGGTGAACACACAGGTAGAATTAGAATTTAGTTTATTCTAATATTCGGAGAAAACAAAGTGTGTTGTAAGCGTGTCTTTCTTTGAACTCTATTCATTTGTATTACAGGTCGTTTTTGCTATGCCTTATGATAGTCCGATACCTGGCTACAAAAACAACTTCGTCAATACATTAAGATTGTGGTCTGCAAAATCGCCCATAGAATTTAATTTGAAGTTCTGTGAGTATCGCATATATGTTTGTGTATGCGAGATGAGAGTTTTTCTGATAATGTGATGATTTATATTCGTAAATTTTTCAGTCAACGATGGTGACTACATACAGGCAGTGATTGATCGTAATCTAGCGGAAAACATCTCTAGAGTTCTTTATCCTAATGATAATTTCTTTGAGGGCAAAGAACTCAGATTGAAGCAGGAATACTTTATGGTAGCTGCTACTCTTCAGGACATCATCCGAAGATACAAGTCCAGCAAATTTGGCTCGAGGGAACATCATAGAACCGATTTCGATGCTTTCCCCGACAAAGTGGCGATTCAACTCAACGATACACATCCGTCCTTGGCTATTCCCGAATTGATGAGGATTCTTATCGATGTCGAAGGACTTCCATGGGAAAAGGTATTCATAATCATTTATAATAAAGGATCGGGAAAAAGAATATCCGAGCATTGTCTTTCCAGGCTTGGGATATTACAAGACGTACATGTGCTTACACAAATCACACAGTCCTTCCTGAGGCGTTAGAACGATGGCCGACTGGGATGCTAGAAAGCATTCTTCCAAGACATTTGCAGATTATTTATCACATAAATCACTTGCATCTTCAAGATGTCGCAGCCAAGTGGCCTGGCAATATGGACCGTCTTCGTCGGATGTCCTTGATAGAAGAAGAAGGCGAAAAAAGAGTCAACATGGCTCATTTGTCAATCGTTGGTAGTCACGCTATAAACGGAGTTGCTCGTATCCATTCGGAAATTCTCAAAGACAGTGTGTACGTTTCGTATTGAATTACATATATAAAAATGCTTGAAAAATTGTGAAAAAATTATAATTGCACATTTTTGCTTTATCAGTTTCCGTGACTTTTATGAGTTGACACCGGAGAAATTTCAAAATAAAACAAACGGCATCACGCCAAGGAGATGGCTGTTGCTTTGCAATCCAAATCTGTCAGATATCATAGAGGAGGTAAATATCTAAACATACACAGTACACAGTAGTGCCTCCTCACTAGCTTTTCGCTCCTCGGTTCCGCGAGCGGAAAAAATATCGAAGAAGGTATATATTTCGAGAACATATTGCCTGTTGTTATCTCTGATTGGTTCGACCACCGCAGAGTCATCCTCACTAATTCCTAGAAGTGCTTCGTCGCGCCTCGACGAAGCACTTCTAGGAATTGGTGAGGATGACTCCCTATCACGATACCAAGGGAAAAATTCGGCACGTTAGCGAGGAACTACCGTATATAAACATTTTAGCTTTACATCTTGTATGCAATATATGTATACGTGTACATACATATGTACGTGATTTTTGTGTAATTTGTACGTTTTTAATACGTATATTTTTATAGAAAATCGGTAGTGATTGGACAGTCCATTTGGAACAACTGGCGCAATTGAAGAAATGGGCGAAAGATCCGGTATTTCAGCGTAACATCGTAAAGATTAAGCAGGAAAATAAGTTACGGTTAGCCCAACTATTAGAGAAAGAATATGGTGTTCGGGTTAATCCAGCATCTATCTTTGATATCCAGGTTAGAACGTAGGAGTACAACATAAACTTTCGAAAACTTTTAGAATTAGAAAAGTAGTAAATGTTTCTTTATGGCTTATTCTTTGATCGTATCAAATTGATTGTTCACAAACACAAAATGTTCACATACATTAAATATATGCAGTTGTGTTATAAAGTTAGGAGAGTCATATAGATGAAATAGCATGACATATGATATTTTGTTGAATAGGTAAAACGTATTCATGAATACAAGCGACAGTTGTTGAACTGTTTGCACGTCATCACTTTGTACAATCGAATAAAAAAAGATCCGTCTGCACCTTTCGTTCCAAGAACCGTGATGATAGGTGGCAAAGCTGCACCAGGTTATCATCTGGCGAAGAAAATCATCAAGCTTATCTGCAGTGTTGCAAATGTCGTCAATAACGATCCAATTGTCGGCGACAAACTTAAACTGATATTCCTTGAGAATTATCGAGTGACATTAGCGGAGAAAATCATACCCGCCGCGGATCTGAGCGAGCAAATTTCAACTGCTGGCACAGAAGCGTCTGGTACCGGTAACATGAAGTTTATGGTCAGTAGTTTTTGGCAATCTCGCAGACAGTCGAGAGAGATAGCGACTGTGAAATCGCGTATTTGTTTCGTAATAAACAGTAGCATATTTGAGACATTGCATGCGATTATCTTTTCCCAAAATTTTTTAATTTCTTTTTTTCTTTATATATAAAAAAATGTATCACAATTATAGAATTTTGTTACAAAGTTATATAATCCGTTGCATAGAAAAACCTTTTATTTACAGTTAAATGGCTCATTGACTATTGGCACTTTGGATGGAGCAAATGTAGAAATGGCAGAAGAGATGGGAAACGAAAATATCTTTATTTTTGGTATGACAGTGGAAGAAGTAGAAGATTTGAAAAGTAGAGGTTACAATGCTTATGATTATTATAACAAACTGCCGGAAGCAAAACAATGTATCGATCAAATCCAAGGAGGGTTCTTCAGCCCAAATAATCCCGGAGAGTTTCAAGATATCGCTGATGTATTGCTTAAATGGGACAGATTTCTACTGTTGGCTGATTACGAAAGCTATATAAAGATGCAAGATCACGTCAGCAAAGTCTATCAAGTAGAATTTTGTTTTTATCTATTTTATCTTTTTTGTCTTATCTATTTGAACTTTTAATTTGTCAGATTTTCTCAATGTATATTATTCTCGATTGTTTCAGGATGAGGGCAAATGGGTAGAAATGGCTATACACAACATAGCATCATCCGGAAAATTCTCATCGGACCGCACAATTGCCGAATATGCGCGCGAGATCTGGGGGGTTGAACCAAGCTGGCAGAAACTTCCGGATCCACACGAGCCCCGTGACATTTAAAATTGATTTAGCGTGACTATTATTATACTTACTATTATACTTACTATTTTATTAAGAAGAAATATTCCTACATTTCTTTCCGCAATTGATATCGTTTTCACAATATGAGCGCGACAAAGAATTTTCTTAATATCTGGTGCCGGTCTCCAGAATCACAGTAAAATCATACAGAAATAGATATGATTGTTTTGCGTGAATATTGTTTAAAAGAATGAAAGATCTTTAACTGAACGCTTGTGGTTGTTTAAAAGATCTCAAGCAGTTTGCTTTTTATGCAAATTAGTTTTTTTTTTGCAGTTTCTCTTCTTTATACAACAGCTAAGACGTGCTAGCATTGTAAACAACATAATGGTAAACTATCTATAACATCTGATAATCAAAATATCACATTCAGTTGTCTATTTTTTAATTGTCTTTTTTGAACATCAAACTGTCTAGTCTTATTGTGTTCACTGTGCTTCCATCCTTGTGCTGCCTAACAAAAAATATTTGCTACATATCCTTTTTCAGATAAGGAAGATTCTTCATAAAAATGACAGATATTTGATGAAAAACAGGAAAACATATTTTTTTTTATTGCACAGCTATCTTGTACATCACCAAGATGGCTGATAACTTTTACCAATAAACTACATGCTATCATAATGCTTGTATGCCAGGTGCTGCAAGTATTTTTATGTAATGTTTAAATAATACATATTGTATCTTGTGAAGAATATTATTGTGCAATTTGTTGGCAATAAAAATGATGAGTGTTGTTAAAGACGTAAAAACGGTATATAGATATCATACAAAGATGTAAAGAATATTTTAAAGAAATGTTTAGTTTTTTCTAGCAAATTTTTATTCCTATTGGGTGCGATCAAAGCCACTCACTGTAAATGTTTCGAAGCATCATTCTCTTTATTTCTCGTTAAATGTAGAATAAAGATAGAATGACGGTTCGAAACATTTTGCAGTTAGACTTTGACTGCATTCATTATCACATTTTTCTATACTAAGATAAGGTTTAATAAAATGCGTGTTCTTTTGTTACATTTATGTGTGTTTATAAGGAGAATTTAAAAATTCCGATCACATATCGGTGTTGCGTCACTACAAGTCCCCGCGTGAGTTTGCGCAATCGCAACTAATATATTTGCTATTACGTATTTATGGTCGGAGACACAAGTAAGAATAGACAGATAAACGGTCAAGCGTCGTAATACATAAAGGCAACAAGCTGCTGTTGAAATATAGTAAGTACGTATGCGCCATGCGGCACGCCCACAATAATATAATCGAACGAGCAGCACATAGCTCGTCGTAACTCGGTCGGTACTTGTGAAGCAAGTCGTCGAGTGAACTCGAAAGAGTGTGTTCTCGGATAACATGTCATCTCATGACATATTCGCTCTAGCGAGGCAGGAAGCTTTCAAGGATTTTTCCTATTTCGACAAAGAAACCGTACCCGTAGTAAGTACTTTGTTTGTGTTTTCCTGATCTCGTTCTTCTCGAGTCAGTTCGAATCACCATACCTGTGTGATGTGATATGACCATGTTTTGTGCGTACGTTGTACACATGTATCGCGGACTTTTTGCGCATGCACGATAGAGAATTGGCGCTGTTGTGATCTGTGGGATTTATATTTAAAATTGTCTTGAGTTTATCTCGACGTCTAGATATATATGATAATGAGCGTTAAAACGCGAGATTTTGCACGCAAAAATTATTATAATATGTTGTTTAATAAGATATATTTCATAATATTATATATTTGTTGCATGCGCATTATTTTTATTTTGCTTTGTTCAAACTTGTTGAGTTTTAACTCTAATTCAGAATATTTGAGTTTTTTTTGTCCAGCATCTTTCACAAATTTTTTCAAAAATTATTAAAAATAAATGTTTTATCGTTAAGATTGTGAAATTGTTTTATCGTTAAATAAACAACAAAGCAGTGGGGACGCTTGAAAGAAGAAGCTAAACTTTTTGCAAACTGTTTTTAATATTTTAAAATCAAATAAAATGCGTCAGACCCATGGTTTACTTGTAAGATGCCAAAACAAAAAAACGGTTCGTGATTAGGATGAAAAATTATTGTAAAAATGACCAATTGAAAGTGTGTTATACAAATTACACATATTATACAAAATAACACATCGCGGATGATAGAGCAATATTATTAATTATAATTTATTTTTTTGCAATGACAACACTTCAATCTTTAATCAAGTGATTTCTCAGGAAGTTTTACGAGTTTTAAAAGTTTTTCTATATTGTCTGTTGTCTATTCATTTCAGAATGTCGGCAAACCAATTCCGCTGCAACCGCTAAAAGCGACATCCGCTATTATTGTTACCGGTTACATTCCTGGAAACTCATCAAGGTACATGTCTTACCTTACCGCGGGTTTTTTTTATGTGTCATCGAAATTTGTAGTATTACAGAAGCGAATTTTTAACTCTTTAATTGCACAATAGGTTTTCGGTGAATTTGTTATGCAAGACAACTGGAAACATCGCTCTTCATTTTAATCCACGTTTGGATAGGGGTTACATTGTTCGGAACACAAAAGTGCGCGGATTCTGGGAAGACGAAGAGACTAGTTCACCTGCCGGTCCGAGCGGATGTAGTTTTTGTCGGAACGCCTACATGCATCTTATGATCTTTTGCACAAATAACGCGTTTCAGGTAAAATAGAGAGGGCGAACAAAAGAAGAGAAATTATCAGCCACAGCCAGATATCTTTTTCTTCAATTATACGTTCTTAGACTTTAGCATGTGTGTATGTTGTGTACTTATTTGCAGATTGCGATAAACGGAGAACACTTTTGCGACTTTCGTTATAGAATACCTTTCGAGGAAATAACAGCTCTTGAAGTTAACGGGACAATCGAAGATGTCAGGACTCGTCAACTTAACTTGTTTGTGTATCCAGATCCGAATATTTGCAGACCGTCCCGAACATTAGTTCTGACAAGCGAGGAATCACTTGTGGATTTTTTAGTAAGAATTCTCTGATATTTTCTTTGGTTGCATTTTACAGCTCCGCTTCACGGCGAACAAATTATGAAAAATATCTCATTTTATAGGACGTTCCCATAACTGTGGATATTCGCAGCGAGTTTTCTGTCGGTGCTCGTTTATCAATTACTGGAAGATTGAAATTGCTTCCACACTCGTAAGCGTTTGAAATTATATAATTTAAACATTAGAATAATTTTGATATATATATTTTTTTTCCAACTTTTCACAATCTTGGTAGGTTTTATGTGAATCTACAGAAGGGTAAGACTATTTATCCTCATCCCATTATACCGTTGCATTTGAATCCGCGTTTTCTATACGGCAGTAGTGCACCGTACGTCGTCATGAATTGTTGGAACGGAGCGTGGGGTCACGAGGAACGACACCAAGGTCACTTATCCTGGATGCCTGGTCGAGATTTCTTGCTCACGTAAGACGTTTTGCATTCGCGACATGTAATTTCATTAAAGAAATATCAAGTTCCAAAGTGCATTGTCAGATTTGTTTTGTTTGTTCTTTGCTGTTTAATAGTATTCGCTGTGAATACGAAGGATATACAATATGGCTAGACAACAAGATGATCGGCGAATTCAAACATAGACTGAAGTCATCAGTCGCGGATACCTTACGAATCTGCGGCGACATTGTGCTTTATCAACTTAACATGAGTTATTCATAATGAGACTTGTGATCAGAATATATACAAATAACAATATCAAAGACGTGTAAGGATTAAAGACGAAAAAAATGTGAAATGGAGTCTTTAATGTGATCACGTGCAATGCTGATATGTATTCTCAATACTGAGATATTTTTGCACACTTGTCGATATAACATATTTGTAAATGTTTACATTTGTATGCATATGTATATATATATATATATATACACATATATATTATAGAATTTATTTATTATCATTGAGAATATATATAGTGAACAACACATGTGTGATTTCTTTATACATACGTACATATATATATATATAAAATTGTACATATTATATCAATAATAATCTCTTTAATATGAAAGCCTGAAGAAGTTCGTAGTTATCGACTTAACTTATGCATGCTATTGCCATTGTTGCCAGAATGAAACAAAATAACACGAAAACAATTCGATCGACAGCCGTGCCAACTAATATCCACTCCAATTGCGTGATGTTCTTTGTCGGTGAAATCATATTCTGTCGATCTCCATCGTCAGAAATATTAGACGTCGAGTTGGTGGTAGATTCTTCTGTGACTTTGCCACGTAATTCTTGACTCGGCACAGGTCGTCGCGATTCAATCTAAAAAAAATTGTTATTCATATAAACATGTATGTTTTTGTAAAAAAAAAAAAAAAAAAAACGTGACATTAGAACTTATACATGAGTTTTTAATTTAATTAATTACCACACTAATAAGATCGGAAAGTCCTAGTAGCTTCCCCGGCCAACTCAGCAGACACAGTCTAATGTTCCGTGGAAGTGGTTTACAATAAACTCTTTTTGACATGTTAATCACCAATATTGATAATACTAACGAAATTGTGACTAGACAGAGGCAGCCACTGTAGAAATATACTGTAAAGACAAATATTAATTAACGATAATTCGTCATCTCGCACGTTGTAAAATGTGATATATATAAAAAAAAAAAACATTTAAATATTTTGTTTGCTTGTGTGTGCGTGTCAATATAAAGATAAACATATTTGCTTCACTGACGTTTACATATTAACTTCTTAAATAATTTTCAAAGTAAAAATACTACGAAACTAAAAGTTCAAGATAAAAATACACGTTGTGCATATATTTTATATAATTATAGCGTATAAAGATTCGAAATATATATTTATATATTTTTATATATTTGTTTATTTAATATTAGAATAGTAAAATTATTGTTTTTTTTATAATGACTCAAGTTTTTATTTCTTTAACGTGAGTAAGTTTTGTATTATGCTCTTATCCTCTTCAAAGTATAACTGAAAATAATTAAACATCACTTTTTTGCATTAGCTTACCTATGAGCGGAGGATTTGTGGTTAATGGTACTTTAAGACCGAAGTAGACTAAAAATACAGTGATGATTAATGTAGTACAGGCCGCAACACTGATCTTCATTTCGCTTTGGGGTGGTAGCCAAAACGTTACCAATACCAAAAAAACTATTGCTGAAATCGTATATGTAAAATAATTTTTCAATCAAATTCAAATCGCGATAAATGCGTTTCAGATTACTTTTATCACAGAATTTTCTACTTTTGTAAAGTGCTATCACACACGTACCAGCAGCGGGCATCAACAGTATGCTGCAATAGAGCGCCGAGTTTCTCTTTAAAGTCATTTTAAAGTTAAGAGTGACATATGCATCTGGGCAACAAGAATAAACTGTCGAAGAACGGGTTGTAGTTACATCCACTAATTTCCATCCTCCATTTTTCACATACAACTCTTCCTGCGTTACAAATATTTGTAAATATTTTTTCGTATTATAAAGTAAACATTTATTTTTTTCAATAAAATTTCTAAATGAAAGAATTCCATAATTGAAAAAAACACGCATTGATAAAAATCTTGTTTTTGCAGTTTTGAGTAAATTGTATATAAAAAGAAAATTATAAAATTTGATTAAGCCAAGGGAAGTTGGATATTTTAAGAGAAGTATTGTCTGTGTACAGCGTAAAAAATCTATTACCACAAAAAAAAACTTGAAAATTGTTTTCATGCAAATTTTTAAATAACATTTCTATTTATACCATGTCTGTTTTATCGCCTATTCGCATATCGATCTGCTCGCCGTGATACGTCCACGAACCAAACGTCATAGTGCAAATCTGAGTATCGAAGGGCCACAGGTGAAAATCCAGATCGCAAAGCGCGACGAATTGCGCAGGTGGTACCCACAATACACTACCGTCGTGAAAGATGATGCAGGCCGTATCGCCGTAATGCTCGATTGTCCCTGCAGTTCCGCTAAATCAAAAACACACACAAACGAATAATCTCACACAAGTTTAAATATTTTCTCTCTCGAAAGAGAGAAAGAATCATCGAGAATCATTTCGTATACCTGTGATAGAGCAGAATATCCGGTTGCCATATCTCGTGATTTCCTACGTGAATATACTCGATATTACCGTATTTTGAAGGATCCCATTTAAGCTTGTCATCCGTCCATCTCTGGACATATAATTAATAGAATATGATTGAGACATGTAAAAATAAATAAAGTTTGTTAACGTAATTTAGTTTCCGAGAAATGAGTGAGAGAGAGAGAGAGAGAGAGAGAGAGAGAGAGAGAGAGAGAGAGAGAGAGAGAGAGAGGTATCACTCGATTTTTCTCTATGGTGTACTTACATGATTAGCCCAACCGTTGACAGTGACGGTAGATTTAAAGTCGTTCTACAAATTAGAAAAAAAAAAGACAAGATTAGTCTTGAATTTTTAAGAGATACAATTACATTGTTTGAGAAACAGCATTTCATTTGTCGTATGACAAACGCGTTCATACTTGCCACATCGACATAAAGAATAGTGATGTCGAAGCCAACTGTAGTGGTGTTGTAATGTTGCGTCGGTCGGGCAAACTTATCGTATTTCACAAAGAGATCTTGCTTTAATCGGTCGGTCCAGGTTTGATTCCACATTGAGGAAGATCCTGTAAATCATCGAGGGAGACAATGTCGGAAGCTGTAATCTTGTTAATTACGTAGGATATAACGGCTCGCTTACGTCTGTTATTTATGAGCTAATCTCCGTGTATGACGTGATATAAGAAAAAACAACTAAAAATATCTCCAAATTAATTCACATATAAATATGTAAGAAAATATCAACGCTAAATTTGTTAAAACAACATTTTTCTGTTCAAACTGAGATCACTTGAATGTGTAACTGACATTTTGTAGATATTTAAAATCTGAACGCCTTCTTAATGAAGAAAGAATATACTTAAAATAAAAAGAATTGATAAATTTAAAGGGAAACTTACACAAGTTCCAAAAAATTTGTTATATATTTTGCCAAAAATATATAACAGTGAGTCGCGATTGGTATTTATATGTATTTTAAAATGTTGAGACTCACTTATTCATTTGATTCGCTTTGAATAACAGTACAAGTGGATAAATGCACGGCTATAAGCACCGATAAATAAGGAACACGTTTGGTAGAGAAAAACAATTTGGATCGCTGTAAAATGTCTTTTTTTTTTATCGGAATAATTCGAGTAAGTTTCGAGACACACACACACACACACACACCTATACATATAGGTATGTCGAAGTGTGATGTAAAAAAAAGGGGAAAATTATAGAATGTGACAAATGCGCAGTTGGAGAATAACTACTGTGCGTGCCGATCGGTAATATGTCGTTTCAATAATGTTTTCTAGACAACACAAAGAGAATGTGTTTAAATTGACGTCGAAAAGATATCTGACACAAACATTTGAAGAAAAGAAACACATGTGATACATAAGTAAAACTTAACGAAAATCTAAAGTTGTGATAACGGTGCGAGTAATATGTTTCCGATAACGATAAAATATCAAAGAAATAATGCTAACGAGCAGAGGAAAGGACAAATATTTCTATTCGCTTACTTTCTGACGCGCTGCTTACATATAACACTATATTGTTGAAGAAAGTGAGCGTGATCGCTAAATAAACGGTGCAAGAAAGACTCATCGCGAGCCTGAAGTGTGAACCGTCGAGTTGAGTTGACACTGACTACGTGAGAAGAGCGGCACGTTTAGCATCGCCACAGACAAGAGTGGCAAGCAGGGGCCATATACCATAGATTTAAGTAGTTAACAACCTGTTGAATAGACATTTCGTCGTCTACCGCTGATCAATGAAACGCAATGACTTTGACCTCTTTACTGCAACAGAGATATCTTTTACATTATTTATATTAAATTTTTTTATGTAAACACGTGCGACTGTCGTAGCTACAGCTCTCTTAATTTTTGCACTTAAATATGTCGCAAATTAATTTTATTACAACGCTCTTTAAACCTTTCTCCGTCGTGCATCGCGAACAATCTAAACTACAAATTGGCCACTTCGCACGCGGGAAAAAAATTGTTCATATGCGGAAACAAATTTTTCATATCGGGTTATAATTATATATTAGATTGAGACAAACTCATTTGACAGTGATTGAACGTATTTAATTATACACATGTAATAACATGTAAAATTTGTTTTTATATGAAGGGCAAATTTTTTCTCTTGACAGATATACGCGTTTTCCTTGATTAAAACGGATAAGCGGTGAAAAATGGGGTGTATCAAAAAAACATATATTCAACAAAAAAGAAATTTGTATGATGCAACGATAGAGTGCGTACATCTCGTTACCCTTACATCCTGCAGTAACGAGTATAAATTACGTGCGTTTATGCAACAGTCTGCTCAGAGTGTCGGCAATAGAGAAACGATCTTTAATATTAAACTTGAATACACGAGCTTATGCAACGCAGAGTATGGAAAGAAGGAAGAGAGAGCGAAAGAGAGAACTTTTTTTCTCCAGCTTCCAGTCTTTCTTTCATCTAAAGGATAAATGATATTTACTCTCTTCTCGTTCTTTCCGCGTGTCACTTTACAGGAGGAAGAGAGTTAATTTAATTTTGTGCAAGAAGGTGCTCTTCACACATGCACACACATGCACATTGTGTGTGCGTGTGTGTATGTGGATAATTTATAATTTAACAACTACCGGTATCACATAAAACTTTTGTTGCGTACTTTCTTCTAGAAAGAAAAAAAGATTTGTAATGTAAAGAATAGTTTATAGTAAGAAACTTAAAAATTTCTCGCGCTGTGTTATTCTATACAGGAGATGTCGAAAACTTCAGGTTTTCTTTTTTTGTACAGTAAATTCTTTGCAGTATCGCGATAAATCGTACACGCTCGCGTAATTAGCTTCATCTGCAAAATCCTCCGATTAGCGATGCAAAATCGTATCTTGTTATTTCTTCTCTGTGACATGTACATGAGAAAGATAATTGCGCAAAAGCATCGAGCTATATTGAAAAGTATAGACACGTTTTACTTGTTGCATTTTAACATATTTATGAAATATGTGGAAAGTACACGTTTACGTACCTACATAAAACACGCGTTGTCTTCGCCTACTAATACAAAACTGCAACATGAAGAGAGAGAAAAGAAAATATAGACATTGTCGACAACGAAAAGGATCCTTGCATCCACCCCTATGATTATTATTTGCCGAGAGTCCATAAATAATAAAGGAGATTACGTAGTTGGTAGCCAGTGAAGTATAGAGGTGTAATTGAATCAAAATAATGTAGAGGTATCGTGTTATATGCTCTGGCCAATCATAATTCAGGTGAGACTATCTTCTCTCATGCGGCGAAAGAAGCGACGCGAGGATATGCGCGTCCGACCAAGATGCTCCTATATAAAGGGTGTCATCTCTAACCCCGAACATCCATTCCACCACCAACCACCACAGTACACTGCAAGACACAGCCACCGCTATATTTATCATCGCTATATAATATCGTTTTTTTTTTTTCAACATTTATATTCGTGTTTGTCTTCTGATCGTGTATAATTAAGTCGGAAAACCGAAAAAATCGAAAAGCCGATAGTATGGTGAGTGCTCCGCAGTTATTGTGTGAGTGAGTGTGTTTTATCCTTCCCTATGCGATATATTATGTAGTTGGTGATCGTTCGCTAAAGTAACTTTTAATAAAAATGTGAATTTATATAATCTATTGTTGCTTTGTCTTGAATTTAAAAAGCGGTAATAGAACGCTTTGAATTATAGAGCATGAACACGTGCAAAATCATATATTTTTTGATATATTTATTAAAACAAATTATTGCTTATATAATTAACTATGTATAATTTATTACTTAAATATTAATTTAGTGATATATTGGTGAGAAAAAGGAAAACAATTGATTAAATTTGTCTATGTTTGGTAAATATATTATATATATAATACACATATATGTAATATATATAACAATTAATTCTTCCACAAATTTAACATAAAGACTTTTCATAAATTTAACTATGAATAATTAAAATAATCAATATGCAAATCAATTTTATGGATTAATGATTAAACCTTTCTGTGTTAGCAAATTTATGGGCGCGATCTTCGTGGTAAATCTGTTTTACTTAATTTGGGATTTAATCACTTTATCAAGCAATGGCATATACATTTTCTCTTGGTATTAGAACAAGATAACGAAGCATACGAAACTTCTTATCGTTTAAATTCAGTCTTAGTAAAAAATAAAAGTATTTAGATGTGTAACTAAAGATAACGAAGTATCAAGATAATAACCGAAGAACGTGATATTGAGTACAACTTGATATGATCAGTATATACATGAGAACTTGAGTACGATATCAACGCAATGTGATCTGTGTAAAGTTAAAGCAAAGGTCAGTTAATTAAGAAGAGAATTTGTCCACCTACGTTCACATTAATACTCGTTTCTCTTGTCGTAAATGCCGTAAATCTGCAACTTTTTATTAGTAAATGTTAGCAAGAGATTGTGGGCGACATAATTATGAAGGGCAGTCGCGTACAAGGTTAATTAAAGTAATGTAAGATATCGCATTAATCTTGCTCGGTACCGCGTGCAATATTGTTAAATAAGACATGATGATGTAAAGAATAAGAGATACACATCAATAAAAAGTATATATTATATACGCGATGTCACACACGCGATCTGACGATTACACCATTCATATAGAGTGCGTGTGATGTGTTTTATTTCAAAACAATTTAATTTTATGTGCTTTTTCTTGTTGTTACAAATGTATAAAAAATTATGTTTATAATTTACTCTCTCTCTCTCTCTCTCTCTCTCTCTCTCTCTCTCTCTCTCTCTCTCTCTCTCTCTCTCTTTCTCTGTAGTTTATACACAATTTTGTCGACAGAATCTTTAATCGTAGATTGCACTTTGGACTTTTAATGCACTTGTATTCCTTTGCAATTGGGCATTTGTGTCTTCTTCGATCTTGGCGCCACTAAAAGATGACAGCAATTTAAGAATCTTTAAGGAGCTGCCCAACAAATTTGAATATATAACAAAGAGACACGGCATCGATGATCGTAAAGAGGACGCCGAATCTAAAGAAAGACGCAGTACTATGAGCTCCTCTTTCATCAGGTTCGGACGCAGTCAGTCTGCGTTCAACGTCAATGACAATTCGGCGGCACTCGATAGCGAAACTGACTCGAAAGTTGATAGACATTCCCGACGAAAATCGGCGGACATTGTCATCAGATTTGGCCGGTCCAAATTGAAGAATGCTAATAACGAACAACTTAAACGCGGGAAAAGCGATCTTAATTTCATCAGGTAATCGTTCTATCGCACTTTTAATTTCAAAAAGAAATGTTTATACTATATAGTACAAATGTGTTTGTTTAAAAAATTGTGATAAAAATATCAATTTCACAAACAAAACACACGCGTGATACATAAGTTCGTAATCCGGATAATTTTTTGTCATATAAACATTTATAGTTTTTTGAAGTTTTAGTAAAAGAGAGAAAGAGAGAGTGAGTTAAGAGAATTTCATATCAAAATTTATATAAAAATATTATGTTAGACTTGCCGTGACACACTTTTTTCCAAAATTGAAATAAACAAGTAGCTTCTCTCTCTTTTTCATAAAAATATAAAAGTCGCTTTTTCTGTGAGCGACATGCATAATATTGTAAATAATAAGAAACGCAGGTGCGCGGTGTGTATACATAGCGCGAAGTATCAAGTAGATGAAAAAATTGTTATTATTTATGATAACATTACCGAAATGACACGTGCGCATAAGGCAAGTATATGGTTTGAGAGACGCGCAAATAATATTTGTACTTGGTGAGAAAGAATGGAGAAATGTACGATGACGCAGAAACGTAACACGGATTCACCAGAGACCCGTATCCGTCCATTATTGCTCGTTCCTTTCTGCGTTCTTTTTACAACACTCAAAAGTTCAGCACACACGTGTAACATGATCATTCTTTTCGATTATATTTATAATAACATCATCTCGCTTTTATCTAAATATTCTAAGATATGATGCGAAGCATGTGAAAACTAAAACTAAATTACGTTATTAGTTGCTGAAAAGATGCGTTTCAGGATACCTATTATATACTTTTTCGGAATCGATTCCATTCGGAATGACTTTGATTTTCTTACCGGGTTTTTCTATTTTTCTTTTCCTTCGAAGAGACAAAGAAAAATCAACAAAAATTGAGATTATCCCGATTGGAATTGGTTCCGAAAAAATACGTAATAGGTATCCTGTTCTGTAATATACGAGATAACAACTTTTGTTTAAAACAGGTTTGGTCGTAATGTGCAACTTGTACCGGCCGATGTCGATTTGTCCGCTGTGTGTCAAACGATCATGTCAAACAACATGATAAGCGACGCGGAGCTTCATCCGGACGTTGCGAGACTGCTTCGTCTTTGCAACAGTTTGAACAAGATCACCGGCGAAATCAATGTGGACGACTTGTTCGAGGATCAGGCCGACTTGAGTCGTCGCGAATGAGAACTGGATTTCTGCTGTTATCCGAAACTCGTCCGAGATCCGATATCGTCTCGTGCAGAGGATTCACAATCGTGAATTTCACTTCAAATTCGATGACGGATATCAACGAGAAGTATCATCAACTCCCGTTTACTGAACTGATTAAACCGACGAGTTGCATTTAGATTTGAAACGACGACCGACGCCACGTTACTGTCAACTTAACGGAGTTCCACACATATGCAAAATCTAAAGAAATAACAACGGTTATTAAAACAATCAGAGCAAGTTTGCTTCTGCATCTTGCTTTTTGGTTAACTTAAATCAAGTGCGACGTTTGTCGTAACGTTGCGTATCATACGGTCTATATTATAATTCAATCAATATCTTTTGATCTCTTACAAAAACAAAGTTGTATTTTTATGTAATTTTGATTGAGAACATATTTACAATTAATACACTATTCTTCGTATAATTCGTAGTATTTTTTTTCGCAACAATATTCCACAACAGCAAAGGATTATAATCGTTTATTTACTTACTACGACGCTGCGCATCAATCCTTTTATTATCCAGTTAGCCGATCATTCTATATTGCGCCGTTCTATTTTGTTGCTAACTATAGCGCATTCACAAATTTATAGCGAATGTCGAGTCGCGAATTTCAGGCACGGCGTTGTACATCCACACTTGCCTCACTTTACATTTTTAGTGTACATATATATATATATGTATATTTGACATATATATATATGTATATTTGACATAATATTTGTTGTATAGGAAATATCGTCAATGTAGCCGCGCAGATTCGTGTTGTGCGCCTTCTTTCTGTCGCGTCTATAGCGTGTTGGTGCTAAATTCTGATTGGATACAATAGCAGTGTGCAAACGTACGTACATAACAATAAAAATCGCTGAATTAAACATATAGATACATATGAAAAAAGAAGAAACTAGAACGCGTACTTCTAGTTCGATGCATATCGGACGCAAGGAAACCAATCAAGGTTTAGTTTTCACTGTTGCGTAACAGTAACGGAATGCAGAAAACTGTTATAGTCGCAGAAAAATACGCTAACACTTGATGATACACATAGGCAAACCGCGCTAGAATATCCAAACAAAATCTCTCGCGTGTTATATATAATTACCAGACTGACTGTTGACTTAACACACAAATCTATAATAGTAATATAAATATTACAGGGATTCGTCGCAGAATCACACAGAAATACGCATATGTATTGTATCCAATAGCATAAATGCCGTTCGTATGAAATATGTAAAGTTAATACGTAACTATATGTAATTAAAAAGAAACAGTGGCTGGGATGAGCTTGTTTCTATAATACATTCCTATTCCAAATTCTTGTCAAACTTATTCCTTTGTTTCTTTTAGGGGAGTCTTATAATTTAAAAAAAACAAAAAAACTCTTTTAATAACTCTTTTTTCCTGTAATTTCAAGCGTGTCTTTTACATCGTATAGAAATGATCTCAATTAGCTTGATCTTCGATTGTCCAAATTGTAATTCTATTCAAGAACAAGATGAATTTATTCATTTATTTATCGTTGAAATGTAAGGATATGCAATTGCTGTTGCAAATATCAACCAGGAAAAAAAAGAGAGAGAATAGGAGGGAAGACAGATCAGAGCATACGTATCTTTTTTCCGTATATCTATCGTTTTTTCTATGCTTTTCTTGAATTGTTACGGATTTGCGCTGCACTGGGAGGGAAAAACGGAAATGACACACACGTCGCCCCAGGGAGATAAATAATCACACGAAACGACAGAAGAGACAGAAGAAATTCGCGGTGGCGGAAAATGAAGAAGAATGTATCGCGGCACGTCGGCGGCATACTGGAGCTTTAGACTTAGTCGCTTCTTCCCCGTCACGAAACTCTCATGATCCATTAATCGAGGGGTTAGAAAAAGAGAAAGAGATAGTCTCTCTCTCTCTCTCTCTCTCTTTCTCTTTCTCTCATTCTACATAGATGATAATACCAATACCATATAACGCCTGGACACAATGTACCACGACCGCTTTTGCTGGTAAGTCCAGCCGCTCTCGTTTTCTTTCAGTGCGTGCTTAATCCGCGCCCTGCGGATTAACTTACCTGTCAGCGTCGTAAGGTTTCGTCGAACCACATCGTCATACAGTTCACTTGCGACATTTCTCGCGTAAGCATGCCGGCGTCGGCGTAAAGAAAAATACGTGAGTACAAACGAACATTGAAATCGGAAGGAAGAATACATAAAATAGATCGCGGATAGTTAATAGATATCATATTTTGATTTAAGAAGCTATTGCGTATTATAATTTTGAACAAATATAAAAATTGTACATCGTGGACGGCTTTCTAGTATTCAACTACAAAAAAAAATAATAATAAGGCCAGTTTGGATTCGACTTCTGGCCAAGGTGTTTTTTTTGCTATAATTTTTTCAAATTAAATTCACAGAGATTTTAAACAAAGTATTTCTATACGCGAGATATGCAAACTAAACATGCGATATAGATTTTCGAATTAAATTTAATTCGATTATTATTACTTACATCGTGTATATTAATTTACACAGCGTTTGATTCTTTATTGGCCTTATTTCTTCTATTATAATTTTGTGTCACGTCAATATTATGGAAAAATAAATACCTTGGCTGACTGTGAGCTGAATGTATGTTTTATGTAGAAGAGGAAGCCTTAATATCGTTTTTTATACCCGTTTCCATATTCTTTTGCATCAACCGAAAATTATCTATACACTGTACACGCGTATACAATAAACTTTCATTTTTCTCGACAACTTTGATGTTTCTTGTAAATGTTGTATTAACAAAAACGAGACAACAATGTCAATCTTGAATTAGTAAAAAATAGTTGGACAACTAAAAAGGCATGTAATAATTAAAACTTTGACATTTTTAACATCTTGTTTAGTACGTGATGACTTAGAGAGAATAGAGAAAAAACACGGACAAAAAAATGAATCCGTCGGAATCGCAGCAAAATTTGCTCTCGAACGAAGCGAGGCCGCCCTCGGTGCAGTCGTTACAGCCACCCGTTGACTATGTTCTTGGCCCGGTCGAAAAGCATTTCCTGCTCAGCGCGGAACGAGGTGATTGTGCTACCGTCAGAAGGTAATCCTAAGCATCACACGCTTCGCGTTAATAATGAGAGAGAGAAAGCTGCTGTAAAGACATGCTGAGACAAAACATAAAATACACTAAGTTTTAGAATATATAAATCCCCTTCTCTCTTCAACATCGTATATTATCAAGCACTATGAGAAACTATTAAGCAATGTAATATATTCGTGCAAGCTTCTCATTAATTTTATTTTCCGTACGTAAATGTATCTGAAAAAAAAAAAAACTTCTACTGTGATATTTTTCACAATTAACAAGTCTTTTCATTTATATGTTATCTTGCGGGTTGTTAAAAAAAGTACTTCATGCTCCGCGATTTGATTGAAAACATTTGATAAATGATTTTTGATCAATGTGCTTGATCACATACACATTTGTAAATCCCAAAAATGATTTCAAATTGAAAGATTGTGTGTCAACTTCGAGTCATCCCGCGATCAACTGACTTTTTATTACAATAATTGCCGTGTAATTTATCAAACAGGTTAATCGAAGAAAACCGAGATCATCCGGAGATATTAAATATTAATTGCGTCGATCCGCTAAATCGATCGGCATTGATAGCCGCTATCGAAAATGAAAACTACGATCTTATCAAGCTGTTGCTCGAAATGGGAATCGAAGTGAAGGTAAGTAGTATTATTGTGGAATCCCTCAAGAGAGAGAATGCGTCTCTCTATCTTTCTTTCTCATGAATATTACACGACAACCGCCCTCCTAATTATTCAGCGCGTTACGCTGATATACCGTAATCGATGTCTACCGGGATACACTAATGAAAGCGTGCATATAATACCTTTTGTAGGCGGCATATACCGTAATAAATATCATTGTTGTATAAATTATCCGCGCTACTTATAACGTGTTTCTATAACAATAAAGTTCACACTTCTAAGAGTGTGAGACGCTTAAAACCATAATCTTGTCTTTTTTTTTTAGGACGCGCTTTTACACGCTATTACAGAAGAGTTTGTAGAAGCGGTAGAGATCTTACTTGAATGGGAGGAAAGAATACACAAGCCAGGACAGCCCTATGTGAGTTCGTTAATAATCACGTGTCACTGTATTTTTAAGCGTTCGATAGCGAAATAACTTTGTATATATATATATGCGATATATACTTATAATACCTAAAAATATAACCAAAGCTATTTACTGAACATGCGCGCGTATACTTTTCATTAACCAAATGGATTAATTTCGCGAGATTGCGAAAACATAAGCGCAATAAGTTTAACAACAAATTTAAGCTCATAACAAACTAGCGAAGATTTACTTGCTAGTTGACATCTAGCGTGAACATTTAGCTAACACTGACTCACGTCAATGTCAGTCAGTGTCAGCTAGATGTTCACGCAAAATATATTTTTTTAATATTTAGTTAAACGTGTAAATGAATAATACACGTGATAATTTGAACTGAATTTAATTTGAAAATTTATTCTAAGACGCTTATGTGGTTTTCACCACACATAATAAATGATATAAGCGCATTTATTTTAGAGTTGGGAAGCCGTAGATTCGTCATCGAATTTTACACCCGACATAACTCCGTTGATTTTAGCAGCTCATAAAAATAACTATGAGATATTGAAACTGCTTTTGGATCGCGGCGCAACTCTTCCAACACCTCACGATGCTAGGTACGAGAAAAGGAAGAAAACAATAAAGTAGAAAGATATAACGACCTTTGAGAGATTTTTATCCGGAAGCAAACTAGCAGATTTATGCGCAAAAAAGAAGAAGTCAGTGTAATGTTCTCGTAGATGCGGTTGCGATGAATGCGTCACTTCGAGCGAGCAGGATTCTCTTCGCCATTCGCAAGCGCGAATAAACGCGTATCGGGCGCTCACCTCGTCATCTCTAATCGCGCTTTCATCAAGAGACCCACTTTTGACGGCCTTCGAGCTTTCATGGGAACTGCGTCACCTCAGCAAGATAGAACAAGAATTTCGCGCGCAGTACAACGTACGTATACATGTATTTGCAAAAACACATACATTTTTTCTTTATTATCTCAAAATAAATTTGGTTAGAGCCAAATTACAATATGTAACAAAGTTTTCTTTTTATTATAAGAATCAAAAATTCTAACCAAACCTATTTCAAAGTTGTCACGTGCTTATTTATCTTATTGTCTTTTTTTTTTACTCAATTAGTGCATCTTGATATGCGTCACGCTATATTTTCTAACACAGAATGTGTACGTTCTTTATTTACTTTCCCAGCATTATACTTATCTTAAGATAACAGTTATTTTATATGTCACTTTTTTATATTAAATAGATCATAATTTTTATATTCTATATATTTTTTTATCAGGAAATGCGGGAACAGACTCAGGAATTTGCAACCGCTCTGTTGGATCACGCGCGCACATCTTACGAATTGGAAGTAATGTTGAACTATAATCCTACCGGCGAGAATTGGGACCCTGGGGAGAGACAGACCCTGGACCGACTTAAACTGGCTATTAAATATAAACAAAAGCAGGTATGTAGGGATGTTGTTGAATTCGAATGAGAAGATTTGATGTTTGTTTTTTACAAGAGTACAAGTAAACAAAGTCAAAAGATTATAGCGCGAGTTCAAACTTAGACAAAAATATGTTAAGATGCTAGATCTTCTCAAGTAAATTCATTCACCTATTGCTATGTAACGTAATGATTTTAATGTGTTTGCGTGTTTATCGAAGTTCGTCGCTCACCCGAACGTGCAACAGTTATTGGGCGCTATCTGGTATGACGGTCTTCCGGGATTTCGAAGGAAAAACATAGTGGCACAGTTAGTGGAAGTAGGCAAACTTGGAGCAATGTTTCCGGTTTACAGCACTATGTATATGATGGCGCCAACTTCGCAAATGGGATTGTTTATGAAAAAACCTTTTGTCAAATTTATATGTCATTCCGCGTCGTATGCATTTTTTCTAAGTAAGATCAAATCAATACACTCTTGTGCTTTATTAAAAGACTCGAAAGAGACATACATATTTTTTTATTAGTGCTTCTTGGTATGGCGTCACAAAGAATCGAATATCTGTTGATTGAATTATTTGGTAACGCATGGATGCGAGAGATACTTGCCGGCTGGAAGAAACGAGAACGCGGAAGTATCCCGGGTTTTGTCGAGACAGGCGTAGTCATCTATGTGATAAGTATATATAACGCAATTTCTCCTATACGCGTTTAAAAAATTATGTGCTTTTTATTTTTTGTTTTATATGAAAAAAAAAAAAAAAATCATCAGCATGTAATTTTGCTTTGTTTTTCTCAAAGCGCGCACTTCTCAAAATTAATTACTTTATATTTATTATCTTACTTTACTTTCTTTCATTTTTAACGCAAAACGCATTTGATAGGTTTGATCGCCGGCGAAATCAAATCTTTATGGGCGGACGGATTATTGGAATATGTATCGGATTTGTGGAATATCGTAGATTTTATTCAAAATACTTTTTATGTTATCTGGATAAGCTTACGTATCACTGCTTGGTGGATAGTGCAGGTAAGTTGTCGAATCTGTGCGCTATCTCTCTATCTCTCTTAAACATAATACAAACATAGCGAGAAGTAAAATAGAGAGAATACTGGAGCGGGTTGGATCCTTGGTATCCGAGGGATCAATGGCATGCGTTCGATCCGATGTTGCTTTCGGAGGGTGCGTTTGCCGCTGGAATGATATTCAGGTGATTTCTCGCATCAATTGTCTCGGATGTGTTTCTTTCATCGATTACTATTTGAGATGTGTTTGCAGTTTTCTGAAACTCGTCCATATATTCAGCGTAAATCCTCATCTCGGACCACTCCAGATTTCCCTCGGGAGGATGATAATAGACATTATCAAGTTTTTTTTTATTTACACTCTCGTATTATTTGCCTTCGGCTGCGGTGAGTAGCAACACCTACGACTTGCTTTTTTATTCGCGGGAGTTTTTGTTTGTCTACAAGTTTTGACGTACAGTCTTTGTTCCAAAAGTCTGCACACATCTCGAGTGTATGACATTTGTGCGACTATATTAATCTCTCGAAAAAAATGATTTTTTTTTCTTCTTTTAATAATTCTTTTTTCTTCAGCCTGGATTGATAAAAAGTAGACCGAATAATGTGCCAACGAGTAAATGCGACGTACAATATCTTTTAAACTCGAATTTTATATTTCAGGTATGAATCAGCTACTGTGGTATTACGCGGATTTAGAGAAAAGAAAATGTTATCACTTATCCGACTTGCCAGATTTTGATAATCAAGAAAAAGCCTGTTCCACATGGAGAAGATTTGCTAAGTACAAAAGATTGATTTACACACGCGCGCACACGTTCGCGCGTATACAGAGTGATTCTTAGACTAATGTCACGCGCGATATTTACACGTGTATTTTACAACAGATCTGAGTTGAAAAATTTATAATTAATAATACTAATTATTATTATTGTTTTTTTATATTTAGATAGTAAGAAATGTACAAAAAAATAATACGTCTGTAGATTTGTGACATTAATTTAGACATCATTTTGTGTGTGTGTGTATGTGTGTTAAATATTTTTTTAAATAAGAAATTCTAAAATATTTACTTTTCAGTTTGTTCGAGACATCGCAGTCTCTCTTTTGGGCAAGTTTCGGAATGGTCGAGTTAATATCGTTTGATCTAACGGGCATCAAAAGCTTTACGCGATTTTGGGCGCTTCTCATGTTCGGTTCTTATTCCGTGATAAACGTCATTGTATTATTGAATATGTTAATCGCTATGATGTCCAATTCCTATCAAATCATTTCGGTGAGAAAAATTCATTTTCTTATACATACACATTAAAATGTGTTATATTAGATTCATATTTTTGTGGAATTTTAATGCATTGTGTTTTCTTTTTTTTTTTTTTTTAGGAAAGATCTGATACAGAATGGAAATTTGCTAGAAGTCATTTATGGATGAGTTACTTTGAGGATGGTGACACTGTGCCACCGCCGTTTAATATGATTCCAACGAGTAAAACATTTCAAAAGCTAGTCAAGTGCGGAAACGCCGGTCGTACTACAAAATCTTTTATTGTAAATAATTTTTATTAAAATACTTTTACAGAAATTTCTTACTGATGCGATCAAAATAATACTTATTAATTATTATATTAAGTATTATTTAATAATATTTATAATAAATTACAGTTGAAAAGTGCTTTTATTCTCAGAGTAAATATTATTTTGATCATATCAATAATACATTTCTGTAAGAACACTAACCAGTCTTACATACGTACTTTGTTTTACAAAATTCTATTTAATTAATTAATTTAAACAAATAAGATTTGAAAATTTTATTATATACACATTAATTAGATATTCATTCATAGTAGATAGTAGGACATGCATTAATATAGTATATTAACAATGTTATTTTAGAAAAAGTCTCGGGAGAAGGCTTTGGCTAGACACAATACCGTAGTGCGATTGCTTGTACGTCGTTATGTAACGGCTGAGCAAAGGAAACGAGATGATTTTGGTATTACAGAAGATGATGTCAGAGAAATTCGCCAGGATGTCTCAAGTTTTCGATATGAATTAATCGATATTCTTAAAAACAACGGGATGCATACACCACAAATAACTAAAGATGATGCAACTAGTTAGTATATTATTGTGTGTGTGTGTGTGTGTGTGTGTGTGTGTTATTAATCGCACCTATATCTATTCAAAAAAAGAATATTTCTCAAATAAACAATTGTTAATTTATCATAAAAATTCACGTAATTGAATTATTAAGTTGTCGATATTGTGTGAACAAACGAAAAGTCAACAAATATATTTTATTCTCTAAAGTACCAGGCAAGAAAGGCAGAGTAATGGAACGTCGTCTGCAAAAGGATTTCCAAATTGGCTTAGTGGAGGGTATTGTGCAAGCTGTAATTCAGAACGAGAAAGAGCCGAAGGATGTGTTTACTCAAATCGCAAAGGCCATTGGACGTAAAGGAAGCGCTACCGTCAAAAAAGACTGGAATGCTGTGGTGAGACAAAATACTATTGCAAAAGATCCAATTGGAAGCACAAACGAGGCGGTGCAACGTCAAACCAGACGTAGTCTGCGTCGTCACTTACGACATCAACCAGATTCCGATCTAGAGTCTATGGACCCGAAACGACTGGTCGACTATAATCCAAATCTGTCGGAAGTTACGCCGGCTACCAGGATAGCCTACGCTAAATTTATGTTGAGAAAAGGCAAGCAAGAGGAGAAAACCGATGGTAAGTTTATATTCAAATTTAAAGTTTTAAACATTAATGTGCATCTCTCTTTCCATGTAAATTTAAGATCGGCACAAGATGCTAGAGTTAATTCGCTTTTATTCTAAACGTTTTATGCAAAATAATTCAAAAACGAAAAAAATATATCACAAATATTAGAATTAATCACTTGTACATAGGTGCAGACGATCCTTCGAAAGCAACTGAAAACAGTGAGGAACCTCGAAAAAGTAGTAAAGTTATGATCGCGGAAACTTCTACATCTTCGATTCCACGACCCGTTTCTGAGATGTTAAAGAAAAGCGTATTGAAGTCAACTAGCAGCAGCGGCAGCATGGAGAAATTAATGACAGATAAAAAAACACTCGATATTAAAACCACTGAAGTCAGATCGCCTTCACCTATACCCGAGGATCTCGGAGAAGATGGTAAACAGTCACCAGCAAAGCCCGATAAGAAAACCGAAGATAAGAATAAAGACAAAAAGGAAGATAAGACAAAAGAACCAAGTGAAACGCAAAAGTCAAGAGAACAAAAAGAAAGTGAGACAGTACCGGATGAAGATAAGCGTAAGCAGTTGGAAAGCAGCAGTCGGGAAGCACCAAAGAAAGGGGATAACAGCGACGAAAAAAAAGTCTCTGAAGTAAATCAGAAGAAAGAAGCACCGAAAACTGCAGTGGCTCAAGCTACTACAAGTGAACGTGGAAAGTCCAAGGCAACAGGTCGAGTAACGGGAGGTTGGATTTAACTTCAAAATATTTAATGGTGAATTTAAACATATATAACTTATAGAACGTCAAATTGAATGCGTTAAATTGTTGATTATTTAGTCAACAAAACAAAACAAAAGTTAAATAATTATGAAGCACAGAAATCAGATTAATAAAAATATTGACAATATTTCAGAAGTCACTGAACAGAATCGAAACATGACTTTGACATAACACAAAAAATTTTGAATACTGAGAATTTTTATTTCAAGACATCGGTCTATTCTAAGATGCTCCATAGTAGATTACAAAACAAATTTATTAATATGTCTGACGTTACAGGATGTCGATTGTCAAGATTTTTTTGCGCAGATCGACTGTTGCACATAATCCCGTTTGCACATAAATCATATTGCGCATATTAAAACAAGACTACTTTTTTAATGTTCTTTTTGTTTATTTTGTAAGCGTATATGCAGGGAAGGTTGGGCTCCCTTACGCTCCTTTTCGAATCTCGCTTTGCGTGGAAAGTTATAAACTTACGTGGATCTTGCCTCAGATTTAGCCGTCGTTTGTTGTAGCAAGATTTTTTATGAATTCATAACTTTTCACGTGCACTAATGTTCTATGCTATATGTAGCCAACTATGAGATGTTCATTACAATCATTGCACAGATAGTTGCAACTATCTGTGCAATGATTGTAATGGACAATCGGAATATGTGCAATATAGTTTATGCGGAAACGGGATCTGGGAAATACGTCTTCGTCATCTATGCAAAGACGACTATGGACAATCAGGATCTGTGCAAAAAGGTTTCGTGCAAACGAGATCTAGAAAAATAGGATTTGTGCAACAGTCGATCTGCACAAAAGAAATCTTGGCTATCGGGATTGGCTCCTCTCTGACGCAGAGAAGCTAAGATCATATATTTCTCTTTCTTAGATCAATATAAAGTTAAACATTAACCGTTTTCCTGGTAGATTTCTTTGAGTTTGACTCACATGTAACTTGTTGTTTGGCGTTATATTGAAAGAAACATTATTTATAAAAAACGAGATTTCTAAAGGTACTATAATTTATTCTGTGCTGTTGATTTTCAGTAAAAGATCCAAACGAAAAGATCGAAACTTAATAGTTCTGTTTATTTTGAATAAATATAAGTTATATACACTGAAATCTTGTACATTGTGGTATATAATTTTTGTCGATAAACACATGTACTTAGTGTCTTCGTTAAAAAAAAAGACGTCGATTTTTGTACAAATTTAGTAAAGTTAAATTAAAAAGATACAAAGTATAAAGTCGCGAATAACATTCGCAGACTCTCGTTAAAGAGATAAAATTATACAAGTAGGAAATCGGAAAGTCCACTGAGATGCGATAAGTGGATGACGCATTTAGAGATTTACTGGCAATTTTCTTTGTATAGGTATTTCCAATGTCACTTACACTAGCGATAAGCGAATCATTTTTAAATTCGATGATTGTTATCAATACTATGCACTTCGTCACGTACAGCGTCTCGTACAGATAACAACACAACGAGTGTACATATATGTATGGTGACGTAATAAATAAAATTATAATTATAAAAACATATGTGTGTCTGTATAAGAACACATGGTCAATGCTTACAATGCTTCTTTTCAAGATTAAGCACATCTGCCACAGATCATTCGTAAGAAAGCTCTGAAACATATAAGTAAAAAAATACTAAAGTTAAACAACAAATAAAAATAATAAAGTCAACTAATTACACATTACTATTAAAGTAATTATTGTTAAACATAACAGTTTTATCATATTAATTACATTGTGCCCGCTCATTATATAACGCAATTAAAACGTAAATAAACAAATTATATAAAACATTTTCTTTTATATTAAAAGTGTATATAAATTATTTACATATATATTATATATAATCTGTTTTTTTGTTTATTATATCTCTAAATTTATTTTGTTTTTAAAGATTCAAAGAACGTACCTTCGCTTTGGTCTGTTTATTTCGTCTATTTTTATTCCATTAGTAACAGTGTGCTTTTTCTTTCTGTTGATCTTTTTATCATCCTATAATATATTATTGAATTCACTAACTTATTATACGCATATATTATATGATCAGACGTTGTAACTCTACGATGTGCACATATATGATACACATATATGTTACACACATTTATTTTACACACACTTACGTCTTTGAGTTCGCCGATTAAATAATCTTTAAGCATCTTTTTTGCATCAGAAGAATGACCAAAATCATCGAATCCACTAGTCGCATCTTTTCCTGCGTATTCTTCAATTAGCTCTGGTCCACCAGGATGCTTTATATAATAAAGAAGTTCAAATATATACAATATAATTTATTTATTTTAAAAATCAGACTTAAAAAAGTTCCAATGCAATATGAAAAACAAACTTAAACCGAAAAATGTCACATAATTAACAACTAAATTAATAACATATATAAAAATAGCGTAGAAATATATATAAACTACGTAATGTAATAATTAATTAAAGATATATCACATAAACAATTTCTGAGAAAAAAATGTAAATCTTTTTCAGAATAAGCACAAAACCACAACGTATACAGTTGTATAATATTAGTAACTTCTAAAGAATATATTACTGATTGTACGTAAAATCAGTAATATATTCAGCAGACAGTTGCTAATATTACAAAACTCGTACTTTTGCAAAATGGGGTCAAAAGCGACACAAATGAATAAAAACCGTAATTGGATCAATGTGTAGAATCTTGTAGGAACCTTTTCTTTTCTGTGTGTGTGTATAATATGTATTATAAATTGTTTTTGTTATATTAAATTACTATATTCTATACGGAAAAAATAGACGTTGTTTCAATTAAAGTTGACGTCACAGACTGTCAAAAATAAGTAGTTTATTCTATTGCATATGCGATCAAAAAAGTGTAATATAATTTAAATATTTATATTTATACATTACATTAAACAAATATTTATCTATTAATTAAAGTCGCATACCCCATCCATGTAATCCGTTACATCGTAAATATAGTCGTTTATCACAATCCAAGTTCTTGCTCCATTCTTGCCGTTGCACTTCGCGACATCCGCGAGTGAATAACGAGTCGTTGAATCGGACATTCTTCTCTGAAGTCACGAGTACAATAAAGAGAATCCATTCGTGCCTACGAATATAAGTAACGAGTGTCGATCTCTCAAAGAGCACGTCACTATTCTCCAAATATACAGATAAGTATGTCGCAATTTGAAGACATAAATTATCTCTGTAGATAATTATAATGAAGTTTTTGATACAATAGATTAAACGATGAAAAAGATTAATGACAAAAGATTGATGACAGCTATATCATTATTTAATTGCTACTATATTGTTACTATAAAAGTATCGATTTTTTGCAAGCCTATTGTTTAACGTTATGCCTCAATTTTTCTAAATTTTATTAACTAAACGCAAATTACAAATTTCCCTGCAATGCACAATTCTCGAAAATTATATTTTATAAAATAAGATTACATCTTTTATATATATAAACTGCAGTTTTGTGTAATCACTATATTTGCTGTATTAGTCATTTGTTCTTTAAACATCTTCGAAAATATAATTAGAAAATAATTATAAACAAACGATGCTATATACTATATTCAAATTATGATGAAAAGAAGTGAAATTATAAGAGACAGATGCGTTGTGTTTTTATGGTATCATAAAGTAACTGATAAGAGAGCAATTTAAAAATGCTTTTGTTTTCGAGACGATTTAAGGTTTATCGAAAATCTAAACTGTGTACGTATATACATATCTTCTTCTTGCAGAAACGCGTTCATATAAATCTCTGTAGTAAATACACACAATAACAATTTACGTATATATTTGTACACTCTACTTACATAAAACAATATCCAGAGATCTCATTAGAGTTCGTATGGATATCTCATGAAACTGTGAACGTGTCTAGTGAACATCTAATGAGATTTTTGTTTTGTGTGAATTAATATCAAAATCTGTCGAAAAACAAATAATTTTTGTCAAAAAGACAGCAGTTTACAGCAACTTGTCGTTATTTGCACGTAACAATACGCCAATATTGCGTATAATTGTCTGCCGACATATATATATATATATATAATTATAAATACTATGTAGAATCGAACTTCGCGGAATTTTTATGGACAGCTCGGAACCCGAGAATTAATCATGCAACTCGGGACTTTCCCGCTAAAGCAGGTTGTCTGGCAACCTTGTACATAAAATAAAATAAAAATGCGTTAGTGCATGTTAATGTGGAAGTGTGTACATGTATGTTTGTTGACTTTCTTGTAGATGGCCAACCGACTTCACTAAAAAATTACTAAAGACAAGATTTTTTTTTAAACCATTTTAGCGAAGACTCAAACCTCTTAAAAGAAGGAATTTTAGTAAGTGTCTTTAGTAAGGTTCGTTTGCTTGGACCGCTCACGTGTTTCAAGGTCAGTCTATCTTTGTTCTACATTTAAAGCACAGACTTTTTTTTTGGAGGGGGGGGTATTTTACGTGCCTTCAGCTAATCTAGGCTATTAAGACACATCTATTGTCGAAGTTAATTGAATTTTTATACTTTTTCATGAGGGGGTTGTGCAGTACACTACTATCACGCAATACACGGCCTTCTTTCACAGTGGGCGTGCCCCCCATCTGTGTCGGGGGCTCATGTTCAAGATGTTGTGACTGTCATCGCCTTGTGGGAGGTAGATTAATTCGAGATTACACTCGAATTAATTTTTGGAGTCTCGATTTAGTTCACCGATCAATTGATAAACTCGATTGAAAGGGACCGACTCGGAAAAAATCCTTAGGTCGTGAGCGGATTCGAACTCGAGACCTCTGGGTTCGCAGCCCCTGCACTGAGGCCGCGAGACCACTGGGCCAGCACAGACTTTTGCATAACGCATAACGCATAATGGCTAGTCTACAATGAAGGTAGTAAGGCTGTAGGAGTAGGAGCAATGATGAAAGATCGAGCCCGTAGCAACGAGAGTATCGAAGCCAATCGAAGCGGTGGGGCACGCACGACGATTCTTGCTTGTGTGCGTGTCTCCACCGCTTTGATACTCTCGTTGCAGGCTCGATCTTTTATCACTGTGTAGGAGTAGAGAGTAAACTATTTTTCGGTGAAGAATCAACGGGAATTACGAAATGGGCAATTCCCATTTCGCACTACCTACTGCCTTACTGTTAGCCAATGAAAGACGTGTGTTAAAAAACGCGAAATAATTACTTGTATTGACAAAAATGAAATAACTCCAAGAACCTTACCCCTTAAGGGCCTTCTACAATGAGATATTAGTAATAAATTAGAAGTCAGAAGCAAGAAATTGACCAATCGCAGACAGATTACAGAAGAATAATCGATTGTGATTGGTCAATTTCTTACGACTTAAAGCTTACGAGTGTATTGTAGAACAGGCCTTAAAGTATGCTTGATCATATCCTAACCTATCTACACTTTAAAACACACAAATTTGTTTAGTAAACATATGCTAAAAAAAGGATCTGAAGATATTTTAAAAATCATATAAATCCACACAAGTCTATTTTCGAGTAAGTATTGTAGATTAGATATAGAATTATGTATAAACTTTTTTAAATCGCGATATTTTTCTTTCTTTCTATTTTCTTTTTATCATAAACGCTTTGAGAAAATAATTGCTTCTCAAAATTTTAGCGAAGTCAATATGACTGCTTCAATCAGCACTGCTATGGACAATCTGAGTGCTGCTCACAAGTCCAACATTATCCCGAACCAGGAATATCTATTGCAGGGATCAGTACTGGACTCTTCTGTGGAAGTACTTTTGCACAGGCTTCGTGGTTTATGTGACAACGTAGATAGCGGACCGGAATCTTTCTACGATCACGAAATATGTTACAGTATTCGCAGGTATAATATATTTTACTTATATCCTATGAATAATTTATGCTGATTTTTACTTTCAATTGAGAATTTATCTGGTTTTTTTAGAGGTTCTTCACAAGAGACTCCGTTATTGTTGCGAGCTCGACGTTCCGTAGAGCAATCCATGTCAGATATGCCGTGGCAATTGCGGTATATTGGCACACCTGAGGTAGATAAATCTCGGCCCACAATTGTACGCAGTAGCATTGACATCGCTACGAGCAACACAGTAGTAGATTTTCTCAACGAGCTAGGCTGCAAAGTAGATTACGAATATACTATGCGCGGTTACATATTCCGTAAAGGTAGAATGAAGATTATTGTTTCAAAAATCATTAAAGTAAATCAGATGAACAAGGCACCAGAAGGAATGTCTGACATGATAACACAAAGTTATCTCGTGGAGCTCAGTGTGCTGGCTTCCAGTGGACAAGATGCCATAGCGGAAGATATGAGAATATTTGCTGAGCAACTTCGACCTTTGGTGCAGCTGGAGAAAATAGATTATAAGAGATAATAAATATAATAACGAGTTGTATGTTGTGAAAATAGCAATTACAATACATAAATGATACGATTTATTAATTGAGCTAAGGCGCAGTTAGACGCAAATTTCATTATTTTTACATTTATATTTAAGTAAAGCCGAAAAATTTACTATTTATATAATTTATCAAAGAGAAAAAATAGTATCTCAAATTATATATAAGTAATAATATTAATTAGTAATATCAAATTAATTCAATGATATTTGTCATTAAATCAAGATCTTTATTCTTGAGAGATTATTTTTTTTATCTCTGATGTCTTCTTTATACAAATCCTATTCATTAGATTTCTTATTCTATCTTTTCCTCCAATAAATAATGTTAATAATTCTTTTAATCACTTTGTGATTATCACTCAAAGGATAACTCGAAAGTCCATCAAGAAATTGATGCCAAAAAATAAAATTCTTTACTGTGATATGTAGAATGTAAATTGTTCTCTCTCTCTCTTAGCGAATGTTGACAACTACTCAAAAAACGCCGCATTAAACTGTTCTTGAAACTCTAATGAAGTAAACTAAAATGTTCGCGAAACATCAATATAAAAATAACAGTAACGCGGTTAATGTCAAACACACAAATCATCTTTAGATATTCAAAAAGCAGTTGAATCTAATATTAAAATTGACAACAGAATTATAGCTAGATAAAAGTCTGTCGTCATTTTGTCAACAGAGTTGATCAAAAACGTTGGGTCTGATTCGTGTCGGTTATATTTTTCGACTTTATCTCGTTTTTTTTTTTTATTAAAATATACATATTAAAATATATTTATCTTATTTTAAGTGCAAAAAGGTTAAAAGAAAGAATTTAAGCAACGAATCTATTACTAGCATAAAGTGGCGGCAAAACTTTAACAGATTTGTTAAACGGTTTTGTTAACCGATTGGCGGTAAAAACTTGAGCAATAAAACGCTTAGCAGATAATCGTTATTTTTAAGCTTGCAGAACAAAAATTCAAAATGTTTCATTATTAATTTTTGCTGACGTAAGTTAGACCAAGTAAATAAAAACCCGTCGAATACACCTGTGGTTTCTTATGGCAGTATATATATGTATGTACTCATACTTGCATCGTAGCATTCCAACTGCAATGGAAATTTCCATTAAAAGCAACCGACTGTACTTGAAATGGAAATTTCCTTAGGAAAAAATGTCTAAAACCGCCAGATAAAAATGTCTAAACCACAGACAACAGATGTTCATAACTTCACGTGTAATGAAGCATCTAGAGGTTTGCATAGAATGTTGTTTCGTGTGGATAATTGTAGCGAAAAATAGTATATAATAACAAGAACATATAGTTGCTTAAAATAAAAGAAAAAATAGAACTTATTTACATTTGTTTGCAGAATTAATTGTGTAGAAGACGCACGAGCAAAAGATAAAAGAAGTATATAAGAATTAGTGCATGTAACATTGTGACGCGTGCGCGTACAAAAATTACCGATGTGTCGATGCATTGTAAGTGCAACAGAATAAACACAGGCAATTATGAAGGCTTGATTTAATTTTAAAAGAAGTTGAATACACATATAACCGTTGATTGTTCTCCAAGATAATAGAATGTTAGGTATTGCACTTCTCAAATTACTTGTCTTGCTAACTAGATACGTCGAAGGGCAAGATAAAGCTTACTTAACAATTTTGCATAGATATAGAAAAAAAAAAGAAGATTGAAGTTCGGCGAGGTCTGCGGAGAAGGGAGTCCCGTAAAGCGACATAATCTAAAAGAAACGAAGAGAATATGCTCTTGGAAGAGTGGGGAAACTTACAAGGCGAACTTTTTGCATCGCGCGCTGCCATTTTAACTCGCAATTATCTTCGATATAGTCTCAGAAAAAACTTTTTTTCCAAAATCAATGAAATAATAATATTGAAAATCTTCTCTTGAAGTGTCTGACATATGTGTATCATTTATTATACGTTTCAATAAGAGAAAGATACGGGGGCACTCTTTTGCAGTGATTTTTGTGTAGCGATATTTCTTGGATGTAGCGATATTTCTCGCTGATACTATTCTCCCTTCTCTATACCTGAGTAACCGACTAACTGTCCCCCACCAGTTACTTGGCTGCCCCTACCTTGGAACAACTTCCACATACAATATATAACTCTCCCAACACATATGGAGAGAAGTTACGTGTAAAAAGAGGACGGAAGATCAGTGTGACAAAGCGCTCGTCGAAGAGACGAGCCCTTGCATGAATTAACTGTTCGCGGACAAACGTCTAGACCCTGATATTAAACGTATCGTATAGACAAACACACAAGCGCAGTGTAATTTTCTTTTCCATTCCGTGTGCGAACACACACGTGTACACACACACACACACATAGGAACACATTGAGCGCCAGATACTTTATTAGTAGCAGCTCCGACTGTGAATTTCAGACCGGATCGCATTTCTGCTCGTCATCGGACGTCGTGCAAGAGACAGAGAAAATCGTGTATATACAGAAGTATATACAATTAACTATATATATATATACATATATATATATATATATGTATATATATTTAAACATATATATTTTTATATAGATCCGGGAGCTTGCAATCGCAATTTTTAAAATTTCGAAAATGTCACACAAGACGAAGAATCTCACAGTGCCGATACACGGAGGCAAAATTCAGGTGAGTCCTGTGATTATTTTGCTTATTAATACTGTCAACATACGTCTCGTCAATTTTAATTATATTTGAAATTATAAATTATTAAATTATTAGTTTTATTCAAAATTATAACAAACATAGTGCTACATACCTATATAATTAAAAAATTTGGCGATGAATAAATACATCTCACTTTTTATTAGAATAATGTCAATAATTTTTTGTTTCTTTTTTGCTGATAATAAAGAAAACTCTAGCAGAAGTTTATATACAAGTATAAATAATGCTATAAGTGCTAAAAATACTTCCATAAAATTTGAATTTCTTTAACAGATTATAATATTTGTTAAATCACGTATGTCTGACGCAATAAGTTGAATTTTAATTGCTAATCATAACACAGATATGAGATAAGAACTACTTAAATATTTTTTATGGCATTGACACATACGCGTTTCTTCTGCGACTTGCATGCAATTGCCACGTGGCTACGACCGCGCACAACGTTGTACGCATTTATGTCTCTTAAAATGCCTCAAAGGTTTAAAACGTCGTGGACATGTGTGACATCAGCACCTATTTTCTTGCCTTATTACTACTCTCTACATTTTTGCACACTGTTTGGATCCAACCTTCAATACTCCATCAAACGAGTTTTGATATCAAAATTATTGAGCAACTTTTAATGCTGTATCGATTATCCGACTTATCATTGTAATGCAAACTTCGTTTCCACGTTACGCGATATATCATTAAATCGATGACTTGATTAACGAACGAGATCAAGATAAGGAAAAGATTTGCGTGAATGACGTAACGCCGTGATGATTCGCGATAAAATTTAATAGCGTATTTCTCGGTATTCTAAAATAATAATCTTCTTTTGTCTGTGTCATCGCGTGAGATGTCTGATTAACACTTTTCTTCTTGAGAAATTATTATTATCGCGATTGTCCGATTTTAATTACCAAACACGATGCGTCATTCAATATTTCGGAACTGATTACGAGACATAACTTATCAGCAGCCGTGTCTATTTTTATTTTATCAGAACGCTTCTTCAGTTCAATCGCGTTTTTTTTAACACATTGCTCACTCTTTTTCTAACATTACGCGCTACGTAGCGCATTATCACAACGCGATAAAGACGCCGGATATCCCGCCGTCTTGAAAAAAAAAAAAAAAAAAGAAACTGTTACACTTCGCAAGAAATTGCACGATAACGCGTAATACGCTCGCAGGAAACTTTCAAATTTAACGTATACGAATTTACACACCTAATCTTTCTAATCGAACGGAATAAGTCTCTTATCGCGTAATCAGACTTTTTTAATCTTCACGCATTTAACAGATGCAAAAATGCCGAAAATTGGTTATGACGCGAAGACAATTTTTAGTCGCTCTTCGAATTACTTTGCCAAGACTATTCGAAGCAACATTTAAATTGATCTTTCCAATATCATTTTATATTAAAGAAATATATACAAAAATTTCAAGATTATTCAACATTTTTATTATTTATAATGTTTATGGATCGACAATAATGTATGCTTTGTGTATTATATCGTTTTGATTTGCGATAAACGCGAACATTGCTTCTTCGTGCAATTAGATCTCCAGTTTCTAAAGTGACCCCGATCGATTGGCGACAAAGGTGATTTTCCTCAAGTCTCACTGACCGTGCGTTGACTTTGCATCGACGACTGATGCCAAGCGGTGAACAAACCGCTATATACAGTTGTCTCTCTTACGCGAGTTAAATTTAACTTGAGAATATAAATATATATATTTTTGATGTTTCCGTACAGAAATCAAAAAATTATGTATGAATTGGAATTATATAATTATTATTTTTATAATTTTTGTATATCTCAATGCATATTAACATCTTCATTTCATCTATTTTTAATCTTATTGAATACATACGTGTTGCTTATATTAAAATGCTGATGTAAATGTTTGTCAAATGTTAAATTTTACGAATTGGTACTGTTGAAGAAAGATCTTACTTGTAACATATTTGCGAGTAAAGAAATCTACGGTCATTTTCTCTTAAAAAAAAAAAAAAAAGATTTGAGCGACTTTTTTCCGGTTCTTTTGTATTATTTCTTCAATAGCCAATAATTGCTACGTCATTATTTTGCAATCAAAACTAGTTTCTTGAAATTGCACGGTTTTAAATTGTCTAGATCTATTTGGTTAGAAGCTTCGTAATGTCTAAAAAGACGATGGCAAATCGCACGACATCGGCACACTGCGTCATGGAAATTTCCTCAACGAACACCTTTCTTCTTCTTACGACTCTCTCTTTCTCTGTCGTCTTTCTCTCTCTCTCTCTCTCTTTCTCTCTCTCTCTCTCTCTCTCTCTCTCTCTCTCTCTCTCTCTCTCTTGTCTTGTTTCCCCTTCTTCCTTCCGTTCTTTCCCCTATACGAATCCTACCCGCGAGTCCCCTCTTTCTAGTCCCCTTCGTGGTTCTCCACTATAGAACAAGCAGGCAAGTCTAAAACAGCCGGTATTCTTGAATCGCACGGCAAATGCTATATCGTTAAAAAATGGCCTGGTGTCTTCCGTCTTTTTCCTCTTTGTTAAAAAGTGGTTACAAAGCGGCGTAATATGAGCGTTTCTAATATAAAAGGTTTTTTCTTACAACAAAAACAAACGTTACAAATGTTGGGTTTAAGCGTGTACTCACCTTGACGGCAAAGTTTTATATTTCCTTGTATTCGACGCAGATTTTTTTACTTAATGAGAGTTTAACGGCAACTCTTTACATTCGATTTAATATTATGTTCTAAGCTTACACTTCTGCGGTCAAACAAAAAGCAACTGATAAAAAGTTTTAATTTTATTTCAAGCAAATGGAAAATGTATAGTAAAAACAAATTGTCATATATATATATAATATATATATAAAATTTATATATATATATATATATATATATATATATATGTAAATTATATATACGCTACACATATATATAACTATGTAATAAAAATTCTATTTATAATATTATGAAAAATTATAATATTTATTAATATTATCAAAAGCAATTGTATATATCTGAAATATGAGAAACATGTAAAAACTTGCTCTGATAGCGAGTAATAGTCAAAAGTCTAAGGTTATCTGTATCTCAATGCATATAAACGATCGAATATTCTTCTACCATACGACGATTACACATATGTAGTTATTATAGATATTACGCATAATTGCCAATAAATTTACATATAAAGTTTTTGTTCTAAATAATTACAATAAAATAACAATAGAAATTCGTCCAATTTGTTCGTAAATTAATCATCGATGTAGAATAACTTACTGTGTATATTAGTGGAGAGATACGAACTGTGTATATTGATGAAGAGGTAGATCATTGTGTGGTTGTATAAGGACTGGGCTAGGATTAAAGATTAGTCACAAATGACAGAAGAGATAAATTGGAAAGTAATTGCAAAACCTAAAATCTACCTTTGAATTGTTCTTCGAAGTTAAAACTACATGTTTAAGTTTCTCAGGAATCTTTTTTTTTTCATTTTTTTAACTGCTGTTGTACTGCTTCCAGTAAAGACAATGCGTAATTGCACGTACTTGCTTTATTCGATTTGGAAAAGGTTTTCAACGTTTCTAACTAATCCAATAGCTTTCTGTAATCGAGTGAAAAATACTAGTTATTGTTTTAATACACACGTGTAATTCAGAGGCGGCATTGAGGAACTATAGTGTTAGACTCCCACGCAGGTGCAGTTGTGCGTAACGCCATTTGTCGTTTGATGAGGATGTGACGTTGCTGTCAGATTTGTCAAGTCGTTATTTCGTCGCCGCCGTCACTGATTCGCATTAGCGTACGTAGATGATATACGGGCAGGTCGGGAATGAAGCAATCGTATTCAGGCACCGCAATTCGCGCCGTTATTGCGGCATTGAAGTCACATGCTTTGTGCCGAAAGGAACGCAAAAACCGCGACCTCTAACATGCTGCAATTTTGTCCAATAGAGAGTCTATTACGCCGATTTACGATTCGGGACTTGCTCGTTAGCGCGACTTTATATTTGGACACTGTCAATTTATATTGACACTGACTAAAGTTTTTTCTACACGACGGTTCAGTAGCGTTCACAGCGGGGTGATCAAACTGTCATTATGTGCTTGATTGGTTTAAGAACTCTAACCGCTAAATTTACGTACACACGTAACCAAAGAGCTGTTAAATTTTTTAATTCCGATCTTTCAGAACAACATATTATCGAAATGCAAAACACATCTTGATATATCGGTAAACAATATGACTACAGTCCTTATCGCAGATACATAAGTGTCGCTTCTATATGCACGTAAAACACTACTCGGAATACTTGGAAAATAATACACCCTCAAACAACATTATTTGCACGGTTATGCAATGTCAGTGAACATTTCAAACGATTATCACGAACCATCTATTATTATCTTACGCGAATATTTGCAAATCGTGTATGCATATTATACAACGTTAATAACACAACAACCATGTACGATTAGCCTTCAAGGCCTTGGTCACTTAGCTCTCCCTCTTTATTACGATATTGCTTTATCCCTTCCTTTTTCCTGTCGCTGATCAAGCCACCCTACATGATCGCTTTTCGAGGTTTCCGCTTATCGTATAATTAAGGCTATGGACGGATCTCCCCTGTATTAAACAGCATGTTACACGTGCGTGTTACCGAAGCTGTAGAAATACCTGCTATTAAATCTCGAGACCATGTTCTTAATGTTAATATACTGTCTTTGAATTGATTTTAAAGTGAGATATAATCTGACACACATTTTTATAAAGGTTTACAAAAGTTAGCTGAGACATTTTCGTGTGTAAAATAGAAAATAGACAGAGAAGAATACTATGTGAAGAATACTATAATGGAAAGAGAATACCAATTGCAAGCGTATTTAGTTTCCGTCGAGGCGCCATGACAAAAATAACGTCGAATTTATGTCAGTAATCTCTCTATCCTTCCCTCCCTCCTTTCCTCTCTCTCTCTCTCTCTCTCTCTCTCTTTCGCTTCCTATTTTTTCTCTATCTCGACGAAAGTTTTACCAACTATGAAGATGTGATAATTGAGACGTAAAATACAATCCAAATTTGCTAATTATAATGAAAATTTATTAAGTAATCAAAGTGGTTGATGCATACTCATTGCTTCAGACAGCACATGTCTTTAAGAGACGATTAAAAGACGACTTGAAAACATTTTGTTTTCTTTTAGACATCTTTAAAATGTCTTTTGGTCTTTTTTTTTAAGATGACGCGAGATGCCAACATTCGGGGAGAAATATTACGGGTGCATAAAAAATGCACGAATAAGAATCGGTTGTCTACTTTATTTTGTTACGAATATACATATGTATGTCCCGCATCGGCGACATTTCCAGCGCCCCAAAATAAACACGAGAAACACGTTTGGGTTACGTGTGATTGGTCGACAAAATTTCAACGCGCTTGTAATAGGAATAAATTTTATGTTAAAGAGAGAGAGAGAGAGAGAGAGAGAGAGAGAGAGAGAAAGAGAGAAAGAGAAAGAAAGAGAGAAAAGTAAAATTCAAGCAACGTATTTGCTTGCATAATAATGACGGTGTCGATCTTGACGACGTAAAGTTGGTATTTCAAAAAGTTAAAAATATATATTTTTGTATTCAACAAGTCGTTCCAATTGATTTGTCGCGTGGTATTGACGCGTTTCGCGCTTATTTTTATACTCGACATAATAGATTTTCAGTCATACTCTAAGACCTAAGTAAACGATTTCTTCTCGCAATATTTGCGTGTTTCCTTTTTATTTTAGTACTGATCTAAATTATCATTAATTATCAATTATTCTAAGATTAAATTACTAGTTTTCAATAGACTATAAATGTACGAAGAACGTGCAAATAAATAAAATATTGAAATAAGAAAAATAAAATAAAATGTCAAATTGAAGTAACACTTCATTGAGTGACGAGTCATGATTATAATGTAAAAACATAGCAAAATTAATTGTACAGTGAACTAGGACTTACATATGTTCCGCGCGCGAAACATTTATACTATACACACAAAATGAAGTTGTCCCATGTGCTGTATCAGTCCTTCATATTTAGCACACATGGCCGATCAGGATTGCACTACAAATTAATATACATTTATATACATTTTTATATACATTTTCCGCGTTTTTTTTTGCGTTACCGCGAAAAATAATCATCGGTAAACGGAGCGTCGCTTATCCTCTAATTCGTGAGGCAACACGCGAGAGCAGACGCGATAGACACGAATCTCGTCTTCGTGTGTGCAAACAGATTCTATTAAATCTGGTTAGATGGTCAGATGGTCGACAGAGAGAGAAAAAGAGAGAGAGAGAGAGACGCGCGGCTCACGTGAGTTCTGATCCGCGCTTGCCCGTTTGCTCTTCCTATTTTCGTTGTCGTCCGGTATATAAAGAGTCCGTCCTCGGCGGACATCGCGAAAGATTTGGCAGCAGTAACTGCGCTTTTCTACGCCGCGCGCGATGTACCGTACATAAAGGGATGGATAGCGTTCGTGGATAGAATAACCAGAATGTAGTTTAGGATACGCAGTTTAGTTTATTCGCCGCCGGCCGGTCGCAGACACTCGTCGTCGCAACGTGTCTCTTTTACACCGCGTTTACCCGCGTTGACTCTCACGTTTTCTTCGTCGGATACCATTGCGAAGCGTCTTAAGATAGATTTTCTTCGTCTTCGTCGGACGCGCTCCTCGTTGAAACAAATGTGAACGTAGAAACTGGGCATAGATGTGAATAATTTCGACGATTCTCATTTGTACCCCCGCAAAAAAACAAATATTGATTTTTCAAAAACAACATTTTCTTTTCGAACATTGAACATTTTTATTAGTTCGACATTAATTGATTCGTAACGAGTGCACGCTCTTGCTGTTGCCTCAAGTGTTCTCAAAACGCATCAATGAATGACCGTTTCGTACATGTGCGAATAACATCTACGCTTCTGCGACGTCTTGACGGTATTTACTCGTGTTTGTTGAACGCATACATTTTATCACGTGTGTGTATGTGAGTGTATATGTGTACATATACATATATACGTATATTTATTTACATATAATACACACACATAAAGAATAAAAAAAAAAATTCTATCAAAGCGAGAAAATGGGAAACACTGATAGCACCCACGACGTGGAAATGAGTTCGCTGTCGGAAGGAGTGACAGTGGCAGACAGTCATCCTCACATTAGGGTGAATACGCTATATGCATGGTATAATAATTACTAATTGAAATGATTTATTCACAATCAAAGACAACATATAAAAAAATTGCTTGAGATTTGCTTGCAAAAAAATAGTTTTTTCTTTATCATATATACATAAGTGTACAGTTAGTTTGATATATCTTTAAATACTATTTTTCTTTTTATGCATTGCAAAAACTGTTTTATCTATATTATATAAAACTAGAATGGTATTAAGCGGATTAGTGCGTACAGAAAAATTATCGCGCCACTATACAACCATTGAAACCAGTTGTAAAGCTCGGAACTCGATCAGCAAAATACGATAGTAAACAATAAACAGAACGTATGTAGTGTCCAATGTGTGGATGTGCATCAAACGAGAACTATATATAACCCTCACTTGAAAGCTGACCTATCCCACATCGTCTGAAAGAGAGTGTTACGAGAGCGAGTGTGACTAATGTCGCGGTTGCCCAAAACCGTTATTTCACCATTTACTTACCGCAGAATGAATGAATCTTTCTCAATGGAAGTGACCGACGCGTGCCTTATATCGATTAGCAGCTTAATTAATTTTTTTTTTTTCAAGTTTTACTTTATTAGCTCATCACGCAAATGTTTATTTGTATGATAACAATAATAATTAATTCAGCAACGTATTTCTGCACAGAGAACGCCAATGCGGCCAATAATAGCGGAATACGAGCCAAAGAAGCAAGGTGTGAAAACAGAACTCACAGACGTGGTGCTTGTCAAGTAAGTCTCAAAATTTTATTAACGAAATCAATATGAAATAATAGAACAGTTCAACAATAGTTGAGCGAGTTCTCTACCTGCTACCAATCATCACCATTGCTTTTCTTGCCAAACCCAAATGTTCTCAAACAAACGTGAGTGAGAAAAAATATGATGGATCATATATTGTGCATTTACAATTGTTGTTAAATATATGTACAGCTTCTTATATATTCTTGTAATATTTATAGTAACATGGTTATTATTTTTTAATTCACTTACTTTTGTTTATTTCTAGGTTTTTGTTGTTGCTATTTTTATTGTTAAACTATTCTAATCAAATACTACACGCTAATTGCGCATACCGCCTGATCGCTAACGTAGAATTCGTAGCGTACTTAGCTGGCACCAGGGATGCTTGATGTCCGTCCGCTGAATATTGGACGAGTGAGAGTTTGCCCGTTTGTTTGTTTGTTTGTTTGTTTGTTTGTGTGTGTGTGTGTGTGTGTGTGTGTGTGTGTGTGTGTGTGTGTGTGTGTGTGTGTGTGTGTGTGGTGTCTAAACAGATATGTGCTGTATCTGCTTTATTGCGTCATTTTTATATTTCTTCATGCCGTGCGAATAAAAAATATATTTATTCAAGTTAATTTTTAAGATACAACATATCGGTTCATAGTTAAGCAACAGTTTAAACTTTATCTAGAATCTATCATAATTTTATCTTGTTTATTTTTATCTTATTTATTTTATAATTTTATCTTATTTATTTTTAGATATTATAAATCAATTAATAATTTTCCGATTAGAATAGAATTGTTATGTAAATTATATATGTGCGAATGAACTAATATAAAGATGACTCTTTCTCTCTCTCTCTCTCTCTTCTTTTTGGCAACTAAAACTGAAGATGCGCGCAAAAAAGAAAACTGATATTGTATCGAACAGTATAGAAAATAGTACAATAATGAAAAATTAAAACATTCATAATATAATCGCGGATAAGATTGGATGTCCATACAGACGGTCAACTTTCCTCGTCGATTGATTCAGGCCTGAAACACACAAGCGATTTTTTCGTTACGCAATTATTTGAACGCGGAGCGAGAAGAACTGTCAGAAAAACATTTATTTATATAATGGATATACATGTAAGCGCGATTATTTTACCGTAGTGTTTTTAAAACTCGCGCGGCGAGAAAATTTGCTCGTGATTTTGGGCCTTAGTGACGCGGCAACAAGATTGTTTTCTTTACGTTCGAGACGAGACTCTTTTCTGCTGCCACTTCGTTTGTCAAAATTTGATGACGCAATAATGTCTTGACGCAAAATTTCCTGTCCTTGAAATAGTTTACGCTCACGCGGTTGGCTGATCTTTGACACCTTTGTATTATGCATTTATTCATTATTCCGCATTTGCTATATTCTTCTTGGTATTACGCGCAACTCATATTCCACTAAATGCCACTAGATTCATTTGTCAATTATCACAGTGAACAATGTCTCATTCAATTTACTTTTTCTACTATTTGGATTTTTTTAATTCTTACAACCTTCAAATGTCAAAAAAACTTACATAACAAACTTATATAACCGTACAAATTTCTCTCTCTCCCTCTCTTTCTCTTTCTTTTTTTCGACATCAAAAATAAATAAAACTGAATTAAATCATAGAATTTTATATACGTGTATATAATTATAATTATTTCAACATCTTTGGAGATGTGCAATATGCAGCAGAAAGAGAATCGTCGCGGTTCCCTTGTCGCTAAACGGGAATGCTTCGTGTAGAGATCATGCGGTATGCAAAACAAATTGTTCAAAGAATAAAAAGATCTATTTGTCTTTACTGTATAATATGTGCATTTATATGATTCCAGAATAGCATAATATCTCCGGGCGTAGACTCGGGCTCTGCAAATAATCCTCTCATAATGAAAGAAAACAAAAAGATACTATTGTATAGAGAGAACAAAATACGAAAATTTATCGGTTTGACGCTTTGACACACAAAAGGCCTCCGCACTATCAATATTATTACAATATATTATATGTTAACATTATGAACGGTATTTATTGTAAAAGTTGTGTTAAGAAAATCAATTTTTCTTTTTGAAGTTTGTGCAATATATATATATATATATATATATATATATATATATATATATGTATATAGTCCATGTCAAGATATGAATATTATACAACGTAATGTTTCACAAAGAAACAATATTAATACTAAATTTACTTGCGCATTTACAATTGTGAGGTTTCTTGACTGCATTGCTTCTACATCTAGAAACAAGTTTTTTCTCTTTGTTTCTCTCTCGTTCTTTTTTCTCTCTATAATTGAATCTTTTATATAATTGTTATGCATTTTTCAAGTTAGCTTCTTACACTGTGATTATTTGTTTACCAAGTATACATAAGATTCGATGTTTGTAAATTTTACGTAAAAAATAAAGTGTTTCATAAAAATATTGAATTAATGAGAAAAGTTATATGCTTTTCAATAAGTTACTAAAATAATATATAATATAACATCAGTATAATGTTGATCGTGTAGAGGCTTTTTTTAGCTCGACGAAACTCACACACAACGACGACACGACGACGACTTTAAACGTAACGTGACGAGATGTGCGACATCATCGGACAATTGCAAAATCCGTGGCCAAAAGCCGAGACATTGGCATTGATTCGGTGATAGATCGCTGGATGTGTGCACAAAAAAAAGCAAACTAAAAAGCGAATAAAATGATACTCGGATACAAGTGCGAAAAGTTCGGCAAGCAAAGGAGGCTTGTTAGTCGTCGTACTGCGTCGTGGCGCTGGGCGTCGCGGTGATGCAGTGCGGTGGTTGCAGCTGCCCCTCTGTATGTATGCCTGTACAACCGCGGCGCGTGTATTCTACGTCACGTTGTAACACGTGACAACGGACACACACAGACTCTACTATTCCGGAGCTTTCTCGACAGAAAGTTTTGTACGAACTACGGAGAGAAACTTCCGCAACATAAAAAACATGGGTACCTATAATACCTCTACACGCCTACCTTTTCTTGATAGACTACAACAACGCTCGAGTACTCTCTGTGTATTTTTCTTTCTCTCTCACATACACATATCTCATATACACATGATATGACACGCAGCAATTTACATTATTACTCATGTCGCGCGCAGTTGCGATCCTAACGAATCAATCTCACAATCAAATTGGAGCAATCCATTGAGATCTGATGAGACACTACTTACGAAACAAAAAAAAAAAAAAAAAAAAAAAAAAAAAAAAGGTGTTATCGAACGTGCCTGCGTGTCTTGTGAGTTATACCTAGTTAATTATTAACGTGACGTATCGTCCTGTCGAATTGTTTGCTTTGTCACACGCAAAATTTTGAGAGTGCAATCGTGCGTTTGCGATCGACAACGACTGAAGGGAACGCTGAAAAAAGATCGGTAATGTGAGCTATCGTTTACGTTTATCGTACGCGGAATGCGCGAGTTCAGCACACTCGGCATCGTTATCGCGGTAAAGTTTCAATAACACCGAATGATCTCACTTTACGAAATCTCAATGGTATTTTAAATAACCAAACGATTACAATCCGAATCATTCCAAACGGATATAATACAACTAATCAAACTGTCAAATTGAATCGGAAATAATCACAAGAAACTTTTTTGAAAGTCAACAATTTTAACTGACAATAAAAAAACAAATCATTAAGAGGTTTTTATTTATTTATTGTGTTTTTTTTTCTAGAAAGCAGCGAGCTCGGCCTGAAGATAAAACTTATATTTTTTGCAATGAGATATTTTACAAGTTAATAGATAGAGGTATTTATTCACATACATATGTGATGCGCGACAAAGAAAAGCATTCAAAAAATAAGTTTCTATATATTTATGTCTGGTTACGCATGAAAAAATCAATTAGTCATCGAAGATGTAACAAGTTAGTCACGGTTTCTGAATGAGATTCTTGTATGCAATGTCTGTGTCTTCCTTTAATCGTCTCTTCTTCGATATGCAAGCGTACGAGAAAGAGATACATTGTATGTTTGAGTGCACTCTCTCATTCATGTACTACTACTAGTTGCGGGCACGAGAAAAACGCCGTACCGAGTAAAATCGAATCAAGTCTCACATAACACATTCACGTATCCACGTGCGAGTGAAAAAACATACGAGATGCAGAAATCTTCACCGCTCCTTTTATCTAACGCTCTTTGATCATCTTGGCAAAGTTCCGCTTAAAGAGTACTCTTCTTTCTTTGTAATTTTTTTTGCGATACGTTATCGTGATAGTGAAGTAAGTTTCTAGGTGAATTGATCAAATCAGTTGATGGATGAAGGAAGCGGCGGTGGTATAGCATTCTTGTAAGACGCCCTGCGTATACATAATCTGTATATCCCACATTTATCGGAAATATATTTACATGACATCACATACTAAGACAGCTGGTTTTACAGATATAAGTGTGAGAAAAATGACGTGCCCATTACGGTCACGAACGGCTCGACTTTGCCGCTCGTGGAACGACCAACGGACGAAGAGGCCGCTCTTTACGACCCGTTTGAACACCGCAAACTTGCTCATCCCACTTCGGACCTCGATACTCTCATACATCTGCTCAAGGGTAGTCTGGGCACGGGCATTCTCGCGATGCCAATGGCCTTCCGCAACGCCGGTCTCGCTTTCGGTCTCTTTGCCACTTTCTTTATCGGCGCGGTTTGTACCTACTGTGTCCATATACTGGTCAAGTCCGCTCACCTTTTGTGCAGACGATTGCGGACACCTAGTCTGGGATTCGCTGATGTTGCCGAAGCAGCATTCTTGGTGGGGCCGGAGCCTGTTCAGAAATATGCCAGGCTCGCCAAGTAAGTTTAGTCACAAATACAAGATGTACATCTGTGTTATATTTGGTTTGCGTGTCAGAACATTATCTGTGACAACGTATATTTTCAGAGCGACAATTAACTTGTTCCTGGTGATTGACCTGATTGGTTGTTGTTGTGTGTATATTGTCTTCATCTCGACTAACCTCAAGGAAGTTGTGGATTATTATACAGACACGGATAAGGATCTACGAATGTACATGGCGCTGCTACTACCAGCACTCATCATTTTCTCTCTAGTGAGAAATCTCAAATATCTTGCGCCGTTCTCCATGGTAGCGAATGTGCTAATTGCCACTGGAATGGGCATTACTTTTTATTATATCTTTCACGAACTGCCTGCCATTAACGATGTACCAAAATTCTCGAGCTGGTCCCAGTTGCCGCTCTTTTTTGGTACCGCTATCTTTGCTCTAGAAGGTATCGGTGTTGTAAGTATATGGATATTTTTTATAATTATAGCACAATAAACTTATATATATGTAAAATATCGGCAATATGCTCGACGTGAGATTGTACTTAATAAAATTTTAAAAATATTTTTAATTTTATATTATCGCGACACAATATTGTATACATATATTGAAAGAACTTTTTGTTTCAAATAATATATTTGATTCTTAACTTTTATATTCCGTTTGTGTAGGTCATGCCTTTGGAGAACAACATGAAGACACCATCACACTTTATCGGCTGCCCAGGTGTTCTTAATACCGGCATGTTCTGCGTTGTATTGTTGTATACTACCGTCGGTTTCTTCGGTTATTGGAAGTATGGCGAGAACACAAAGGCATCCATAACGCTAAATCCTCCTCAGGACGAGGTTTTGGCGCAATCCGCTAAGATGATGATTGCCGTTGCGATTTTCCTCACTTATGGACTACAATTCTACGTGCCTATGGAAATCATTTGGAAAAACGCCAAGCAATATTTCGGTTCCCGGAGATTGCTCGGCGAGTATATTCTTCGTATTTTGTTGGTAATCTTTACTGTTTGCGTGGCGATTGCTATCCCTAATTTGGGCCCATTTATCTCTCTGGTTGGAGCTGTGTGCTTGTCTACGTTAGGTCTCATGTTCCCATCGGTTATCGAATTAGTGACAATGTGGGAGCAGGAAAACGGCCTCGGCAAATGGAACTGGCGGTTATGGAAGAATATCGCCATTATCGCCTTCGGTGTATTAGGTTTCATTACTGGCACATACGTCAGTATACAAGAAATAGTGGAGAACAAATGAAATCGACCAAGTCTGGGAAGAAGAGCGGATCACAACGGCCGCTCGCTTATATCACTCGTCGTTCGACATTGCTTGAACCACGAGTATCACGAGTATGAGCGGAGCATGCGCGGAAGTGGTCGTCGCGACGTCAACGACGGCAATAACAATGCGACGCTGTCGACGGTCAAGTACGGGATGCAATTCTCTTCGATTTTTCTTATTCTGTTGGTAAGCGTAACGCGCTATCAGCAACGACGACAACGAAGATATTTGAACGAATCTTCGCGTGACTTGAATTATCATTAATTATTTTTTTAACATCAAACAGGTTTGTATTACGCGCATCGTGTACGGTCGATCAGAATTACGAAAAGCTCATGACAGGACACCCGATGATTTGTCATTACTTATTATTGATCAGCATTATTTTTAGCAAAATACTGATTGATGCAAGAAACACGATCAATTAAACATGAGAGGAATATTGCATATCTAGTTTTGAAAAAAAAAATATTTTTTCTCTATATTTATAATAGTACCTTATCATAGTAATTATATTTCATTCTCTCGAAAATCGCAATTTATTATTTTTCACTACATCTTTAATGAGCACGATCTTTAAATTAGATTTGCAAAAATTTGTTTTTATATCTTAATTCAAAACATGTTCAAAACATGTATGAGATAGTTATACAATATATTAGAATTAATTCTATAGACACTCAGCATTCATTGTGTGTTAGTTTCCAGGATTAAATTCCAATATGACTATTACATTATTTACGATCACAATGTTTCATTATGTTCTTAATTATTATTTAATTGCGCGATATCGACCGTACTAACAGCATATTTTTCTGCAGATTGTGTGATCTGTGGAACGGTTTTCTGAAGTAATATGGGTAGTATTTCCTGAGTATATACATATCTTGTGTATATATACTGATACATGTATACATTATAGGTATACTATGTGTATAAACAAATATACACGAATTACCCATTGTGTTTTGTTGAAAAAAAACAGGAACCACAATTATTACATCCTTATTCGATCGATCAGATTATTATTATTATTATACAATAATGATCTCAGATATACATGCATGATTACGCAAGCCGCAGATACAAGTCTTTGTCACTCTGGTTACAAGCAGAGATATTGTATTATATCTTAGTGCATCCAAAAGATATTTCAACAAATATATTTACGCTAAATAATATAAGATCTTGTTTCACGTTCGAATTATTAAATAATCCTTATTTGCTAATAATTGTTTAATAAAAAAATGAGCGACAAGTAAAACTTTATACTTATGTTTTAATCTTTTTCTATGTCATTGATGTTGATCGGATTTCTTTTAAAGTGAGTGACAATAAAACATCTTCATATATATAACATATATATATTACTAAAAAATCAAATGGTGACGTACTATGATTCATTGTATTTCGAGTTTTTATATGATTGTGTTAGTATCACTAAAAGTTTAATTTATGTTTAATATAATTTACATATATTTGTTAAGAAGCGAATAGTCAATTTTACAAGTTTTGTAAAATTAAATATTGTCAATGCGGTTTGCAAGTGTCTGAGACCTATATATTATAAGAAGACGATCTGTAAACTATTGTGGTAGGAGATCGTCGATTAATTGTCACATTGATTTCTCTTGAACGTTGATCGATGTTTAATTTTAAAAGAAAAAGAAGTTAAAATTATATATCTATTTATCTTGTTCATGTATACATATATATATATATATATATGTACATATTATGTAGATTTAATACGTTGATGATAAAGTATATATTATAAAATATATATTGTACGTTTTTTAAAATGTGTCTTACAAACATGAACGTATCTCATCTAGTACTTATCATTTGTAGTTCGAAGAAATTTATTTTTTTAAATGATGCGTTTTAGATGTGATGATTAATCAACGAAATTCCCGCACAAATTGCTGATCTGTTCCTAGTGCATGATGCACACAATCGTACAAAGAAAATTAATCCTTTAAGAGTGATAAACAGAAGAATGCGTAGTGTGTAATACATATGTCGTGATACTACTAGTATATCTATTGCTAGTCTGTATGATCGCGAGGCATCGTTGCGCTATTTCATTAGTATGCGAGTAACAAAGAATGTTTGTTAACTACTTACGATATATTGATCATCGATAACACTTGCGATTCTTTGATAATTGAAATTGTTTTCCACTTTGAGAATAAGCGATAAATTTTACAAAAAAAATTTAAAAACCAGTTTATACACTCAATAAAAAACATTAGTAGTAGCAGTTTTCAGGAAAAATAGGAATAAAATGTTCGAAAATGTTTTCAAACTATTACAGATACTGTGTGTAAGAAATTAAAAAATCAAACAACGAAAACAAAACAGAGCATAAAAGTGTTGAGTGCTTTGATAATAATTTGATATAAGCAATAAATCTCGAGTTTTATGTCTTCGTGCGAAGCAATAGAATCTTTTATTATATGTAAGATACACAAAAAAAGAACGCACACTGCGATTACTATTTTATAAAATTGATGTGTACATTTCTCTCTCTCTCTCTTTCTCTACAAAAAATATTAGTCTTTGCATATTTCTAAAATATGCTTGTCACATAGAATTTAAAAGTAAGACCTGTTGCCTTTTTTGATTGTTATTGTAGATCTGTTCCTAACATCGCTTAATTGTTTATAATCGTTATAGCATAAAAGATATAGATTTTAGTACAAAATGTCTTTTTTTTTTATCATTATCTACTAATCCATCTAAAATTGCAGAATATAATTTTAAGTAAACACAAATTTAATTTCAAAACTTTATAAAAATGTTTATAGATGCGTAATCTAATTGCTGTTTTCTTCTTTTGTAGACTCTCTTTATATTTGTTTGTTTTTACAAGGAAATATAAAATTAAAATATAAATTTTATTGTAAAATTTGACTATCATTGTATACATACCGTCCTTTCTTTCTTGTAAAGAATGTAAAAAAAAGTAAAAATAAAATCATGTTAGTATTTACGGAACAATATTCTATATAAATCTCCATTAGACATCACATGAAAGTTATGGACATTCGATAAACGTCTGATAAACGTTGTGTCCTATGTGGGTGTAGACTTGACAATGTCTTCTGTTTATTTCGATATCAACATTTAGTGTCAAAATGTTTCGAAGTACTCGCTTTATTTCTTGATATAGATGTATCATTCAGAATCTTTATAAGAATTTTTGAAAGCTAATTTTGCACTCATAATCCACAAATACCAAGAAATAAAACGAGTGATTAAAAATATCAAGTAATTATCAATATCGATATATAAGAACATGTATGAACAAGTTCATACGTACGCGCGCGTGTTTATATGCACGTGCATGTGTGCGCGTATTTGTGTGTAAAATTATTATTAATGAAAAAATTGATAAAAATTGATAAGCAAAAATAAGTATACAAATTTTAAAGTAAAACTTCTAATTTCTAACGTAATGTAAGTTAACCTTAATCGACCAATTGACAAGTCGCGTTAATCATCCAATACAGTTGTTCAATGTCAAGGTAAATGATGACTCAAAAATTTACGGTTGCTCCACGTCGCGACCATGACTATCAGCGTCACCGTCATGACTATTATAGTACACGTAACGTATAGTATAGATAAATGCGCGCATAACTCGGAACGCAGCCAAATGTATCGAAGCGCGATATATCGCAATTCTCGGAATATTGAATCGACACACGCGGTACATACACGACTATTCATCGAAACGAATGTATCGAAACACGATATATGGATGCTTTCCAACTACGTACACAGGCGACACTGTGTCCATTAGTGTGAGAAAGAGCATATCAGTGCGTCTCACTCACACTAGTGGACATTGTGTAACACAGTGTCGCTTGTGTACGTAGTTGGAAAGCACCCATTGCGATTCTTGAATTATCGAATCGACGCGCGTGACAGAACGCGACATGGCGAACCAATGCACGCGTTCAGCAGAACAATGGGTGCGTTCAGACAACTCAACAGTTGCATAACGGTTGAGAGATAATCACTTCTGATTGGATCATACTTTTGGAACCGCTGCAGATTTCGAAGAATAGTCCTATCATAAGTGATGATCTCTCAACCGTTGAGTTGTCTGAACGCACCCAATTACTGAGGTTCATGGACCTAATACAGCTCTTTAAGCCTATGTCACACTACGGATTGGGATTGAAATTGGATTGAAATGTGACCAATCAGAAGAAAGGAAACCAATCTTAATTTTACTGATTTTTTTTCTGATTGGCCAAATTGCAATCCAATCTCAATCCTAATCCGTAGTGTGACATAGGGTTTACGCAAAGTCCATGCACAAAGCCGAATATTACCGAGCTCTCACAGAATTAGCCGAATTCAAGGCACTGCCCCCCTTACCGCTAAAATCACCTATCCCTCGTAGAAATGCTCAGTTTATGTATTCTTAGGTCTATGTTGAGGCTACGTATTGATATTCACTGCCAGTACTAAATATCTATACTTCACGTTACATGTGCTATAGATTTCCAGTACTAGCAGTGAATATCAGAACGCAGCTTGAGTTGTAGTCTTGTCAACACTCGACGTTGGTTTGTTGATTCTATAAGTAAGAGCCAATCACGTTCGATTGTTACAAAGCAGTTTCTTCTGCTGTACGCAGCAAATCAGAAATTAGAGAGTTCGCAGACTCTTACGAGAGTCCCTAGGAACATGTAAAATGTTCATGGCTGTTATCAGGCTTCCCGTTGCCTCTGGTATTTTTGTACATCTCTAATACTATATGATGTGAGGCAGTGGCTTTCGTTGATATCGTAACCTCTCGTAACAAGTAACGTGAGAAAATTGTCGTATGTTATTAATGATTCACCGGGCATTTTAAATCAATTTGTGTTTTATTACATCGTCCTATATACATCTAATATTATTCACACTCGTATTCAGTGCTATAGTTTCTTTACCGCGATTTTTTCCGTCCCGTTCTCCTTTCGTATATCTTTTTGGTTAGAAAAGAAAGGATTAATTCTTGCAATGGGAAACGTTCATACTTGCGGCCCAAACGAAGCTCTCGTTGTGTCAGGTAAGCGCTTTGACTTTTTCATGAACGGTAGAACACGTAACGTCTAAAAACTATTACGATACATAGTTCTCGAGCTGAATTGCTCGATGCACAGACATCGGATTACTTTACGGTAACAACGATTGAGTGAGACACACCGATGGTACTTGAATTAGCATTTAGCAAACACTCGTTTGTAAAATATTTTCAATTTAAAATCTCACAATTCGACTGTAATTTTTGATCTCATTTTGAAATTAATTTTTTTATGCGTAAGAAACATTTGTTTATATTATAGTATAAATAATCGTTTTGAAGATGTTCTTAGCTAATGAAAAAACGTACATTTTTTACGACCAACATTGGTTTTCTTTTCTTGAAGTGATCTGTTCTATTGTTTTATAAAGATTTTCTATAAAAAAAAAAAAAAAAAATATTGATTAATTTTATGTACGAAAACATTAAACGTCACACGTGTGACGTGTTGTTATCTTTATAACGTGATATAGCGACTGAAGTGTATTTAAAAATATCTTGCAAGTTCGATCTCCGACTCTCATCATGACATAATACATACCAACTTCAAAATGTATTTTCAAGTAAGAACTTGCACCGAATTGTGACAACCATGACTTAATTAATTTATACTGAAGACTCAAGTAGGGTCAAAACGTTTATTAATTTATTAACTTGTTACCACGACAATTATTGTCACGGAGTTATATACAATATATTGTTTGAATAAAATAAGTTCTTGTATTGCTCGATAAGAGATCTTTTATTGTTATTATTAGTTATTATTTATATCACGAGCGTTGTTTATTCTTTATTTTATATCTTGCAAGTTTTTCACAAAATCATGCTTTGAAATATATTGTGATTTAATATCTATCAAATTTATTAACCTACAAAAAGACATAACGCCTACGTCCATTAAAGTAGACGCGTCCATAGTGTCATGCGACATCTAATTCGTGTAATGGAAGTTTCTCTGAATATGTGTTTTGTGTGACAAGTAACTTATATTTATACTCATAATTACGCTAAACATACAATGACATATAATTCTAGCTGCCAGTGTTTTGATAGTTTTTACTAAAAACCTAGTACAGACTTTTTGTAGTACTAATAGCAAAAACCAAGTTGCTGCAACATAACTCTAAGATAACCTTGACTGACAATAGTAGTAACCATTTAACTGTCAATGGATGTAGTTATATAACAACACGCTCGCAAGTTAATTGAAGTCAACGCTGGAAACATATTTTTTATAGCTAAAAAACATGGTTTTAATTTTTTGTAGTTGTATATTTCGCGTTTATAAGCTTTTTTTCCAACTCAGTGCTTATCTCGCTTTGATGTAAAAAGAGACAAAAAATCATAAGTCGTCTGAGTTTTATGTTACAATATAAGTAATGTCATATGATTGTGTCGGCATTGACATCATTTTATTAGGTTTTTCCTTGAGCTGTTTTGTGTAATACATCAAAGGAATACGTCAGTGAAACAATTATTATCGATGGTAAAAAGCAATTGATCGTAGCAGTTGATAATTACGAGTTTTTCTTTATATAAACATTACTAAAAAAAACTATTAATTTAAATTTAAAGAACTATTAATTTAAATTTAAAAATTGATTACGTGCCATGTTTTGTATAATAAAATTTCCAATTTTGTACAATAAAAATAATACTTGTTTGTTATTTTGCACCGTACATGTGTGATACCTGCGTTGGTAGCCTCTTGAAAATTTTCAATTGAATTCTTGACTTGTTATATTCGGAATATACCGCCTTTGTGTAGATAATATGATCCCCTTAATATATCCACTATTAGATGGTTAGTGGTCATTTTATAGGGTATATAAATAACATCGGAAGTATGTCTATATAAAAAAAATGTCTCCTTAATAATCACTCTACGTATAATCCCGTAACTCCAAAACGCAAATTTTAGAGGAGAGCAGTTTATTTTTTTTTTTAAATTTAAAGCTTCATATTTTCCGTAGTTAAGGCATCTTTTGGTTTAAAATTTTTACTTATGAATATTTCTTTTTAATATTTGGTGATCACAAAGACCATGACTTTTTCAGTGTCACTATGTAATAAACTGAATATCCCGTATGTAACACTTATGTAATTATACGTAGGGAGTGACAATAAGTAATTTAGATGTCCGCGATGTTACGCAATGAGTGATTTCAATAGATAATAACTGATATGTATTACGCGTTTTTATCGTAGAAAATTTGCAAACATTTGCAAAACGTAAGCATTTAATTATACATAAGTATACATACATTTTTATTTGAATTTTTCTTGAATTTATTATCAGATAAATAATCTAAGTTGTCAGTTTATAAGATTAAGAATTATAATATTATATAAAACTACATATCTCAGCGAAGGACATGCACTTATTGCAAAACATTCGATTTTATGACATGACAACATATTCATGTGATAGTAAATTCAAGATCAAAATGAGTATGCACTTGAGTGTTTTTCCATTACTTCATTTAGACACATTTTTTTACCAATATATGCTCTTGTACGCGCTTTCAAAAACAAAACATCAAGTGTTCGAAGAGAAAAAAAAACTTGTCATAATTATCAAGTTAAAATGACGAATTAAGTGGCGAACGAGACAGTAGATCTACAATCTCAAGGTTTTTATAACGAGACTTAATCACTGACCGACCAACGCGCGTTTCTAAGAAAACATTGTTAATCGTTATTAAAAAGAGTAAATGCTCGAACAAAACATAAATACCTTAAGTGTTATATTGTGCGGAAATCGATATAAAATTCGTAGATCCCAAATTACTAATAAATAATATTGAAAGAACTAATTGCCATACTTTTTTATTAATTTTTGTATGGAGTGAAAATAGTTATTAATTAGCTGCTTATTACTTAATGTAATTTATTAATCAAGATTTTTTTACCAAAACTATATTTTTTTTTAATATAAAAGAGCCAGTCTTGACATAAATCAGCTTTTTCGCCGATTTTCTTTTTAATTTTTTGCCAAAGGAGTCGAAATTTTTGGGCACCTAATTAACATCTAATATTATAAGTAAAACACATAGTGTTTAGGTAGGATTAGATTTTGTTTTGTACGGTTAGGAGACTAACTTGACGGGAACATATGTATGAAAGGATGCAGAAAGAAGATGATAATTATAATGAGCAAACATTATGCGTTTTCATAAAAAGTGAGACTAACTCTTTATTCGTCGCTATTATATACTTTAAGAGATATAGAACATGCGGGCAGAATTGTACGCATAGTTTTTATCTGAAAATTTTTTGCATAGATCTTTTTCTACAACGATCGAGTTATTTTGTGAATTATTTATATATCGGAGTTCTTACTATTAAAAAATCGAAATCAACTCAAGCTATTGCCTATGCAATATACTAAATATTCAGTGTTCTTTTGAGCATATTGAAGAGAATGTATCTTATAATGCTCTCTCCCACGTTTTCTTAATCATGTCCGCGGCTTTCTCACCTATCATAAAAATCCCTGCATTTACATGACCGGTGGGCATTATCGGCATAATCGAAGCGTCTACCACTCTGAGTCTTTTAACGCCATATACTCTCAGCTCTGGATCAACGACAGCGTAAGGATCCGTTTTCGGTCCCATTTTCGCAGTCCCTATTTCATGATTCATCATAGACGGCAGATGTTTGATAGCGCAACGCCAATAATCGTCGGTAGCAAACTCAAAATGTGTACAACCTGGAATCTTGATATCGTGTAGTCGGCTACCAAATACCTGAAAAGCTGCTGTTTTGGATATGTTGATAGCGTGTTTTACTCCTTCTAGAATAATTTCCACATCAGCCGGATGGCTGAAAAAATGTGTATCCATCTTAGGCGGCTCGAACGGATCCTTGGATCGTAACGTGAGACGGCCGACACTTTTGGGATATTGAACGATTGGCCAGATAGACCACGCATCTTGATTTTCAATAGGTTTGAAAACAGTGTTGTAGACGTCATCCGTAAGTCTCAAGGTTTTCCTTAAGACTTCACCATTGTCCGAATGCAGAGAGCCAGAGACAAAAAGAAGCTCAATGTCCGGTCGTTCGTCAGGAGCATACTTGCTTCTAATGAATGCTAGCGCTTCAGCGCCTCCTGGGACTGTCAACACGCCGTTTTTGTGCAGGAGATATTCAAAAAGTATATTCGGGTTGATCAAATTTTTTGGCGATATCGACTCGCTTTGGTTGATCATAAAAGTAAGTCCAAGAAAACCGATATGCTCGTACATATTGTAACCGACTTTAGAATCTTGAATCATCGGAATGCCCAGTTCTTCTAGATGATCTCTAGGACCTATTCCCGATAGCATCAACAACTTGGCCGAATCGATTGTACCGGCGGATAATATTACTTCTTTTTTACAAGTCACTTTCTTGAATTTATCGTTCTGTACATATTCGACGCCGTACGCTTGCTTGTTTGAGTCTATTAATACTTTAATCACTCTGGCACCAGTGATGATCTCTAAATTTGATCGATTAATCGACTGGAGATAAGCCTTCGCGGCACTGCAGCGCGTTCCACGATTCATATTTGCCTGAATGTACGAGAAACCTATCTGATTTTGACCGTTGTAGTCCACAATTTTGTATCCCAACTCTTCGCCAGCCTTTAGAAAAGCCTTCGCTAATTTTGTATGATAGGGTATATGCTCCACGCACAAATAACCACTTTTACCATGATACGAAGAATTCGTGATACCTAAGTTACATATGTAGACATAAAAAATAGAATATTGTTTGAGTCTCGATTTAATATAATTTGGCAGTTCGATTTAGAAGAGACAAATTGGTAAATTTGAAAAAAAAAAAAAAAAAAAAAAAAAAACGCATCTTACACTTTCTTTTCTCTTATGATTATTTTCGCTCAATAAATTGGTAGAGATATAAAAAAATAAATTGATAGCGCAATGTAAAAAGATTTACCTGGTACGTTAAATCGTTCACTTTTTTTAAAATACGGAAGAACATCTGCGTAGGACCATCCAACGTTACCTAAACTAGCCCATTTTTCATAATCCATTTTGTTGCCACGTGTGTGAATCATGTAATTTAATATACTTGTTCCACCCAAAGCTTTGCCTCTTGGCCAAGCGCACTGATTATTTATCATCCCCAAACAGGCGTGTTTTTGAGGTTCGACATTATATTTCCAGTTATACTCAGATAATTGGAAATAGCCGACAAACAGTGGAATCTGATTGAGAAGACTTGGTGCGTATCCCGCTTCTAGTAACAAAATTCTCCAATTTTTGTTCTCTGACAGACGATTGGCTAACACAGAACCTCCTGACCCAGCTCCTACGATGATAAAATCGTATTTAGAGTCAGTGAATCCAATATTTTCTCCATTAGAATAGGTAGTCTTGACAATATTTAGCAAGCTTTCAACACTGTAGATTGATGTGATGATAAACAGTAGCAAAATTCTCATTTTGTCCAAATGTTCTGCAAAAATAAAAGTTTAAACATAGATAATTTGTAGTATGTAGGATTGTTTTTAAATAAACAATTTATTTCTGTGAGAATATCATAGCGCTACGCACTTGGACAAAGTGTGGAGCAAAGTGTAATGCCAAATGATTTGTACAGTGTAGAGTTACCAAAATGAATCTCTGAGCACGCTGATTGCAAAAAAATTCTGGACAGACTAGAAGCGGTTTTACTCGACGATAGTTAGGACAAGACACTACTTACCCGTCTTTTAGCGCCAATCCTGAACAGGTACTCTTAATCGTTTGGCAGAAAGTTAAGTGTTACACTATGTTCAACTCTTAAAATTGTGTACTTTGATATAATACGTACCACATTAAAAAGCCCAGCATAAAGCCGTTGTCTCTGATAAAGTACGTTTTTCTGTCGCGATCTTTGCAATCTCACAATCGACTACTTTCCATTTCAAGCCACCAGAGAAATACACTTTCTCACGTTATGTAATATATACCTCTTTACTGGACTCGAGTAACGTTACTCACTTGTATTTGCATCAAGACCCTTCGAAAGGTGATCTATATACGTATAAATTTGTTTATGTTCTTATATATATTACGAAATTGAAAGTCCGATCATGCAATAATCAAGCATTGCGTAAAATTAAAAAGAGAAACTAAAACTCAAATCTCAATTTGCTATGTTACATTTATAGTAGAAATATTTTCTGATTGTCCGACACGGTTGCTTCCTACGAATACAAATCTGCTGTTCGAATGTGGCTTTTGCAATTGTAGTGCCATTCAAAAGTATCTTATAAGTTTTAAAATATACGTCATTATTCGTTTCTGTATGATTCTTTATTTTGAAGATGTAACTATTTAAAAATTAGTTCTTTGGTAATAAGTAAAAAGACAATTCTATGTTAATACTTTTTTTGTTTCTTGGAGAAAATAAACGCCTTAATGATATAATTTTAAATATATTATAATAATAGTTTAAATTAAGTTAAAAATTTATATAAGTTTAAATTTCATATAAAGAGTGTCTGAAACTTTTTGAAACAGTGTGAAAATAGGAAAAAAGTGTATCTGTGTGTTATATCGCAGAGATAAGAAAACGAAAAACTGAATTGTTGAAAATTGTAAACAAGAAATCTTCCTTTTTTTTAAATAAAATCAGAAAGAATGAGTATCAATAAAAAAACAAAAATATGCGTGAAATTCCATATTTAATTTAAACGCAACTCAAATGACAAATATGATAAAATAGAATAAGATAAAACAGTACTCACACGCGCGTGTTATTTAAAGTGATTTGAAAAGAAAATAATTATTTGTCTTACTGGCAAACTGCTCCTCGGCTTCAGAAAGTCACAAGAAAAGTTCGTACTGAACGCTGATATAGAACTGATCGTTCAACTCTTTTTCATCTTTTTTGTCACGTGATCAAGTGGGTTCGGTACGAAAGTTACCTGTGGTACGCGTTTTGCCTGAGGAACTTTTACGAATAAAAAAAGTTTCTTGACCTTGATCGTCGAGTCGGTGATGCAAACAATCCGATTTTGACTTCTGATCAAAATGTCTGTTTTTTTTGCTTTTCATTAAAATATTTTAATTTCTGGGAGTGGTAAAATTGATTATGTACATGAGATGCAAATTAAGCTATTAAGATAAGCATGAGATGTGAGAAGATTCTTTGGATTTGACTCTAGTCACACACAGTGTCTCTTTTGCAATAGAATTTTCTAATTTTATAATAAAATAGATATGTATTTTATATATTCTCTATATATATTTATATAGAAAATATATCCGATAACAGCTTTATCATCGTACGAGCAGATATGGGATAGTTTATTCTGAGTCAAAAAAGTTCTTTATGAAATTCGCAAAATTCGCAATAATTTACAAGTATTAATAAAATTATTAATTAATAAAGACGTGCAAATGAGCGTGGATCCACATGTAAAAGACAACTCAACGTTTTGCGCGCTTACAATTGCGTAATAACTTAATGAGAAGAATTTTAAATTTGTGAAAGTTCATACCTAACACATTAATTTGTATTGACCTACATGTTAATAGAAGAAGTTAATATGACAGTATATAAAATGTACACATTAAATAAAAATCAATCAATAACTAAGCGTGAAAACATAGTTTTGACATTTTTTTAATCAAAAAAAGCTTTTAACGTCAAAAAAGCCATGATTTTGTGTTTAATAATCGATAATTATTTTTATTTAATATGTTATATACTGTACTATAATATATTATATACTGTACTATTATAATATATTAAATACTCTACTTTATTTAATATAATATATATATTATATACACTGTTATGTTAACTTACTTTTATTGAGTTGCCGCGTAGCAATCGTAAACGCGCTACGTTACTACGACGTTTTAGAAACGTTTAACGAAACGTTGCTAAGTTTTGGAAAACCCGTTGCAGAAACGTTTGTGCTACTAACGATGCTATGTGGGTATAACCATGTCTACCTGCCGACGAGCGATGACACAGTTATTATCGGACATCTTGTATCGTGAGATGTAAATTAAGCATTTTAGATGAAATTTTGTATTAAATTAAATTCGAATTTCTATGTGTAATTTACACGTTTAAAAAATAAATTTCGCACATATATACAGCATATTGATTCGCATTGATCGTAACCTTTGTGCTAGTTGAACTATTTTATGAGCTCAAAATTTATTATAAAATTTATTATAGTTTTTAATAATATTTTATTTATAGTATATGTGTGTTATAATGATTATAAAGATTTAAAATTAACCTCTTGAGAACGAGCGTCGACTATAGTCGACAATCGCCGAAAGCATTCGATTGTTCTTTAGTCAACACTTTGTTGTAAGTAGTTTTTATATCAACTCTTGTGTCTGTCAATTTCTCAATTTAATACGTTTGCGGCTCGCGGCTAGTCAAGTGACGTTACGCAGCGGACGAGCGCCGTACCGAAGAGGTTAAAAAAGAGTAATAAATCATATTAAGTGTTACGATGTTATAGTTAAACTGTCTGATGTTATAGTAAATATTAAACTTTTTTTATAATTAAGAGAAAATATATATAAAAAAGAAGTACACACATACGTATACTTTAATTCTAAAATTACTTTCAAGATTTCAATCTAAAAGAATATATATAAAACATTGAGAGATAACATTTTTCTATTAATTCAAATTACTTATATCTTTATTTGGACAGATCACTGTGTGTGTTGTATCTTAATATTAGACATCAACTAAACAAAAAACTAAAATTATCAAAATAAGACCGAAATACAACATCTGTTTTTATTTTATATATTATTTATGTATATATTAAACATTTTTATACATTATATGTTATATATTTTTATATATTATTTTCTATTGATTCTGCCATAGCTTTTATACAATGTTTGAACGTCGATAAGTCACTAATAAAAAATAGAATATTATTTATTTATATATAGTTCGATTCATGACTCCATTCTTCTTTGATCATGTCTGCTACTTTCTCGGCAATCATATAAACTGGTAAATTTGTGTGCCCCGATATAATTTCCGGCATAATAGATGCGTCAGCTACTCTCAATCCTTCAACCCCAATTACCTGTAAAAGTGTATGAATAATGTCAAACATGTTGTTTTACCTATAACTGAACAAGAAATCTTCGTTATTTAATAACATTATAAATACTTTTAATTTGGGATCAACAACAGCAGTGAGATCTTCTCTCGGCCCCATTTTGCAAGTACCGGAATAGTGATAGATTGTGAAAGACAACGTTCTTATTGCACATTCCCAATAAGCATACGAGTTATATGTGTAGTTGTTACAAATATCATATGATAGTTGCGGATTGAACTTTTGCATCGTTTTGGTATTACTAACATTAATCGCGAACTTAATGCCATTAATCATTGTTCTGACATCTTCCGGATTGTTATAGTAATTTGGAATGATTTCTGGTTTAACATTAACATCATTAGCCACTAATCTTATTCGACCGCGACTCTTTGGTTTCAGTAATGTCGGCAGTATAGACCAGCCAAAATCATTTTTGTACTTGTTCCACATCTGACGTACTTGAGAATTTATGTTAATTACGTCTTTAATCACAGACTCAGCCTTAATTACACCTCCTACAAATAATAGTTCTATATCCGGTAAACCACTACGTTTTTCTGGTTGTTTGGTATTGACAAAAGCGACAGCTTCACATGCGCCCGGAATCGTAAATGGTCCTGAATGTGTTAGCAAGTAATCCGCAGCGTACGAATTATGGAAGATATTTATCATGTCTTGTGTTCGTATACTTAACGGTTGATTTATTTTCCACGTCAGTCCGCCGTAGTATACGTGATCCATTAAATTATCTCCGACTGGAGCATCTCGGATAACGTCTATTCCAAGATCGGTGAGATGTTTGCTCGGTCCGATACCGGATAGCATCAGCAACTGAGGCGATGCGATGGCACCCGCGCATAAGATAACTTCTTTTCTCGCAAACACAGAAATAGTTTGTTGATTTTTAGTCAATTGTACGCCGATTGCTCGATTTGTATTGCGATCAATTAGCACTTTATTTACTATACTTCTACGAGTCACATAAAGATTTTTACGATCACGTATAGGATGTAAATAAGCTCTGTTACTACTGATGCGAGAGCCATTGAGAAGGGTGTTTTGCAAGTACGAAAATCCTATTGTAGTTTCTGCGTTATAATCCACTAAGGGATATCCTAGTTCTTGGCCAGCTTTTAGGAAATGTTCTGCCACTAACGTGTGAAATCGTGCGTAAGAGACATGCACTGGTCCTTTAGTTCCGCGATAGGTAGTATCCGATCGCAGCTCTGGAATGTCTATTGTTTCTAGTTTTTTAAAATATTTTAAAATGTCCTTGTAAGCCCAGCCTTCGTTCCCCATCTCAGCCCAACGATTGTAATCTTCGGCGTCGCCTCTAGTAGCAATCATATAGTTTAGCACGCTGCTACCGCCCATTACTTTGCCTCTTGGAAAATGACACTGGTTATTATTCATACCGAGACAGTATTTGTTCGATGGTTTTGTGTAATACTTCCAATTGATGTCGCTACTTAGTTGCAGGTAATGAACCATTATTGGAACATCCATAAGATAGTTTTCATTATATCCAGCTTCGATCAGTAACACCTTTGTTTGATGAGTCTCGCTTAATCTTGCAGCTATCGTAGCACCGGCTGTGCCAGCACCAACTATTACAAAGTCGTAAACTTCTTTGTGTTGCGGAGTCATGTCCGGTATTTCTTTGTTTAGAAAATCTTGACCTTCATCTAAAAACTTTAAAACTCCTCCAATCACTTTTATCACATTTTCTATTTCATTCGATCGAGTAGGAATTATCACGGCGACAATACTGAGAATGAGAAAGAAAAAGAAGTTCGCGTTCAGCATTTTGCGCAGCACGTCTTTAACGATTCAAGTGGGGTGACTTAATAACATATCGCGTGTTTTCTCGTATATATATACATACTTGATCGCACATGTAGTGCATTATAAATGTTAGTTATACGTATTATACACGTTACTTAGTAACGTGTATATTCTTAGTTGCAGAAAACAAGAGATACAAAAAAATATAATCGCGGCAGCAGCAATTTATTTCCATAATTACGAAAAAAATTAAAGTACTACTTAAATAATTACTACTAATACTTACATAAGCTACTAATATTTACATAAGTACTACTTAAATAATAAGTTTTTTACGATCTAAGAAAAAATAAAAAAGCATTGATTAACTTGATATTAGTGAAGAACAACATAATAAGGATAGATCACATTACTTACAAAAAAAAGATTTATATAAACGATAATTAGTCAATAGAATGTTATAAAAATCAACTACTTACGTTGACATTGATTATCAGAATAACTATAAGACATTAAGAGTTAAAATTATAAAACTTAAAATTTCAACAAAACAGTCATGAGAGCCTTATGCTGGATGTTTGTTGTGGAATAAATATAAAAAATATAAAAAGCTCTAAATTCAGACGTTTTGATCCTAAGATTGGATTTTTCGATAAAAATCTAAGGTACATAAAATTTACCAACATACAGACGTTAATTAAAATTACTATTATATATAAATTATTATTTAATATTAATTAGTATACTGCGAGAAGTTTTTCTTTGTGAAATGTGGTTTAGTTTGTGACTAAGTGCAATATGAGTTTTGTTTCAGCTAAATTTTTCTTCATTTACGGTATACTGCTATTTTTTACTCTTTTACTCTGTTTATCATCGAAGAAGATCCAATATAAGGATTGAAATATGATTGTTGATGTTTTAATAAATTTTTAAAAAAGTTTATATATATCTTGTATAGTGAGTCGCATTAACTCTAAATTTTTTTTATTTTTTCACAAACTTATTTATTAAAATTTTTTTTAAATTATAAATTTTCGAATTGACACAGATATTTAATTTAATCTTACCAAAATACGTTAAGTAAAATATCGATGCCATATCATTAAGAGTATACATTATTTATTTTGAAAGAAAATAATTTTACAGTAGTAATCCAAGTCAAAACTTCAAAATAACTCTGAAAAAGAAATGAAGTATAAAACAAAAAAAATCGTAATCAAAATATTAGAATTATTAAGTCAAAGATTTACACAAAGTTATGTTTTATACAGAATAATAATATCGTCAATTAACAATCTGTTACATGTTCTTACTGTGAGTATTTACATAATATTATACATCAAAGTAAATCGTAAAATATTTACATTTAACGAAAGAAATATGTTTAAACAAAGTCAAATTATTGTCTTAATTGTATATATAAAACAACGTGGTTGCTTGTTTTCTCGCTTATTTCTTATCTCATAAATTAACTATTAACAATACTAGCTGACCAATCTTGTTTAATGAGATCAGCACCTTTCTCGCCAATCATTATAGCAGGACCGTTTGTGTTACCGCTACATATCGTCGGCATGATGGACGCGTCGATAACTCGAAGACCCATGATACCGTAAACTCTCAATCTTGAATCTACCACAGCAGTAGGATCAGTTGGTGGTCCCATTTTGCAAGTGCCTACAGGATGATAGATCGTCATAGAGATATGTCGAATGTGACACTCCCAATAAGCATCGGAACCGAATTTGAGATGTTTGCATCCGGGCAATTTAATACGATGAATCCTCGAATTAAATTGCTTGAAGACCTTTGCCTCATTAACTTTGATTGCAAGCTTTGCACCTTCTACTAAAACAGCTATGTCCATGGGATCGGAGAAGTAATTCGCGTTGATGATAGGTTTGTGAAAAGGATTGGAGTCTCTCAGTCGTACAGTACCACGAGATTTGGGTCTCAATAGTAATGGCATGATGGTCCAAGCATCTCTGTTGCTAATTGGTCTATAAATAGTATTGTATACTTCATCTGTCAATCCCAAGACTTTTCGAACTTGCACTCCCGCGTCGGAATTGATAGACGCTGGCGCCATGTGGAATTGCACATCCGGATAATCGATAGAGTGATTGGCATACTTGGTATTAACGAAAGCGTAACCTTCTACGCCACCCAAAGTCGTCATAGGACCTTTGCCATTAACTACGTACTGCATAGTCATCGGACCTGCTGGGAAACGATCCTGAACTATAGCGACCGGTTTATCAATTAAGAACGTCAAACCGCCCATGCCTATATGATCTTGAAGATTGTCACCAACTCGAAGGTCTTTTATTATAGGAATGCCAATATGTCGTAAATGTTCTTTCGGTCCAATTCCTGAAAGCATTAAAATCTGAGCACTGTTGATAGTACCTGCTGATAATATAACTTCCTTTCGTGCTCTCACTATCTGCTTACGGCCGTCTCTGATAAACTCAACACCGGTTGCTCTCATTGTCAACGGGTCAATTATGATTCTCGTCACGTAACTGTTCATGGACGTATGAAAGTTTCTACGTAATCGGATAGGTCGTAAAAAAGCCTTTGCGGTAGAACATCTAGTTCCTCTGCGAATAGTTCCCTGAGATATCATGAAACCTGTTTGTCGTTCACCATTTATATCTCTGTTTTCATAGCCAAGTTCAATGCCAGCTTGAACAAAAGCAACCACCAAAGGCGTTTTCCATGGCGACTCCTGTACCGTTAAATAACCACCGGTTGCATGATAAGGACTCTTCTGTAAATAGGGATTGCGATTGTCTTCCGACTTTTTGAAATAGTGTAAAACCTCTTCATATCCCCAGCCGGGATTTCCCAACGACTGCCAATAATCGTAGTCGTTTCGATTACCACGTACATACAGCATATAATTAAGAACACTACTTCCGCCCAAGATCTTTCCTCTCGGCCAGTTACAACGGCCACCCTTCATAGCTAGGCAAGCCTTGCCAGTAGGCTCAGTCTTATACTTCCAATCCAGCTTTGTTAGCTGCAAATAAGCGGCAAGAGACGGCACATCTGTAATTTCATTTTCGTCTGGGCCGGCTTCCATTAACAATATACTCCAGTCTGGTATTTCCGAAAGTCGATTAGCTACTACCGCGCCAGACGATCCGCCGCCAATTATAACAAAGTCGTACTTCGAGTGCAAAGGATATCTGTCGATTAGTCGACTCTCGGGATCTAGCTGATCATAACGATAGTAAGAGAGACCTGCGATTAGCAATGGCACGATCCATAATCCTGTACCCACCAGACTTATGGCACCTTTCAATGCTGATGTCACCACTATCGCGCTAAAAACCATCTTGAATTCTGTCTAGTCAAAACTTTCAATCTTCTTATATCGCACGTTGATCGCCATAATGAAATATGACAGTCGTCGTCTGTAGATTTTTTCAACATTAAAGAACATATTCACATTCTTCGTGACGTTTTTATTGATTTTGGAAGATCAGTGTTACAAATGTAGTTCCATCCTACAATAAAAGAAAAATATTCAATTGCATGTGAATGTCATTAATGAATCATGTACTATTAAAATACTTGTCATCTATTAATGAGATATTTACTCTCGAGGCGACTAATATACCTTTGAAAAATTATTTCTTAGCTGCGGACTCTCATCCTTCATAAAAAACAAGAGTGACACAACTAACAACGAGAGTGACAAAAAGCATTTACATCAAGAAGAGAGAGAGAGAGAGAGAGAGCGAGAGAGAGAAGAAAGAGAGTTTTCTTATTCTGAGTTTTTGTTAAATTTTTTTAATTTGTTTGATAATTTAATTACATGATCATATAAATGCTATGAAGAAGATATTAAAAATGTGATAAATTTAATAAGGCAATTTTTAAAAAATGTTTAGTGATAAAAATATTGCGCATAAGATGAGAAGGTCCGAAAATACGGACTATTTATATAAAATATAAATTATATCAATTATATACTAATTTATATCAAATATAAATAATATATATAATATATATATGTATATTCTATAATATATATATATATAATTATGTAGTCTATAATATATATATTCTCTAAGTAACAGAAATCAATGCGCAAAGTTTGCTTGTAACGATGCAACATACAAGCGAAAATGTATTTCCGATTTATTATGGAAGAAAGTGCGACGTACAACAAGGAACTGAGTCAAGGACTGTTATGCCCTATCGAGGCGTGCTGTTAGTGTTCAATTTTATAGAAACCCGAGCTCACATTCTTGTAGCTGGCTACAATCCACGTGTAAATCAGCGAATAAACGGTGCACAAAGATATAAGTGTCTACCCGGATCCGCTAGCTAGAGGAACGATGTGATGATCTCATAACGGGAAAAGGAGAAAGTGTTTCAACCTCTGCTCAACTCGTTTCCTTTATGGTTATGTTAAGACGTTCTCTTCGTCTCCCTTTCTCCTTTTTTTTTCTTTTTCCTTGTCTAACGTGATTATTATTGTCGGTCTGAAATACACTTCTAACCGTGGCATCCTCGATCGGTAATTAGACATCAGGACAGGTATATCGATTGATGCATCTGACAGTGTTCTTGGTGTTGCGTGAAATCACAAATTAAAAGTGTTTCAAAACAAATTAACAGAGATTATTTTTTTGTTTAATAACCAAAGAATTTGCTAACTTCGAGACGACTTTCTTTTTGGCAAAGATGTTTAACTAAAATAAAAAAGTACATCTGTATGTCAAATTACATTAAATTACATCAAACAAATACTATCACTGAATAGACGTTTGCCGCAGAAAATTAAAAGATCTTTGTGTTACCTTTAGATACTTCGATATATACGATGATATATTGTTGAATACAAACTTGATGAATCTAAAAAAAAACATGCAATCAGAATCTGGATTTATACGCTCTCAGCATGATTACACTCAGATTTTTTAATTTTATAAGTGTAGTAACTTTCAGATTTCTATTCTTGTGTTATGACTTCCTTCTTTCCTGTTCACAACAATAAAAATAATTGAGATAATATACTTTCTATATAACAAATTTCGAGAATCACCAGTTTTGAACTAGAGAAAAATTTTAATTTTATTATAATTTGCATATTCATAAATTGATCAAAATATGGTATTTTTATCAATTACGAGACAAGCGTTAGAAAAAAAATCAATCTTTAATTTTCTTCAAAGAATTTCTTGTGATTTTGTTTATTACTTAAATTATAGTTGAAAAAGAATTCAAGAATTTACTCGACAATAGTCAATATTTCAATATCATGTCAGTGTATATTGCAATGTGTCAACGTATACATAATACTATACAAAAATAACTGAAAATAATTAAATTACTTTTAACGTGAAAATACTTCTAAATATTACAAGATATTATGCTACAAAATGTTAAAGTAAAATTAAAAAAAAAAACAGGAACAGTTGATGAAAGTTTTAAATATTCATTGATTTCGAAATTATTAGAGAAGCAAAAAGTGGTTACATAAGTGGTTAAGTGCAATAACAAGTTAGATAAATAACAGGTTAGATTAGAAGTGAACAGCTGGGAATACAGCTTATTTTATTGTCGATCATGCAATTAATTTGATACTTTGCGCAGGATAATTGTTTTTAACATGTGGATTTTATATAGATTTTAAATAATAAAAATTGTTCAAAACATTGATTTTAAATTTATAAAACACTGATTTTTAATTTATTGTCATAGTGCAAAACGCGTTAAGAAAACCTTGCTTTTATCTTACAAAAATATTACTAATACTTAAATCTGACATTATTTATTATATATTTTTTCGGAATATTTTTTTATTCTTATTGACACACACACTCTCTTTCCCTCCCTCTCCCTCTCTTTCTCTCTCTCTCTCTCTCTCTCTCTCTCTCTCTCTCTCTCTCTCTCTCTCTCTCT